GATAGGACGCGGGCCGGGCGAGTACAAGCGAAATGGCTGACGCCCCCAATCCGATGCTACAACACCGCGTCACTGACTGTTCTCCAGTTCATATCAGCACAGGTGCAACGCAATCGAGGTCCATTGCGAACTCATCCCATACTCGACTTCGATGTTTTCTTCATTGTTTCATGAAATTAATACCAGTTCCACAAAACATTTTTTTTAATAGCCCGTAACTTGCCCTCCATCGTCTTTACCAATTACATACGTGTACCACCATGTGCCATTCACTCAGAGCGTGAGAATATTTTACCAAAGACAAAATGACATTGAAATACCACAGAGTGTCAGATACGCAGATTGGGCCTAAGCATGAGGAACAAAGCCGTGCGTAGGCCTACTGTGTTCTCCTTGAACTTGTTATTGTTGCTCGGCTTTGTCTCTTCGCATCGCGCAGATAGCGGGGATTGTATACGGCCTTCCGGTCCACGCCCGGTCCAGTTCTTGAGAATCCTTGGTTTAATAGTCATAGTCCTCGTGCATTCTTTTCTTGGTTTTCATCACGTAATTCAGTTGATTGAAAAATAAATAGCACTACCACTCCCTTTGATTCAAGTTATTATCTATCGAAAACACATTTTTCGAATCTTATCCTTGTGTTTCAATCTCCCCTCCTCTTTTGGGACACACTTGGCTATGATCAGCCCGCTTCGTTAAGTATAGGTGTTACCATGGAACGGAAACAGTGGCGTAGCCAGGATGTTTTTCAGTGGGGGGACCAGGGGGCACCAGCATGTTATGAGGGGCACCAGGGCGGACCCACCCACAACATTTCCCCAAGATGTCCAGGCCACTGCAAGTGCTGCAAATTCGAAAAACTGCAAGTGCTGAAATTTTGACGCTATAGCGGGCACCCTTGTTTGTTATCAGTTTATTCACATTTAATAGAGCCTATGCGGTTAAGGGAAGTCAAAATAGTCATCTAGATTCCTCTTCTTTTAATTAATAACTAAAAAAACTTTGAAAAGACACTTCCTTGGCAAGTGGCAATTTTTCGATTTGTTTGTTGGAGGGGGCACCTGAGGGGGGGGGGGCACTGGGAATTTGTGGGACGTGCCCCCTCCGTGGGATAGTCCCAACATTGGCCGGAACTGACCCAACATAATGTTAGGACCATTGTCGTAGTTGGGGCGTAGCATCGATAATGAAAACTGTCCCGCCCGTATAGTCCTATGTGACTCGCAGTTTGGGACTTCAGTTTTCTGCTGTGTTGAAAAAAATGGCGCCCGTTTCAAATCTGATTCGATCCAGAGTCGCGCCGAACCAAGAAGTATTAGGTGTAACTTTAGTCTAGACCTAAATAAATAATTATTTAAGACAGACAAACATTATCGTGTATTAGTTTCCCTCGACAACACTCAGGAGACATCTGTACCTGAATTGACAGACTCGCACGTGGAAATACGGGGGCGGGGGGGGGGGGGGGATGGGTTCGGGTTCGTGTGCTATACTCCGGAACGCCAGAATGAAACGAGGGTAACTTTCTGTATATGGTCGAGATAGGTATGCGTGGACAAAACCTCCATTCGGCTTACTGCTGTGTCGTGTTGCTTTTCGGTATAGAGAGCGACCTATATCCGACACATTATGCTGGAACATAACAATGACATACGACGCGTCGCGACGGCGAACCCCTTGCGATCGGAACTCACTTCCTCCAAAACTGGCATCCCACGGAGAACTGCAATTGTTGGTGTTTTTTTTGCGTGGATTGCCAATTGTATGGTGCCATAAAAGTGTATCCATATTGTGTACCATAAACTTTGTAAATAATTATTAAAAAAGAGTGTGGGCATGTATGTTCTCGTGCATGGTCCGATCTGTCTTTGGTTGAAAAGGGGCGCTGTGGGAACGTAGGCCTATACGTGCCGCAGCTATATGCTTTTGCCACCGTCCAAGGTTGAGCATAAATAGACAACTTCGATAATACTACGTGAGAGCATGTACGCAATGAATGCAATGTCCTTGCGGCATTGGATGTCGAAGTCTCTGGTAATCTTTTATGATTGTTCATTCGATCGACAGACCATGGTGAGCAGACTCTACCGAACTTGATCTAAAATGTGTTCATCAACATGCACTTTTTGAAACATGTCTGTGTTTTGATTTGCCTATTTATATGGATTGAAAATAAAATGGTTTGAAAACAAAGCATTGGTTGATATCAATCTCGTTAGCCTTTCGTTTGCCAAGCTTACACCTCATAGTTTTAATGCTTGATCCAAAAGTCCGGCTTCTCAATTATCAGAATGTGATCCCATATTTTGTGAGCAACCCTTCACAAGGCTGGTCTTTACTTCCGAATGTTTTGAAAAAGGTTTTTGCAATTCAAATCCTTCAAAGCTCTACGATTGATGAAATAAGTCCCCACAGGAAAATGAGTCTGTGTCCTCCTTCGCTTGCATGCCGAACGATGACTGTTGTAGAGAAGAGAAAAAATATGAAGCCTAACACCGGACGCTTTTGGACATCTGTTTGTTGTGCTAAAGTAAGAGGCAAGGCAAAGAAACGACAAGTCTATGCTCTTTATTGGCACGAGCCATTCATTTTCGTTGATGTCTACAGTCATTGTACAGTCCATTGGTTGGATTTGATAGTCACGTTTTGCGTGGGAGTCTGCGAGGGATTTGGTTGCCCGAACGGTTGTTGTAGTACAATTATGTTACCCTTTACTGGCGGGAAACTTTAAAACACGCCCCTTAACTTATCTTTCAACTGCTTGTTTTGTTTCCGACGGAACTACCTCCGCATATGTTTTGACTTTTTTTTCCTCGAAATTGTGTGAATACATTCACTGCCATTCGACGTTCGATGTCATTCTATCGGTAACTTAGCGCTCTGTACGTCATACTGTGAATAGTATAATCTGAGAGAGCCCGATGCCCATTTTGGTACTCGTAATAGATCAAATGCAACAGTAATTCTCCTGAAAATGAATTTTGTTTTATTTTTTAGAAATGACCTTTCCAATGCTACAAGGATATCATTTTTGTTATATTCAATGACACAATGTGGCATGTCTTTAGTGAGGGTCTGGTGGCACGTTATTCAATTCTGGACAATATGGAGACAATGGTCGTAATCACTGAAATCCAACGCACAAAAGCATTACTTTTTTATGACCAATCGATCAATAATGTACATGTTCATTATTTAGTAACCCTCATGCCCTCCCATAAGACAAACACAATTCAAAGGAAATAATAAACTCTGCAACTTCTGTCGCCCGATTGAGGACGATTCTTTTTTGGGGGTCACACATCATTAAATACATGCAAGTTGACTTTTTGTCATGTGAAAACACATGGCAACATACCTTCTTCGAGACAGAATATTTGGGTCTTGTTTTGACAAGCCGTTCCCACATTTTTTACCTTTACCATTTTTATGGCAGTCGGCTCATTGTACCATGCAGTCCGAGTGCGACCAGCGTTCTAGATTTCTAGTGTCAGGGACGAGTCTCCATGACAATGGCCATTATTTGTTTTCATATTGCTGATTCACATCACAGGAGGCATCAAGACGTTATTTTTGCAAACAAAAATACAAGTTCCCATGCTCATGTTTTGACAGAAATCACGCAGTATCTACAAACCGCGACGAGACACTGCGAACGGGGCCCGGAGTTCTTTGTTGGTCGCTCGACTCCGAATCTTTTACGGAACAACACCTTTCATGAGTATCATGCTCGGTGAGCCTTTTGGATTGAAAAGGGGGACGGACCACAACCAACTGGGCTCCCAGTTCGACCGGATCAGTTTGGTCCATGTAATATCTTCTGCGTCGGAACGATACCAATCCTGATAGCTTGGTACAGTGTGTTTTGGGCTTACTATCTTCAGTAGATAGCGAGGGCTATACGCGTAAGCGGTCCAGCATCATGCCGGTGAAAGCAGCTGTTTGGGCCGCACTTTTTGTCCTGAGCTTCGATCTTGCTGCGGCACAACGTAAGTTCAAAGTTTAAATCCTTAAAATTCCTCTCCCCTTGCTTATTTTCTCGAGTTTCACAGCAAGAAATCTAAGTTCCCCAACTACTTTTTCGAGCTACACATCATGAAGTAATTCATTGTCGATTGAAACGTCGAACGAAAAAACAATCAACCTATCTTTAGGTATTAAATAAATTATTTGCGGCCAGACAAACAGGTGGAATTTTTTGTGTGCGAGAGTGAGAGAGAGTCGTAAAAGAAACCTCAGTAAAAGTTGTTTTTCCGCGTTGCAGCCGCCGTCCCAAAAGACAAAAGATGTTTTTTTTCCCGTTGCAATAAAGCATGCAAGTTGGAAATGTGTGTTAGGAGGAAACATCGAATTTGCTGCAGTGCACGGGCAGAGCAACCTAAAATATTCACTGTTCGGCGATTTTACAACGCGGAGTAGCTAGGCCTAGGCTTGCGGTGGAGGAAATCTCCCGTAGAAGTCGGATTTAAGGTTTTTTGTGTGCTTGGACGGGAACACGGAAGTTTCAAGGTTATTTGTCTTCATTCCGGGATTTGGATATCATGAAAAGAATTATCCCAAGCATAGCTATCGCGAAGAGGACATTTAAAAAGAGGAACTTTTAACTTTGATGAATAGGATATGTGAGAGGATAGAAAGAAGGGGGCATCTGGGCGGCAAACCAGGGGAAAATCTGATAGGCCTATCAGATGATTTTTAAAGTGGCCGTTTTTCACCGAATATAGGACTGAGTCAAATTTTGAAAGGGAGTTCCAACTTGGCATTCTGAAATGAAACTTTACATTTTTCATTTTCCGCATTTCAAACTGAAGTATAGGTCACTGTGATGAGAAAAAAAATAGAAGCAGTGCGTACATGTTTACGACTGTTTAATTATAAGTATTTTACATATTTTTTTCATGAAACGGCCGTCTGTAAAACGCTACAATAAAGTCGTTTACCCAGACGTTTGAACGTGCAAATATAATGCGTTTCGTTTGTGGTACACAGGGTATGTTTACTTTGGCACGTGTGTGCGTGGCGCGTACGAACGAAATGCGGGACTTTCGAAGACGAAAAGCTACATTTTCTGAGGCTTAAACGTCCGATTGCTGGAATTGTAATTTAGAAGGAAATTAGAATACAGTGCAAGGATTTGCAATCCTCTATTTCTCGAAAATTTCCTCGAAAAACCAACAAAAACTTAACTGAGTGACTCGAGCCTTGTTGTGGCAGTGAGCATGGTGAGTTCTTCCGCTACCCGTCCATGGCCGGCAATGCGTCCGTCATCATCAGTTTTGTCATCATGTCATGTCTGTGTGTCCCGCAGGTGAAGTACACAATCATGGCAATAATGATCTGGAAAGTGTCGTGTAAAATTGGCTGGAAATGTTTGCAATGTTGTCATCCATAGACCTTTTGGGAACAAGCGTCGCAACCTATGACGCCACTTCCGCGATTGTCAATGATTGTGTACAGTTCAAAGTGACGTCAATGGAGAGTCAAGAAATTTCCTAATAAAATTGGAAATGCTTCTCAGTCCCAGATTCATGACTGACCTTCATTGAGATGATATATGAGAAAAAAAAAAGTGGCGTCAGGTTGCAACATTTTTCCGACCTTTTTTATATGGGTAAATTGGATGTTTGCAGTGAAAATATGCTGTCATGGCTGTGTTGCATTTTTTAACCTAGTTAGGGGCACAGTTTGATATGAATTAGGAAAGTGTATGATTAGCCGGCTAGTTTAGGCGGCTTTCTTTCTGTAAACGATATTTCCTGCTAGTGCTAGATTGTACAGCGCATTAACATGATCAAAGGTATAAGGGCATGTACATGTAGTTCGTGAGAGATCCCTGGTTCAAATCTCTGCTGGCGACATTTTCAATTAATTTTTTTCATCCCCCCAATTTTTTTTATTCGTCTTTTTAATATTTCAAATTGACTCATTTAATTACAGAGTATAACATTTTGTTTGTGTGATTCGTGGCTCTGGAGGATTTTTTTTTTTAGAGGGATATGAAGTCCGAAGTTGTAAAATGGTCTGATTCCATCATGTGAATACAAGGTCACAACGAAAATGTTGGTGCGGAACCAGACTAAGATATGTCATGGTAAAAATTCCCCCACCCCGTAACATCCAGCAGAACCCCCCCTAACATCCAGCCCCCCCCCATTCACCCCCCCCCCCAAGGAAGAGAACCCATGCTACACTGCTGCGTGGTTAAGGATGCGGCATAACATTTGTAAATTGCTTGTTGAACATGTAGCAAAGGCACCAAACTAATAGACCTTTGGTAACAGCATATTTTGCATATTTAGGGCCTACCGTTTAAAACAAAAAAGAAAGAAAAAAGTCATATGATAGGGGGACACTCTACATATATGTAAATGTGATAGCTATGTGTTATTGTGATGGTGATGGCATGGGTACCAGTTACATCCCCTTGTTCAACAAGCGATATGCAAAATGAATATTCAGTCAATTTATTCATGAACAATAAGGGGCACCTAAATAGTGCTTCCCGGCACTGTCACTACAGTTAGATGTATGTTTGTGAATGAAACAAGTGGATTTTTAACGCTTTGTTTCCCGTGCTGTTTCTGAGTTTCATCCTGGGAAAAAGATTCCTTTTCTAAATTGCTGTTTCTCTACCAATACGAAAGTTATTCACTTTTTAACGAGACAGCGACCCAAAAAACCCCGTCTCATGTTTAGTTATTGAATTGTTACTTCAAATACTATTTTGAATTAGGCGAAGTAAAAAAAAACCATGTTTAGCGTCCCCGCCCGCTTCCTTTTTAGAGGCCGCCTCCTTTTTTTTTTTTTTTTTTTTAAAGACAAAAATTGATAAATTTTAACGATCTCTGACGAAAGAAATCGTATTTTTAGACTTTTATACCGTGTATAAAGCCCATAAGAAGCCAATATGTCATTTCCTGAGTCCAAGTGGCGGCCATTTTGAAAAAAGCTGGTAACCTTCTTGAAAAATAGCCCGGCCGCGTTGTCTTGAAAAATGTGTCGGGCGGCCATTTTGAAAAAAAAAAAAAAAAAAAAAGGGCCTCCTCCTTCCTTTTTGTCAAAGAGGCAGGACGCTAAACATGTTTTTTTTTTATTTTGCCTTACTGGCTGCCAGACACTAGTTCCGTATCGTTAATGTACGGACCAAGAGCCAATCTGCTCGGAAATCGAATTTGCTTGTGCTCAAAACAAAACAAAGTTGTGGACTTCCAAAATAAAACAACAGAGACATTTTTGGGGGGTTGGAATAAAACACACAAGTTGAAAATTTATCAATAGAAATAAAATTGCATTTGTTGAAGAGCACCGGAAACGCAACCTTAAGTTGTTGACACTGTGATGTTTTTGTTTAATTTTTCAGTGTGCCCAGTGAACCGGTGTGCGGACCAGACCTTGACATGCCACATCAGAAATGTGCCAGGCCAACCAGAATTTATCTGTGAATGCGATAGGCCATTCCGAGTCGGCCTTAACTGCATGGATCCATTTGGTAGGTCTGTAGAATGATTTTAACCAGTTCACGCCGGGATTCATGAGACGTGGGATTACTTTTCACTCAACATCAAGCCAGCCAGGCGGGTTGCAGCTATGACCCTCGGGCAGCAAGGGCGGATCCAGAACACAATTTGGGGGGGGGGGGCCAAAAAAACATTTGGTCCCCCTAAAAAGTGGGTCAAAAAATTACGACGTGGGGTTCGTGGCCCACAGGGCCCTGAAAAATTTTTGGATTCTAGATGCTCTGTGGTGCGATCTGAGGCAATTTCTGACCACTTTAACCAATGTTTTTTTGAGGAAAAGATGGTGGTGTACTCATTGCCTGCCTTTATTGCGATGTCACATAAAAAAAAAAAAAAAATTGTTTCGTTTTGGGGGGGGGGGGCCATGGCCCCCTTTGGCCCCCCCCCCCTGGATCCGCCCTTGTCGGGCAGCACACTCATATTTCCGGCATTGCTTGCTGTGAGTGGGTTGCTGACAGATATTTCCGGCCTCGCTCCCTGCGTGTTTATCTGTCATCTGCTCCAAATACTGCAAAACTTTTGCGTGTATTCATGGCCTCCGGCGCGAACTGGTTAAAGGGAATATACAACATTTGCAAACATCGAAAACTAAAACTACCAAGTTTTTACGAAATACCTTACTAGGATGTTAATGACAGTCTAAAGCATCCTCTAAAATAATGGCACCTGGTGTGAAGTCATTTTCAAGAAAATGGTATTTTTGTATACATTTCCAACGGTGGTCGGCCGACCACCGTTGGAAAAACCTAACTATTTTTCAACTACTGCTCCAACTTTACACTTTTTCGGTCCAAATTTTGTTTGCTATTGGTTACATGTTCATGAACGGGTGCAGGCCAGCTAGACTGGTTCCCTTACCTTACAATTTTTTATATTCTCTATAATTTGATCCATTTTATCTTTAGTGCAGTCAAGGCACCAGACTACTTGAACATTTTTGTTTTTCTTGGTTTTTCCAGCATTTTCGAACACAAAACTTCAAACATGTCAGTGTAACAATATTTGATGTATTATACTAACCCCTCAAATAGTTCATTTCTGAAAATTACAGCAAAAGCCAATGATGTACATTCCCTTTTAAAGGAGGATTAATTAGTGCATTTTGGAAAATTATAGCACCGGATTACTCCCGTATTCTAATTGGCCAAACAGTAATGTTGATTTTCTAATGCAAGTAATACACTTGTGCATTTAGCAGCCACATTGGTGGTGTTTTTTTGTAATTTTAGTTCATTGCCAACGAATTAACAAGAGGGTCATGTGTGTACTTGTGGAACAAAAGCACACACCAGTTGGAGATGGCCGTAATGTCAAAGATATGTTCCCCCTTGTTTTCTCTGTCTAATAAAATTTGCCACAATTTTTGCCACGAAGTTGTCAAAACTGAAACTATATGAAAACATATATTTAAAAGAAAATGAAAATTCGTTGGGTACTAATAGTATTTGCTTTTCCCCCCACTTTTCATAATTGAAAGTTTTTGTGTTTTATATGTCGACAGACGACCGGCAAATCTTCACCTGCTATGGTGCAAATTGTACTACTGGGGTGTTCGCCTCCCCTAACTACCCCAATGCTTACATGGCATCCAACACGATAGTGTACCTCATCTATGTACCAGGAGCCGCTGAATTGGTCTTCGAGTTTGACTCGCCGTTTGGCATTGAGGTGCCAAAGGATGAAGTTTACATTGGGAGCGGAGTCACACCCAACCTGGATGATTTGGTGGGGGTGTCTCGGGTGCCAGACTTGTATTTCTTCGATGGGCGGGAAGTTCCAAGCGGCTCATACAGCATCTTCTCAGACACTGCCTTCGTCTACTTCCTGTCAGACAAGAATATCGAGTATGAAGGGTTCCAGGTGCGCTGGCGTACAGGTGTGTGCAAACTTTTTTTTTGACGATTAATAGGTAAAATCATTGAGCAAAATGCCTAGTACCTGCTTAGATGGATATAGCTACATGTAGGTCAGGGGTGCGTTTTGGCGGTTGTAACCAAGAATTGGTTCGGTTGTTTCTTGTCGGTGAATTTCTTTGGCAAAATTAATTTGGTAAGAACTACGCAGGATGATGTAGTACTCAAATTCACAAATCAATTAACCAAAGGAAAAAAAACGGACCAATTCTTGGTTACTACCGCCAAAACGCACCCCTGCTGTGATACAGCTATGATATCCTCCGCATATTTTGCTATAATTTTCTTCTCTTTGATGGGATGAGAGGCTTACAAGCCTTACATATCCCCCATCCAACTTTTGAGTCCTGTATCTAACTTTGGAGGGCTGTATTGCTTGCTCAAATAAAGACCGTGCACACACTATTTACATGCAGGTGGAAAACTCCCAACTGATGCAGCCATTCAGCAAACAGATCTTGCTTTTTAGTCCAGGTTTAGTTCAATCGAAAACTTTACGGTGTGATGCTGTGTGCTTCTTTGTTGCAGTGGACAATGTTGCACCAGTCATTACCTGCCCAGCAGACAGACTTGAGCCTGTCACCACGGGCAGTGAGAACGGCGCAGTGATCTCCTGGTCACCAGCGACTGCAACCGATGACACGTCCACGCCAACGGTCATTCTGACGTCGGGCCGGGGACCTGGTTCCTTTTTCGAGTTTGGCGCGTACACTATTTCCTACGTGGCCACTGATCTCAACGGCAACTCTGCGTCTTGCAGCTTCTCTTTGTCAGTCGGTGAGTTTACATAAAAACAGAAGAAATAACAGAATTGGAAACTGACCAGGTTGACTACATGTATGTGAAAATAAGTCAGACTTTCTATTTTACAACACCTAAGTAAAAAAAAAAAAGTAGGGGGGAAAATCCTGTGTTCACAGGAACGGAGTGCCCATCTCTCTTTTATTAGCGATTGGGCTAGACTCATATGCTGCTGTGGGGGGATCACCACACCTCCTCCACAGCGAGTCTGTTACCTTCCCAGCATTGAATAATGCCGGTACCCATTTAACACCTGGGTTGAGAGGAGTAATTGAGGTAAAGTACCTTACTCAAGGGCACAACATGCATGGCCACGGCGCGGCGGGGCTCGATCCCACAACTTCATGATCATGAATCCTGTGCTCTGCCGCTAGACCACTCGTGCCCGAGCTAAGGTGGTTGCTAAACACCAGACACTTGCCTACTGCAATTTTGGTCAATCACAGGGAAACCCCATGGTCCCAAGGTAATGTGACGTCATATGATTGGAGCCTTTACCAAATAAGAATCACAAGTTACTACTTAAGGAATATAAAGACCACCCGACCTGTTACAACGTGCTGACAGGCACTGAACATGCTAAACAAACATCCAAGCATTTTGCTCAAATTATACTATTAATTTGTAAACGACACATTTCTTTAAGAGATATGCATGCAGTGCAGAATGGAACAGTGTGCTGAAAGGTAGCATTTTGTGAACGCAACATCCGAGTTTGTATACAGGTGTGACATGGTATATATTCCAAGTGTTAACACCCTAAATTCTTTTGTTGTTGTTGTATATTTAGGATGTACATGTGTTGGCATGATTAAATGTGCTATTTTGTTCCGATTGATTTTCTTCAATTGGCACAGCATGTTTGAGTTGTATTGGAGCTTGAATGGGTGCAATTCAGTTGATTGAGTTTGTTGAACTGACGCAGCAGGCAACATGGCAGATTGTGATGTCGCTTTCTCTGTTGGTTACCTCTAGTGTATCATTGTTCTTATATCGTTAATTCTCAATCTCGGCCCAATCAGATAGATGAGGAACACCCACGGGAAAAGGAACGGGTCGTATGCAATCTAGTGTGGCAGAAGAGGGAAGGATTTTGCTGCTAATCAGGCAGTGTTTTCTCAGAAGTTGCTCCTTTTTCAGACAAAATGTGTTTTGAGACTTCCAGACTATTTTACACAAAGCTTGTTAGTATGTACTCCATTGTATTCGCAGTCCCTAAATCAAAGTTGCAAGAGGCATGGTACAGCAAATATTTCTTTTACTTGTTTTCAGTCGACCGAGTTGCTCCAGTTGTAACCTGTCCAGCCAACATAAACCAGCAATTTGGCATAAACCAGAATAGAGTAACATGGCAAACTCCATCTGGCAGTGATAACTCCCAACAGACGCCAACAATCGCACAGACTTCAGGACCAACTTCTGGATCTACGTTTACCCCCGGAACAACGACAACAATAGTATATACTGCAACTGATGCAGCAGGAAATATTGGAACGTGTTCATTTACTGTTCAAATCACTGGAGGCAAGTACTTTTTTGAAGATATGTTTAAACGTGTAAACGTGTCATCCTTAATACAGCCTGTTTATAAAAAAAATGGTACAACCGAAAACGATTTTTTTTTTCAATATTAAATCTCAACATAAGTTAGTCGTTTTTTGAGCATCACATTAAAGAAAAAAGACCAGGCTTTCCAATACTTTTTGTTTCATCTCATTTGCTTTTGTCAATCCAGAGATAACTCCAGTTTACTGCGGAACACACAAATCAAGTTTGTTTCTTTTGCCAAGTTGCAATCTTTTGTGAGCTTCAAGACAGCATGGCACAGTACTCGAAACAACTCTGCCCATGCATAAAAGTGGCACAAAATCGATTTTGGTGTATCGCACTAAATTGATTATATCTCTGAATTGACAAAAGCAAATAAGATCAAACAAACACTATTGGAAAGCCCAGTCTTTGTTCTTTAATATTATGCCAAGTAAGAATGACTTTTTTTGAAATTTCATATTTAACCAATTTTTAAAAATTAGGGCATTTTAATATCGGGTTTTGCCCATCACTGACGTATTTTGTATAAACATTATATACTCAGTGTTGTCCAGAGTGATTGTAAGAAGAAAAAAAAAACCACTCGGGTGGGACTCGAACCCACAACCTCCTGCTTACTAGTACAGACGTCTTACCGCTCGACCACTGAGCTTGCCGGGGTCAGCTGGCTGGTTTGAATCTGATATAGCAATGGGTACCACAACAAGTGAACTGTTCCTCACAATTATTTGGGACAACACTGAGTATACAGTGTTTATAAAAAAAAAAAATGAGTGGTGAAGGACAAAACCCAATATTGAATTTTCATCACCCCGATGAAAAAAAAAAAAAATCATCTTACAAATAGTTAATAGGAAACTGCAAATTCTTTGAGTGGATTTTTGTTGTCTTCAGAGTGTCCCTTTCATGTTTAATTTAATTTGCAACAGACAACAAATTTGGCCCTATTGAGTAAGCCATGTGCCTCATTCTTTTGTCCATTCAAAGTTCTTGTTTTATGCGGACTTCGTTAGTTTCATTCCTGCGTAAACCTAAGGTATTTCTTTTTATTTAAATGGTTTTTTATTATTATCACAGATACCATTCCGCCTTCAATCTTCTGCCCAACTGTTCCTGACGAGGAGGTTCGCACAGGAAATAGTGCTGGAGCAACAGTTAACTGGAACCTGCCTAATGGATTTGACAACTTTGGTACTCCAACTGTTGCACTTTTTCCAAGTACCCAAAGTGGACCAGGTTCTTTTTTCGTGTTTGGAACCTATGCAATTACCTACCGAGCCACTGATGCAGCAGGCAACACGGCAGATTGTGATGTCACTTTCTCTGTTGGTAAGCTCTTGTGTTGTCTTTCGTTCATCTATTATTAATTCTCAATCTGAACACATTAAACAGATGGGGAGCACCCACAAGAAAAGCAGTAGGGTTGTATGGAATCTTTTTTTTAATATGTCGGAAGGAATTTGCTGTGAAATCAAGCATTGTTTTTTTCTTCAGTAATTGCTTACCCTTTAAGAGCAAATATGTTGAGAGACTTCTGTATTAGTTACTTGCATCTTGTCAATAAAGTCCTATTTTGAATCAATATCCAACGTTTCCATTGGCATTATATAACGACGATTTTACTATTTTCTTTTTAGTTGACCGTGTTGCTCCAGTTGTAACCTGTCCAGCCAACATAAACCAGCAATTTGGCATCAACCAGAATAGAGTAACATGGCAAACTCCATCTGGCAGTGATAACTCCCAACAGACGCCAACAATCGCACAGACTTCAGGACCAACTTCAGGATCTACGTTTACCCCCGGAACAACGACAACAATAGTATATACTGCAACTGATGCAGCAGGAAATATTGGAACGTGTTCATTCACTGTACAGATCACTGGAGGTGAGTAATTTGTGAAAGATATTTTCTAGTTTCTATAATGACTGCTTGTAAAATTTGGAGTAATCCCCCGCCCCACGTCAGATGTTAAAGAATTCCTAGATTCTGACAGCTTTATTGTGCACCTTTTTCAAACGAAGCCTTTGTAGGTTTTTGTGTTATGTCATTGAGATATTTTTGGGAAGTTTTTATCCAAAAACTGCTCATTTAAATTGGTGATTGATGTGGTAACATTGGTATATTTTTAGTAATGGATATGCACATAAAGGAGTGTGCATTCATTCATGCAAGGCTTATGCATTAATTTCTAGACCAAATTTATGGTCAATCTATCTCACAGATCTTCCCATTTTATATTGTAGGGTACTGAGAAAGGATCTTCATCAATGTGAAATGGGTTGTGTTTGCCATGTTGCCAAAGGATTTGGCTCCGTAACATACATGTAAAAATCTTATTAAGGAACTCCAAATTCTTTAGTGGACCTTTTGTGTTAAAATGTCCCTTTCATGTTTTACTATGTTTGGCATCAGACGATGCCCATTTCAGTAAGCAATGTGGCTCATTGTTTTGTCCAATTAAATTTCATTTTTTTTATGTGGACTTCATTAGCCTCATGTCCACACAAACCAAAAGTGTTTGTTTTTTCAAATGTTTTTTATTATTATCACAGATACTATTCCGCCTTCAATCTTCTGCCCAACTGTTCCTGATGAGGAGGTTCGCACAGGAAATAGTGCTGGAGCAACAGTTAACTGGAACCTGCCTAATGGATTTGACAACTTTGGTACTCCAACTGTTGCACTTTTTCCAAGTACCCAAAGTGGACCAGGTTCTTTTTTTGTATTTGGAAGCTACGCAATTACCTACCGAGCCACTGATGCAGCAGGCAACACGGCAGATTGCGATGTCACTTTCTCTGTTGGTAAGCTCTTGTGTATATTTCATTAATGCATTATTAATTCTCAATCTGAACACAATTAAATGGATTTGGAGAATCCATGAGAAAAGCAGTAGGGTTGTATGGAATCTTTTGAGGAAGATGTCGGAAGGATTTTGCTTGCTTGATTGATTGATGATTGATTGATTTTTTCAGTTGACCGAGTTGCTCCAGTTGTAACCTGTCCAGCCAACATAAACCAGCAATTTGGCACCAACCAGAATAGAGTAACATGGCAAACTCCATCTGGCAGTGATAACTCCCAACAGACGCCAACAATCGCACAGACTTCAGGACCAACTTCAGGATCTACATTTACCCCCGGAACAACGACAACAATAGTATATACTGCAACTGATGCAGCAGGAAATATTGGAACGTGTTCATTCACTGTACAGATCACTGGAGGTGAGTAATTATTTTGTGAAAGATATTTCCAATTTCTTTTAGGGATGTTTTTATTAGCCATGTTGCCAAAGGATTTGGCTCCGTAACACACATGTAAAAACACTATTAGAGTACTCCAAATTCTTTAGAAGACCTTTTGTCTTAGAATGTCCCTTTCATGTTTAACTCTGTTTTGTATCAGACGATGCCCTTTTCAGTAAGCAATTTGGCTCATTGTTTTGTCCAATTAAATTTCATTTTTTTATGTGGACTTCATTAGCCTCATGTCCACACAAACCAAAGTGTTTGTTTTTTCAAATGTTTTTTTAATTTTCTTAGATACTATTCCGCCTTCAATCTTCTGCCCAACTGTTCCCGATGAGGAGGTTCGCACAGGAAACAGTGCTGGAGCAACAGTTAACTGGAACCTGCCTAATGGATTTGACAACTTTGGTACTCCAACTGTTGCACTTTTTCCAACTACCCAAAGTGGACCAGGTTCTTTTTTCGTATTTGGAACCTACGCAATTACCTACCGAGCCACTGATGGAGCAGGAAACACGGCAGATTGTGATGTCACTTTCTCCGTTGGTAAGCTCTTGTGTTGTCTTTCGTTCATCTATCCATTCTCAATCTCAGCACAATCAGATAGATGGGGAGCACCCACAAGAAAAGCAATAGGGTTGTATGGAATCTTTTTTAGAAGATGTCGGAAGGATTTTGCTTAATTGATTGATTGATTGATTTTACTATTTTCTTTTCAGTCGACCGAGTTGCTCCAGTTGTAACCTGTCCAGCCAACATAAACCAGCAATTTGGCACCAACCAGAATAGAGTAACATGGCAAACTCCATCTGGCAGTGATAACTCCCAACAGACGCCAACAATCGCACAGACTTCAGGACCAACTTCAGGATCTACATTTACCCCCGGAACAACGACAACAATAGTCTATACTGCAACTGATGCAGCAGGAAATATTGGAACGTGTTCATTCACTGTACAAATCACTGGAGGTGAGTAATTTGTGAAAGATATTTTCTAGTTTCTATAATGACTGCTTGTAAAATTTGGAGTAATCCCTCCCCCCCCCTGTCCTTAGATGTGAACGAATTCCTAGATTCTGACAGCTTTATTGTGCACCCTTTTCAAGCGAAGCCTTTGTAGGGTTTTGTGTCATGTCATTGAGATATTTTCCATATTTTTGGGAAAGTTTTTATCCAAAAACTGCTCATTTGTATTGGTGATTGATGTGGTAACTGGTATATTTTTAGTAATGGATATGCACATAAAGGAGTGTGCATTCATTCATGCAAGCCTTATGCATTAATTTCTAGACCAAAATTATGGTCAATTTATCTCACAGATCTTCCCGTTTTATATTGTAGGGTACTGAGAAAGGATCTTCATCAATGTGAAATGGGTTGTGTTTGCCATGTTGCCAAAGGATTTGGCTCCGTAACATACATGTAAAAATCTTATTAAGGAACTCCAAATTCTTTTAGTGGACCTATTTTGCCTTATGAATGTCCCTTTCATGTTTTACTCTGTTTGGCATCAGACGATGCCCATTTCAGTAAGCAATTTGGCTCATTGTTTTGTCCAATTAAAGTTCATTTTTATATGTGGACTTCATTAGCCTCAAATCCACACAAACCAAAAGTGTTTTTTTTTTCAAATAATTTTTATTATTATCACAGATACTATTCCGCCTTCAATCTTCTGCCCAACTGTTCCTGACGAGGAGGTTCGCACAGGAAATAGTGCTGGAGCAACAGTTAACTGGAACCTGCCTAATGGATTTGACAACTTTGGTACTCCAACTGTTGCACTTTTTCCAACTACCCAAAGTGGACCAGGTTCTTTTTTCGCATTTGGAACCTACGCAATTACCTACCGAGCCACCGATGGAGCAGGCAACACGGCAGATTGTGATGTCACTTTCTCTGTTGGTAAGCTCTTGTGTTGTCTTTCGTTCACTATCAATTCTCAATCTCAGCACAATCAGATAGATGGGGAGCACCCACAAGAAAAGCAATAGGGTTGTATGGAATCTTTTTTGGAAGATGTCGGAAGGATTTTGCTTAATTGATTGATTGATTGATTGATTGATTTTACTATTTTCCTTTCAGTCGACCGAGTTGCTCCAGTTGTAACCTGTCCAGCCAATGTAAACCAGCAATTTGGCATCAACCAGAATAGAGTAACATGGCAAACTCCATCTGGCAGTGATAACTCCCAACAGACGCCAACAATCGCACAGACTTCGGGACCAACTTCAGGATCTACGTTTACCCCCGGAACAACGACAACAATAGTCTATACTGCAACTGATGCAGCAGGAAATATTGGAACGTGTTCATTCACTGTACAGATCACTGGAGGTGAGTATTTTGTGAAAGATATTTTCTAGTTTTTATAGTGACTGCTTGTTAAATTTGGAGTGATCCCTCCCCCCTCCCATCAGATGTTAAAGAATTCCTAGATTCTGACAGCTTTATTGTGCACCTTTTTCAAGCACAGCCTTTGTAGGTTTTTGTGTCATGTCAGTGAGATATTTTTCATATTTTTGGGGAAGTTTTTATCCAAAAACTGCTCATATAAATTGGCGATTGATGTGGTAACATTGGTATATTTTTAGTAATGGATATGCACATAAAGGAGTGTGCATTCATTCATGCAAGGCTTATGCATTAATTTCTAGACCAAATTATGGCCATAACTCACAGATCTTCCCATTTTATAATGTAGGGTACTTACAAAGGGTCTTTGTTAATGTGAAACGGGTTGTGTTTGCCATGTTGCCAAAGGATTTGGCTCCGTAACATACATGTAAAAATCTTATTAAGGAACTCCAAATTCTTTTAGTGGACCTATTTTGCCTTATGAATGTCCCTTTCATGTTTTACTCTGTTTGGCATCAGACGATGCCCATTTCAGTAAGCAATTTGGCTCATTGTTTTGTCCAATTAAATTTCATTTTTTTTATGTGGACTTTATTAGCCTCATGTCCACACAAACCAAAAGTGTTTTTTTTTTCAAATGTTTTTTATTATTATCACAGATACTATTCCGCCTTCAATCTTCTGCCCAACTGTTCCTGATGAGGAGGTTCGCACAGGAAATAGTGCTGGAGCAACAGTTAACTGGAACCTGCCTAATGGATTTGACAACTTTGGTACTCCAACTGTTGCACTTTTTCCAACTACCCAAAGTGGACCAGGTTCTTTTTTCGCATTTGGAACCTACGCAATTACCTACCGAGCCACTGATGGAGCAGGCAACACGGCAGATTGTGATGTCACTTTCTCCGTTGGTAAGCTCTTGTGTTGTCTTTCGTTCATCTATCCATTCTCAATCTCAGCACAATCAGATAGATGGGGAGCACCCACAAGAAAAGCAATAGGGTTGTATGGAATCTTTTTTGGAAGATGTCGGAAGGATTTTGCTTAATTGATTGATTGATTGATTTTACTATTTTCTTTTCAGTCGACCGAGTTGCTCCAGTTGTAACCTGTCCAGCCAACATAAACCAGCAATTTGGCACCAACCAGAATAGAGTAACATGGCAAACTCCATCTGGCAGTGATAACTCCCAACAGACGCCAACAATCGCACAGACTTCAGGACCAACTTCAGGATCTACATTTACTCCCGGAGCAACGACAACAATAGTCTATACTGCAACTGATGCAGCAGGAAATATTGGAACGTGTTCATTTACTGTTCAAATCACTGGAGGCAAGTACTTTTTTGAAGATACATTTCAGTTTCTTAAATGTCTGCTTGCAAAATTTGTCGTTATAGCTTTCTGCACCTTTGTCAAAACAAAGCCTTTGTAGGATTTTGTGATGCATTTCATTGAGATATGTCTCACATTTTTGGAGACATTTTCATCCAGAATTGTCGTGTAAATTGGTGTTTGATACGCTGACATTGGTGTGGTTTTAGTAATGGCTACACACACCTTTAATAATGGAGTGTGCCTTCATTCATGCAAGGCTTATCCTTTAATTTCTAGATCAGAGTGCCTCTGAATTTACATTGTAGTGCACTTAGAAAGGATCTTATGTTTAAAAAGAAAAACACTGGTGTGATTTACCTCTTTGCTGGTGCTATTGCTAGGCCATCATTTGCCACACATGTAAAAACATGATTGTTTGAATGGATAACCGTCTTCAGAATGTCCCTTTCGTGTTTTACTTTATTTTGCAACGGACAAATAATTGCACTGTTTTTTTTAGTACACATTTTGCCATGTGCTTCTGACTAATGAAAGTGTGTAGTTTGAATGTGAACCGAATTAGCCTCATGTCCACATACGAATTATACAAACTTAATTTAAAAAAAACCCAAAAAACTTTCTTATTATCACAGATACTATTCCGCCTTCAATCTTCTGCCCGACTGTTCAAGATGTGACAGTTAGCACAGGAAATAATGCTGGAACAACAGTTACCTGGGCAACGCCTCAGGTATCCGATAACTCTGATATTGCTCCAACGGTTGCACTCTTTCCTCCGACCCAAAGTGGACCTGGCTCTTTTTTTGTGTTTGGAACGTATGCAATTTCCTACCGAGCCACTGATGCAGCAGGCAACGTTGGCGATTGTGATGTCAATTTCTCTGTTGGTAAGCTCTTCTGTATCTTTGGTGTTGGGCAATTCCATAAATTTAGACATGTGTTGTCAGACGCTTTAATGAGCTGCCGTAGGAAAATTTGAATGCGATACATCACTAATAATGTGACATGTAATGAGTCGTTGAACCAAGGTCTTTCCACAACTAATGACCTTGTTCATGTACATCGTGTGGTCTGACGTACGTTGGATTTTATGGAATTGCCCGGCTTATGTCATAAATTACTATTCCTCATACATATTCATGATTGAGAGCTGAATTCTCATTGGTCCCCCTGCCATCAGCAGATATGCTGTTAAAGGGGCACTAGGTCCTGAAATCCCCGAAAATTTCATGTTTTGGATTGTTTACTTATCCTATTTCAAACATGTGGTTGAAAGGAAACCAACCTAATGTCTTACCGTTCCCGAGAAAAGACGAAAAACCCCGGTTGTTTACATCGGACACGACGGAGTACGAATACGTTTTTCGTGATGTTCTCTAGTGTACGATATACACGTTGTGTGTCTCAGGATCAGCGGTGACCAATCACCAATGCAAAAAAATTGGTTTCTTCAACGTCCGCAAAAGACGAACACTTTATGCGTACGAATGAAATCACAACTCCAAACGGCTCGAATTTATGGGGTCGCAAAAGTGGACCCCGAAATTCGTTCTCGCACACATAATACAGGAATAACACAAAAACGCCCAGTTTTTAAAGGGTAGTTGTGTGGATGTTTCTATCCTAGTTTTAAATGTTCTTTCCAATCAACATTATCTCGTTCAAAGCGCGTTTTGTAGCCCAATTGGGCTGTTCCAGGACCTAGTGTCCCTTTAAGCTATCACGCAAGTGACGATTCATGCACAGAGTAAACAAGCATGTGTAAAAGACTATCACATGGGTTACATGTGTGCTTGTCTAGTACACATGTGCTTTATGCAGCAATCGTGGAACTAGCGTCGGGGTTGGGGGGGGGGATAGGGGGCAGCTGTGCGCATGCCCAAACATTGCCTTAGCTAGTACATGAAATAATGGAGCACACGCACAGCAACGTTATGATGCGCACATAACTCAACCAAATTTTGTTGAATATATGTGAGGTATTGTAAAACAAATATAACATGGTTTGTTTGGTGTGGATAGTTGATATCAACTCCCATCAGTATTGGAAGTTCCAATTTTACCGTGTTCTCCTTCAGGTTTATGCAGGCAGGATATTAGCACACGCTGTTGGTGGTGGTTTTACCGTTTAATCCAGTATCATGTTTACTCCCAGACAGATTGGCTTAAGTCGCGCAAACAGTTAAAGAAATAATGGCAAAATTCTACAAATATGCTTATTTCTTCTTCCTTGGCCTTTCTTTTCAGTTGATGGGGTCCCTCCACAATTCACATTCTGCCCTGATAATATTCTTCAGCAATTTGAGGCTGATAACGGTGTCACAACTGGGCTCAATGTCAACTGGCTTGCTCCTGAAGTATCTGATAACTCTGGCCAGTCTGTCCAAGCTGTCTTAGTTGAAGGCTCTCAACCGGGATCTTTTTTCAACATTGGACAAACAACCATAACCTACAGTGCCACTGATGCTGCTGGAAATTTCAACATGTGTACATTTACTGTAACGGTCGTACAAGGTAATGAATCGTTGAGAAACTATGCACCATATTTATGATGATTCATTTATCTGATATTTACATCATCCTGAAATCGCCAAAAAGTTCATGTCAGGAGACTTTTGATGATGACTAGAGCAGGCTAATCGAAATGTTGAGACCAAAGATAAGTTCTTTTAGAACTAAGCAGGACTGTTCGTATCATAACTAAAAACTACTTAGTGAAAGTTGATAATAAGCAGGACAAGTTCTTATCAGAACTAAACGTCTACTGAATGACAGTAAATATTACCACATGGTATTACCGCAAACCAAAATGATACTGTCATTTGAAATCACACAATGAAGGGCTTGGGTGCAGGAGTACTGCAACTGTACTTCCAAGAGCTTAGTTGAGGACGGAGCACAAGTGTTGTGAGTACAGAACATGCCAAATGAGACTTATAATGCTGTGGACATGTATGAGTATCAACAAAAACTACTCCTGACCTGCAAAAGTCCTATTTTATCCTGATTTTGTCCTCCAAAGTCCTACTTTTGTCCGTTTTTTTTTTAAATTTTGATCCTTCTATTCTACTTTTTCACCTAAGAATGCATGAAAGCCTGAGAGATTGGTTTTCTGTCCTGCTGTCTGCATGGGCCTACATGTGTTAACAAAGCAAGCATGTTCCTCAACCGCTACAGGATGGGCTTTATCTTTCATTTGCTGCCATTAACTGCCTGAAAATCAAAGCTACATACAAAGCATTGTAAAGAAAATGGCTGACTTGATCCATTGAATGTGGTATCAGCATGCGTATAGCAGCCACTAGTCCGAAAATTTGGGACTCTCAATACTGTGTATGAGAGTCCCAAAACTTAAGGTATTGAAAACATGCAAAACAAGAAAATAGACTGGCACCAAAAACAACCTGTCCAACACAGCTTCAGTACTGCATCAATCAATTTGGAGAAATTTGCTGGCTAAAGTGTGAGTAAAGTGAGCCTGATTTAGTTTTGCACGTTTCAGAGCACTCCAGAGCCCTGTCTGAGCGGCCACAGCATGTGCACGCTTATAATGTTTTTTTTGGGTCAAATTAAGCTAGAAATTAAAAGGGAAAGTTGTCTAAACTACATTCCTTTTTTTCCCCAGTTGATGGAACCCCTCCACAATTCGACAACTGTCCACAGGACATTCTTCGGACCATACCTATCGGATCAACCTCCATCCCAATAACTTGGCCGACAATTACAGTAACAGACAATTCAGGGAATCAAATCAATCCAGTACTTCTGTCACAAAACCCGGGTCAATTTACCGAAGGCACGTTCCGCATCAGGTACCAAGCCACTGACCAAGCTGGCAATAGTGCCATATGCTCCTTTGACGTCATTGTTACAAGAGCTGGTAAGTACATTTAGAAAATATTGAATTGCTGACTTGCATTCCTTACAACCTTTTACATTTGTGGCCTTCTGTTCAGTGGGAAAATTTCAGTTTGCTAGTCAGTGGATGATTTGTATCACTTTTGAAGTTTTATAAGAGTTTGGACTATAAAAAGTATATTCAAGCTTTTTCCAAATTGGGGATTCCAAGATTTTTGTGTTATTTTTCCGTGTCTTCCATGGAGATAATTTGGGCCTGCACATCAATGGATAATTTGCATCAGCTTTTACTTTAGTATGATCTCTTTTCAAAGTTTAAAGGATTTCGGACTATAAAAAGGATGGTCAAACTCTTCCAAGTCCGGGATTCAGAGTTTTTTTTTTAAAGTAAAGTCCATCATTTGTAATTTGTGCAGTTTGTTCGTTTAGAGCAACAAAAGTGCTCAAAATCTAAAGAAAGGTGCTGAACAACTAACCTGATGAAGTTTCAGCTCAGCTTCAGCTGTATATTTCGAGAAGAACAACATTCTAGGAGCTCGATTTCAAATCAAAAGTTGCAGAATCGTGTTTTGAATTGGGCCTGAATTCATTGTCCGAGACACGTTCTCACTGAGCTGATTGCGGCTACGCGATGTCGCACACCGATCCGACGAATTATAGCAACCATGCACGTGTGCGTCGTGTCAACGCTTGCGCCCACTTCGCTAAATACAACACTAGTTAACGGAAATTTCCAACGGTGCTTCTTAAGACGGCACCGTTGGAAAGGCCTTCTTTTTGTTGATTTCTTCGAAATGACAGCTTGCCAGAAAGAATAATTTCACAGGGAGTTTAGTCCCCTTACTATCTTTCAACCAAGTATGTTTTTCAACAATAATTACGCCAGTCACTTTTTGGATAGCTGTAAATGATGGTCTCTGGCTTTAAGTTATTCTTTTCTGTGTCACACTGCAGTGGATACCACTCCTCCTGTTGTCCAGAATTGCCCATCTAACATCAACCAGGAAATCCCAATTGGTATTACAAGTACAACTGTCACATGGCAACAGCCATTTGCCACAGATAATTCTGGTCAGACGCCCGCTGTGACGTCCAGCCACACCTCAGGATCCACCTTCTTTGTGGGTTCGACTACGGTTACTTACACATTCACGGATCAATCCAGCAATTCCGCCACTTGCCAGTTTGCTGTGACAGTTACAGCAGGTATGATATGAAGTGTTTGTGAAGTTCCTTGACCTGACAGTTTTGTTAGAGAGTCAGCACATGAATAGAACAAGTTGCAACTAAATCCTGCCTTTGTCCAGGACTATACTTAAGGCAGGATTCCTAAATCGATGTTAATAACAGATACTGGAAATCTTTCCTGGCTTTCAATTTCAAAAGTGCCAATCTTGATCTGATAGACTTATCATTTTCAGGGCTGATCAAAAGCATGACAGTTATTTTGTAAATAATACTAAATACACTCAGTATTACCTGTGTTAGTGTGAACATGTTGAGCGACAACGAAAATATCTCTTGGTAATTCGAATATCTCTTGGTAATTCTTGAAGTGCTTGGAAACTTAAAGGATCCTGCATGTTCAGCTGCCATCAGGCCGACATGCAATTTGCTTGCACAGCATTAGAACCGTTGGCATGAAGTACAAAAGTATTCCTGATGTCACAAAACTGAAAAATCATCAGATTATCTCGGAGCAATCAGCACTTTGGCACACAGAAATCACCCACAATGTGGCGATAACTTCGCGGCAGGAATGTGATCATCTGACTCCCTCAAAACAGCGGTGCGCATGTTGATAACAATCAACGATCTTCCACGGCTGCATCGTGTCATTCAGCTGTCATAATTTTTTAAAAACTACGCATTTGCCGTTCACTTATTGGCTGCACAATGAAATTAGATAATCCAGATACGTGCACATCATAACTTTTCCAGGACAACTGCGATTGATAAGTGACTGTCGGGAGCACCATCTGATGCTAATCATCTTAATATCAATGCTGTTACACTTAAATTGTCAAAAATTTACAACTGATATGTTCCCAACGATTGTAGTTCAGGCCCAGCTTGATCCTGAAAATTCAGTCACTGGCTGTTCTGTGTTGTTGCAATGTCGACCTTAGGGCGGCTGTATGGTCAGAAAACAGTGGTCCCCACCTGACCTTCGATTCCTTGATATTTTGAAAATCATGTTTTAGAAACCAGACTAATCATGTGCAAGATCATTATCAAAAACCTGGTTGGGTACCACACACCATTCTGTGCTGTGCCTGATGCATGGATGGCTGAGGTTTTTAAATGAGTTTTTCTGATTCAGTGTTAATGCCCTCTGTGTACTGTTCAAGAGAGGCCCCATTTAATGATGTGTAAATTAAATGATTGTTAGCTGGGCGTAGGTTAAAGATTAACGACAAACTCATTTCTGCATTTCTTCTCCAGTTGATAGAACTCCTCCGCAATTCGACAACTGTCCACAGGACATTCGTCGGACCATTCCTATTGGATCAACCTCCATCCCAATAACTTGGCCGACAATAACAGTAACAGACAATTCTGGGAATCAAATCAATCCAGTGCTTCTGTCACAAAACCCGGGTCAATTTAACGAAGGCACGTACAACATCAGGTACCAAGCCACTGACCAAGCTGGCAATAGTGCCATATGCTCCTTTGACGTCATTGTTACAAGAGATGGTAAGTACGTGTAGAAAATATTGAATTAGGCCAACCCAAAAAAATTCTGCTTCCGGTTTCGCTACCTACCGTTTGCTGACAGTTCCTACCCTAATGTTTTTATTGGGAGCATGAAAAAAAACCACCCAAAACCATCAATTTCTACCTTTTACTCTTGACTACATGCAGACACCTCCATATTATCGTCACAAAAAAATGGCTAAAAAAAACTTCTCTACCTACCTACCCTATTTTCAAATGCTATGTAATCGGAAGCAGCAATTAATTTTTTGGCTTACCGACTTCCTTGGTTTACATCATTTTACAATTCTTTGCTTTCTGTTCAGAGGAGCATTTTGGCCTACTAGTCAATGGATGATTTGCATCAGCTTTTACTTATTCAAAGTTGAAGTTTTTGGACTATAAAAAGTATATTCAAGCATTTTCCAAGTCTGGGATTCAGAGATTTTGTAAAGTTATTCTTTTCTGTAACTTCACTGCAGTGGATACCACTCCTCCTGTCGTCCAGAATTGCCCATCTAACATCAACCAGGAAATCCCATTTGGTAGTACAAGTACAACTGTCACATGGCAACAGCCATTTGCCACAGATAATTCTGGTCAGACGCCTGCTGTGACGTCCAGCCACACCTCAGGATCCACCTTCTTTGTGGGTTCGACTACGGTTACTTACACATTCACGGATCAATCCAGCAATTTCGCCACTTGCCAGTTTGTTGTGACAGTAACAGCAGGTATGATATGAAGTGATTTTATTACCTGTGCTAGTGGAAACATCATGAGTGTCAACGAGAATATGTCTGGGTAACTTTGGACATGTTTGAAAACCAGGCCCGGAATTAGTGTTTCCTAGGCCCTAGGCAACAGTGTTGCGTTAGCCCTACTCCACCCTATGCACTGGCACCAAGTTCATGTTGATGCTAAAAGTACAAAGCACTGTACAAAACAAGCGAGGCCAAACTGGTATCCGCCCCGCTCACAAGTACCCCCTCTCAGGCAAAGAAAGTACAGTTGGGGGTGACCAACCGACGCCATCTTGCCTGACTGCAATTTTGCCGCGCCGCGCAGCCGTACCACTGCGTGTACATAGTACAAATCCCCTGGTGTATGCGCGTCACACACAAGGATTGGTGCGTGAACGGCCGTACCACTGCGTGTACAAAGTACAAATCCTCAGGTGAACTCGGGTCACACACAAGAAAAGATACATGTCATCTAGCTAAATGTCCTGCCCATGGGAACTCGTTGCTTGGTAAAAGGGCGCCCTCTATTGATGGCGCACGGAGCCCATAGATCCTAGCTATTCGGTTGTTACACTTAGGTCGCCAAAAAGTGACGACTGATATGTTCCCAACAATTGAAGTTTATGCGCAGCTTGATCTTGAGAATTCTGTCACTGACGGTTCCATGTCATTTCAAGCCCAATCTGAGGGTGGCTGTTTGGTCAGAAAATGGCAGACCCTACCTAATCTTCGATTCCTTGATATTTTGAAAATCATGTTTTAGAAACCAGACTAATCATGTGCAAGATCATTATCAACAACCTGGTTGGGTACCACACACCATTCTGTGCTGTGCCCGATGCAAGGATGGCTGAGGTTTTTAAATGAGTTTTTCTGATTCAGTGTTAATGCCCTCTGTGTACTGTTCAAGGGAGGCCCCATTTAATGATGTGTAAATTAAATGATTGAGAGCTGGGCGTAGGTTAAAGATTAACGACAAACTTATTTCTGCATTGTTTCCCCAGTTGATAGAACTCCTCCGCAATTTGACAACTGTCCACAGGACATTCGTCGGACCATTCCTATTGGATCAACCTCCATCCCAATAACTTGGCCGACAATAACAGTAACAGACAATTCTGGGAATCAAATCAATCCAGTGCTTCTGTCACAAAACCCGGGTCAATTTAACGAAGGCACGTACAACATCAGGTACCAAGCCACTGACCAAGCTGGCAATAGTGCCATATGCTCCTTTGACGTCATTGTTACAAGAGATGGTAAGTACGTGTAGAAAATATTGAATTAGGCCAACCCAAAAAAATTCTGCTTCCGGTTTCGCTACCTACCGTTTGCTGACAGTTCCTACCCTAATGTTTTTATTGGGAGCATGAAAAAAAAACACCCAAAACCATCAATTTCTACCTTTTACTCTTGACTACATGCAGACACCTCCATATTATCGTCACAAAAAAATGGCTAACAAAAACTTCTCTACCTACCTACCCTATTTTCAAATGCTATGTAATCGGAAACAGCAATTAATTTTTTGGCTTACCGACTTCCTTGGTTTACATCATTTTACAATTCATTGCTTTCTGTTCAGAGGAGCATTTTGGCCTACTAGTCAATGGATGATTTGCATCAGCTTTTACTTATTCAAAGTTGAAGTTTTTGGACTATAAAAAGTATATTCAAGCATTTTCCAAGTCTGGGATTCAGAGATTTTGTAAAGTTATTCTTTTCTGTAACTTCACTGCAGTGGATACCACTCCTCCTGTCGTCCAGAATTGCCCATCTAACATCAACCAGGAAATCCCATTTGGTAGTACAAGTACAACTGTCACATGGCAACAGCCATTTGCCACAGATAATTCTGGTCAGACGCCTGCTGTGACGTCCAGCCACACCTCAGGATCCACCTTCTTTGTGGGTTCGACTACGGTTACTTACACATTCACGGATCAATCCAGCAATTTCGCCACTTGCCAGTTTGTTGTGACAGTAACAGCAGGTATGATATGAAGTGATTTTATTACCTGTGCTAGTGGAAACATCATGAGTGTCAACGAGAATATGTCTGGGTAACTTTGGACATGTTTGAAAACCAGGCCCGGAATTAGTGTTTCGTAGGCCCTAGGCAACAGTGTTGCGTTAGCCCTACTCCACCCTATGCACTGGCACCAAGTTCATGTTGATGCTAAAAGTACAAAGCACTGTACAAAACAAGCGAGGCCAAACTGGTATCCGCCCCGCTCACAAGTACCCCCTCTCAGGCAAAGAAAGTACAGTTGGGGGTGACCAACCGACGCCATCTTGCCTGACTGCAATTTTGCCGCGCCGCGCAGCCGTACCACTGCGTGTACATAGTACAAATCCCCTGGTGTATGCGCGTCACACACAAGGACTGGTGCGTGAACGGCCGTACCACTGCGTGTACAAAGTACAAATCCTCAGGTGAACTCGGGTCACACACAAGAAAAGATACATGTCATCTAGCTAAATGTCCTGCCCATGGGAACTCGTTGCTTGGTAAAAGGGCGCCCTCTATTGATGGCGCACGGAGCCCATAGATCCTAGCTATTCGGTTGTTACACTTAGGTCGCCAAAAAGTGACGACTGATATGTTCCCAACAATTGAAGTTTATGCGCAGCTTGATCTTGAGAATTCTGTCACTGACGGTTCCATGTCATTTCAAGCCCAATCTGAGGGTGGCTGTATGGTCAGAAAACGGCAGACCCTACCTGCGCTTCGATTCCTTGATATTTTGAAAATCATGTTTTAGAAACCAGACTAATCATGTGCAAGATCATTATCAACAACCTGGTTGGGTACCACACACCATTCTGTGCTGTGCCCGATGCATGGATGGCTGAGGTTTTTAAATGAGTTTTTCTGATTCAGTGTTAATGCCCTCTGTGTACTGTTCAAGGGAGGCCCCATTTAATGATGTGTAAATTAAATGATTGAGAGCTGGGCGTAGGTTAAAGATTAACGACAAACTTATTTCTGCATTGTTTCCCCAGTTGATAGAACTCCTCCGCAATTTGACAACTGTCCACAGGACATTCGTCGGACCATACCTATTGGATCAACCTCCATCCCAATAACTTGGCCGACGATTACAGTAACAGACAATTCAGGGAATCAAATCAATCCAGTGCTTCTGTCACAAAACCCGGGTCAATTTAACGAAGGCACGTACAACATCAGGTACCAAGCCACTGACCAAGCTGGCAATAGTGCCATATGCTCCTTTGACGTCATTGTTACAAGAGATGGTAAGTACGTGTAGAAAATATTGAATTAGGCCAACCCAAAAAAATTCTGCTTCCGGTTTCGCTACCTACCGTTTTTTGACAGTTCCTACCCTAATGTTTTTATTGGGAGCATGAAAAAAAAACACCCCAAACAATCAATTTCTACCTTTTACCCTCGACTACATGCAGACACCTCCATATTATCGTCACAAAAAAATGGCTCAAAAAAAATTCTCTACCTACCTACCCTATTTTCAAATGCTATGTAATCGGAAGCAGCAATTAATTTTTTGGCTTACCGACTTCCTTGGTTTACATCATTTTACAATTCATTGCTTTCTGTTCAGAGGAGCATTTTGGCCTACTAGTCAATGGATGATTTGCATCAGCTTCTACTTATTCAAAGTTGAAGTTTTTGGACTATAAAAAGTATATTCAAGCATTTTCCAAGTCTGGCATTCAGAGATTTTGTAAAGTTATTCTTTTCTGTAACTTCACTGCAGTGGATACCACTCCTCCTGTCATCCAGAATTGCCCATCTAACATCAACCAGGAAATCCCATTTGGTAGTACCAGTACAACTGTCACATGGCAACAGCCATTTGCCACAGATAATTCTGGTCAGACGCCCGCTGTGACGTCCAGCCACACCTCAGGATCCCCCTTCTTTGTGGGTTCGACTACGGTTACTTACACATTCACGGATCAATCCAGCAATTTCGACACTTGCCAGTTTGTTGTGACAGTAACAGCAGGTAAGATATGAAGTGTTTTTATTACCTGTGCTAGTGGAAACATCATGAGTGTCAACGAGAATATGTCTGGGTAACTTTGGACAAAGTACAGTTGGGGGTGACCGACCGACGCCATCTTGCCTGACTGCAATTTTGCCGCGCTGTGCGGCCGTACCACTGCGTGTACATAGTACAAATCCCCTGGTGTATGCGCGTCACACACAAGGATTGGTGCGTGAACGGCCGTACCACTGCTCGTACAAAGTACAAATCCTCAGGTGAACGTGCGTCACACACAAGAAACGATGCGTGTCAACTAGCTAAAAGTCCTGCCCATGGGAACTCGTTGCTTGGTAAAAGGGCGCCCTCTATTGGTGGCGCACGGAGCCCATAGATCTTAGCTATTCGGTTGTTACACTTAGGTCGCCAAAAAGTGATGACTGATATGTTCCCAACAATTGAAGTTTATGCGCAGCTTGATCCTGAGAATTCTGTCACTGACGGTTCCGTGTCATTTCAAGCTCAATCTGAGGGTGGCTGTATGGTCAGAAAACGGCAGACCCTACCTGACCTTCGATTTCTTGATATTTTGAAAATCATGTTTTAGAAACCAGACTAATCATGTGCAAGATCATTATCAACAACCTGGTTGGGTACCACACACCATTCTGTGCTGTGCCTGATGCATGGATGGCTGAGGTTTTTAAATGAGTTTTTTTGATTCAGTGTTAATGCCCTCTGTTTACTGTTCAAGAGAGGCCCCATTTAATGATGTGTAAATTAAATGATTGAGAGCTGGGCGTAGGTTAAAGATTAACGACAAACTTATTTCTGCATTTCTTCCCCAGTTGATAGAACTCCTCCGCAATTCGACAACTGTCCACAGGACATTCGTCGGACCATACCTTTTGGATCAACCTCCATCCCAATAACTTGGCCGACGATTACAGTAACAGACAATTCAGGGAATCAAATCAATCCAGTGCTTCTGTCACAAAACCCGGGTCAATTTAACGAAGGCACGTACAACATCAGGTACCAAGCCACTGACCAAGCTGGCAATAGTGCCATATGCTCCTTTGACGTCATTGTTACAAGAGATGGTAAGTACGTGTAGAAAATATTGAATTAGGCCAACCCCAAAAAATTCTGCTTCCGGTTTCGCTACCTACCGTTTTCTGACAGTTCCTACCCTAATGTTTTTATTGGGAGCATGAAAAAAAACCACCCAAAACCATGAATTTCTACCTTTTACCCTTGACTACATGCAGACATCTCCATATTATCGTCACAAAAAAATGGCTAAAAAAAATTCTCTACCTACCTACCCTATTTTCAAATGCTATGTAATCGGAAGCAGCAATTAATTTTTTGGCTTACCGACTTCCTTTGTTTACATCATTCTACAATTCATTGCTTTCTGTTCAGAGGAGCATTTTGGCCTACTAGTCAATGGATGATTTGCATCAGCTTTTAGTTATTCAAAGTTGAAGTTTTTGGACTATAAAAAGTATATTCAAGCATTTTCCAAGTCTGGGATTCAGAGATTTTGTGGGTTCGACTACGGTTACTTACACATTCACGGATCAATCCAGCAATTTCGCCACTTGCCAGTTTGTTGTGACAGTAACAGCAGGTATGATATGAAGTGTTTTTATTACCTGTGCTAGTGGAAACATCATGAGTGTCAACGAGAATATGTCTGGGTAACTTTGGACAAAGTACAGTTGGGGGTGACCGACCGACGCCATCTTGCCTGACTGCAATTTTGCCGCGCTGCGTGGCCGTACCACTGCGTGTACATAGTACAAATCCCCTGGTGTATGCGCGTCACACACAAGGATTGGTGCGTGAACGGCCGTACCACTGCGTGTACAAAGTACAAATCCTCAGGTGAACGTGCGTCACACACAAGAAACGATGCTTGTCAACTAGCTAAATGTCCTGCCCATGGGAACTCGTTGCTTGGTAAAAGGGCGCCCTCTATTGGTGGCGCATGGAGCCCATAGATCTTAGCTATTCGGTTGTTACACTTAGGTCCCCAAAAAGTGACGACTGATATGTTCCCAACAATTGAAGTTTATGCGCAGCTTGATCCTGAGAATTCTGTCACTGATGGTTCCGTGTCATTTCAAGCCCAATCTGATGGTGGCTCTTTGGTCAGAAAATGGCAGACCCTACCTAATCTTCGATTCCTTGATATTTGAAAATCATGTTTTAGAAACCAGACTAATCATGTGCAAGATCATTATAAACAACCTGGTTGGGTACCACACACCATTCTGTGCTGTGCCCGATGCATGGATGGCTGAGGTTTTTAAATGAGTTTTTCTGATTCAGTGTTAATGCCCTCTGTTTACTGTTCAAGGGAGGCCCCATTTAATGATGTGTAAATTAAATGATTGAGAGCTGGGCGTAGGTTAAAGATTAACGACAAACTTATTTCTGCATTTCTTCCCCAGTTGATAGAACTCCTCCGCAATTTGACAACTGTCCACAGGACATTCGTCGGACCATACCTTTTGGATCAACCTCTATCCCAATTACTTGGCCGACAATTACAGTAACAGACAATTCAGGGAATCAAATCAATCCAGTGCTTCTGTCACAAAACCCGGGTCAATTTAACGAAGGCACGTACAACATCAGGTACCAAGCCACTGACCAAGCTGGCAATAGTGCCATATGCTCCTTTGATGTCATTGTTACAAGGGATGGTAAGTACGTGTAGAAAATATTGAATTAGGCCAACCCAAAAAAATTCTGCTTCCGGTTTCGCTACCTACCGTTTTCTGACAGTTCCAACCCTAATGTTTTTATGGGGAACATGAAAAAAAAACACCCAAAACCATGAATTTCTACCTTTTACCCTTGACTACATGCAGACATCTCCATATTATCGTAACAAAAAAAAATGGCCCAAAAAAAATTCTCTACCTACCTACCCTATTTTCAAATGCTATGTAATCGGAAGCAGGAATTAATTTTTTGGCTTACCGACTTCCTTGGTTTACATCATTCTACAATTCATTGCTTTCTGTTCAGAGGAGCATTTCGGCCTACTAGTCAATGGATGATTTGCATCAGCTTTTAGTTATTCAAAGTTGAAGTTTTTGGACTATAAAAAGTATATTCAAGCATTTTCCAAGTCTGGGATTCAGAGATTTTGTAAAGTTATTCTTTTCTGTAACTTCACTGCAGTGGATACCACTCCTCCTGTCGTCCAGAATTGCCCATCTAACTTCAACCAGGAAATCCCATTTGGTAGTACAAGTACAACTGTCACATGGCAACAGCCATTTGCCACAGATAATTCTGGTCAGACGCCCGCTGTGACGTCCAGCCACACCTCAGGATCCACCTTCTTTGTGGGTTCGACTACGGTTACTTACACATTCACGGATCAATCCAGCAATTTCGCCACTTGCCAGTTTGTTGTGACAGTAACAGCAGGTATGATATGAAGTGTTTGTATTACCTGTGCTAGTGGAAACATCATGAGTGTCAACGAGAATATGTCTGGGTAACTTTGGACATGTTTGAAAACCAGGCCCGGAATTAGTGTTTCCTAGGCCCTAGGCAACAGTGTTGCGTTAGCCCTACTCCACCCTATGCACTGGCACCAAGTTCATGTTGATGCTAAAAGTACAAAGCACTGTACAAAACAAGCGAGGCCAAACTGGTATCCGCCCATTTCACAAGTACCCCCTCTCAGGCAAAGAAAGTACAGTTGGGGTTGACCAACCGACGCCATCTTGCCTGACTGCAATTTTGCCGCGCCGCGCGGCCGTACCACTGCGTGTACATAGTACAAATCCCCTGGTGTATGTGCGTCACACAGAGGATTGGTGCGTGAACGGCCGTACCTCTGCGTGTACAAAGTACAAATCCCCAGGTGAACGTGCGTCACACACAAGAAACGATGCGTGTCAACTAGCTAAAAGTCCTGCCCATGGGAACTCGTTGCTTGGTAAAAGGGCGCCCTCTATTGGTGGCGCATGGAGCCCATAGATCTTAGCTATTCGGTTGTTACACTTAGGTCCCCAAAAAGTGACGACTGATATGTTCCCAACAATTGAAGTTTATGCGCAGCTTGATCCTGAGAATTCTGTCACTGATGGTTCCGTGTCATTTCAAGCCCAATCTGATGGTGGCTGTTTGGTCAGAAAATGGCAGACCCTACCTAATCTTCGATTCCTTGATATTTGAAAATCATGTTTTAGAAACCAGACTAATCATGTGCAAGATCATTATCAACAACCTGGTTGGGTACCACACACCATTCTGTGCTGTGCCCGATGCATGGATGGCTGAGGTTTTTAAATGAGTTTTTCTGATTCAGTGTTAATGCCCTCTGTTTACTGTTCAAGAGAGGCCCCATTTAATGATGTGTAAATTAAATGATTGAGAGCTGGGCGTAGGTTAAAGATTAACGACAAACTTATTTCTGCATTTCTTCCCCAGTTGATAGAACTCCTCCGCAATTTGACAACTGTCCACAGGACATTCGTCGGACCATACCTTTTGGATCAACCTCTATCCCAATTACTTGGCCGACAATTACAGTAACAGACAATTCAGGGAATCAAATCAATCCAGTGCTTCTGTCACAAAACCCGGGTCAATTTAACGAAGGCACGTACAACATCAGGTACCAAGCCACTGACCAAGCTGGCAATAGTGCCATATGCTCCTTTGATGTCATTGTTACAAGAGATGGTAAGTACGTGTAGAAAATATTGAATTAGGCCAACCCAAAAAAATTCTGCTTCCGGTTTCGCTACCTACCGTTTTCTGACAGTTCCAACCCTAGTGTTTTTATGGGGAACATGAAAAAAAAAACCCCAAAACCATGAATTTCTACCTTTTACCCTTGACTACATGCAGACATCTCCATATTATCGTAACAAAAAAAAATGGCCCAAAAAAAATTCTCTACCTACCTACCCTATTTTCAAATGCTATGTAATCGGAAGCAGGAATTAATTTTTTGGCTTACCGACTTCCTTGGTTTACATCATTCTACAATTCATTGCTTTCTGTTCAGAGGAGCATTTCGGCCTACTAGTCAATGGATGATTTGCATCAGCTTTTAGTTATTCAAAGTTGAAGTTTTTGGACTATAAAAAGTATATTCAAGCATTTTCCAAGTCTGGGATTCAGAGATTTTGTAAAGTTATTCTTTTCTGTAACTTCACTGCAGTGGATACCACTCCTCCTGTCGTCCAGAATTGCCCATCTAACTTCAACCAGGAAATCCCATTTGGTAGTACAAGTACAACTGTCACATGGCAACAGCCATTTGCCACAGATAATTCTGGTCAGACGCCCGCTGTGACGTCCAGCCACACCTCAGGATCCACCTTCTTTGTGGGTTCGACTACGGTTACTTACACATTCACGGATCAATCCAGCAATTTCGCCACTTGCCAGTTTGTTGTGACAGTAACAGCAGGTATGATATGAAGTGTTTGTATTACCTGTGGTAGTGGAAACATCATGAGTGTCAACGAGAATATGTCTGGGTAACTTTGGACATGTTTGAAAACCAGGCCCGGAATTAGTGTTTTGTAGGCCCAAGGCAACAGTGTTGCGTTAGCCCTACTCCACCCTATGCACTGGCACCAAGTTCATGTTGATGCTAAAAGTACAAAGCACTGTACAAAACAAGCGAGGCCAAACTGGTATCCGCCCCGTTCACAAGTACCCCCTCTCAGGCAAAGAAAGTACAGTTGGGGGTGACCAACCGACCCCATCGTGCCTGACTGCAATTTTGCCTCGCCGCGCGGCCGTACCACTGCGTGTACATAGTACAAATCCCCTGGTGTATGTGCGTCACACAGAGGATTGGTGCATGAACGGCCGTACCTCTGCGTGTACAAAGTACTAATCCCCAGGTGGACGTGCGTCACACACAAGAAACGATGCGTGTCAACTAGCTAAAAGTCCTGCCCATGGGAACTCGTTGCTTGGTAAAAGGGCGCCCTCTATTGGTGGCGCATGGAGCCCATAGATCTTAGCTATTCGGTTGTTACACTTAGGTCGCCAAAAAGTGACGACTGATATGTTCCCAACAATTGAAGTTTATGCGCAGCTTGATCCTGAGAATTCTGTCACTGATGGTTCCATGTCATTTCAAGCCCAATCTGATGGTGGCTGTTTGGTCAGAAAATGGCAGACCCTACCTAATCTTCCATTCCTTGATATTTGAAAATCATGTTTTAGAAACCAGACTAATCATGTGCAAGATCATTATCAACAACCTGGTTGGGTACCACACACCATTCTGTGCTGTGCCCGATGCATGGATGGCTGAGGTTTTTAAATGAGTTTTTCTGATTCAGTGTTAATGCCCTCGGTTTACTGTTCAAGAGAGGCTCCATTTAATGATGTGTAAATTAAATGATTGAGAGCTGGGCGTAGGTTAAAGATTAACGACAAACTTATTTCTGCATTTCTTCCCCAGTTGATAGAACTCCTCCGCAATTTGACAACTGTCCACAGGACATTCGTCGGACCATACCTTTTGGATCAACCTCTATCCCAATTACTTGGCCGACAATTACAGTAACAGACAATTCAGGGAATCAAATCAATCCAGTGCTTCTGTCACAAAACCCGGGTCAATTTAACGAAGGCACGTACAACATCAGGTACCAAGCCACTGACCAAGCTGGCAATAGTGCCATATGCTCCTTTGATGTCATTGTTACAAGAGATGGTAAGTACGTGTAGAAAATATTGAATTAGGCCAACCCAAAAAAATTCTGCTTCCGGTTTCGCTACCTACCGTTTTCTGACAGTTCCAACCCTAGTGTTTTTATGGGGAACATGAAAAAAAAAACCCCAAAACCATGAATTTCTACCTTTTACCCTTGACTACATGCAGACATCTCCATATTATCGTAACAAAAAAAAATGGCCCAAAAAAAATTCTCTACCTACCTACCCTATTTTCAAATGCTATGTAATCGGAAGCAGGAATTAATTTTTTGGCTTACCGACTTCCTTGGTTTACATCATTTTACAATTCATTGCTTTCTGTTCAGAGGAGCATTTCGGCCTACTAGTCAATGGATGATTTGCATCAGCTTTTAGTTATTCAAAGTTGAAGTTTTTGGACTATAAAAAGTATATTCAAGCATTTTCCAAGTCTGGGATTCAGAGATTTTGTAAAGTTATTCTTTTCTGTAACTTCACTGCAGTGGATACCACTCCTCCTGTCGTCCAGAATTGCCCATCTAACTTCAACCAGGAAATCCCATTTGGTAGTACAAGTACAACTGTCACATGGCAACAGCCATTTGCCACAGATAATTCTGGTCAGACGCCCGCTGTGACGTCCAGCCACACCTCAGGTTCCACCTTCTTTGTGGGTTCGACTGCGGTTACTTACACATTCACGGATCAATCCAGCAATTTCGCCACTTGCCAGTTTGTCGTGACAGTAACAGCAGGTATGATATGAAGTGTTTGTATTACCTGTGCTAGTGGAAACATCATGAGTGTCAACGAGAATATGTCTGGGTAACTTTGGACATGTTTGAAAACCAGGCCCGGAATTAGTGTTTCGTAGGCCCTAGGCAACAGTGTTCCGTTAGCCCTACTCCACCCTATGCACTGGCACCAAGTTCATGTTGATGCTAAAAGTACAAAGCACTGTACAAAACAAGCAAGGCTAAACTGGTATCCGCTCCGTTCACAAGTAACCCCTCTCTGGCAAAGAAAGTACAGTTGGGGGTGACCGACCGACGCCATCTTGCGTGACTGCAATTTTGCCGCGCCGCGCGGCCGTACCACTGCGTGTACATAGTACAAATCCCCTGGTGTATGTGTGTCACACACAAGGACTGGTGCGTGAACGGCCGTACCACTGCGTGTACAAAGTACAAATCCCCAGGTGAACGTGCATCACACACAGGAAACGATGCGTGTCAACTAGCTAAAAGTCCTGCCCATGGGAACTCGTTGCTTGGTAAAAGTGCGCCCTCTATTGGTGGCGCATGGAGCCCATAGATCCTAGCTATTCGGTTGTTACACTTAGGTCGCCAAAAAGTGACGACTGATATGTTCCCAACAATTGAAGTTTATGCGCAGCTTGATCCTGAAAATTCTGTCACTGATGGTTCCGTGTCATTTCAAGCCCAATCTGAGGGTGGCTGTTTGGTCAGAAAATGGCAGACCCTACCTAATCTTCGATTCCTTGATATTTGAAAATCATGTTTTAGAAACCAGACTAATCATGTGCAAGATCATTATCAACAACCTGGTTGGGTACCACACACCATTCTGTGCTGTGCCCGATGCATGGATGGCTGAGGTTTTTAAATGAGTTTTTCTGATTCAGTGTTAATGCCCTCGGTTTACTGTTCAAGAGAGGCTCCATTTAATGATGTGTAAATTAAATGATTGAGAGCTGGGCGTAGGTTAAAGATTAACGACAAACTTATTTCTGCATTTCTTCCCCAGTTGATAGAACTCCTCCGCAATTTGACAACTGTCCACAGGACATTCGTCGGACCATACCTTTTGGATCAACCTCTATCCCAATTACTTGGCCGACAATTACAGTAACAGACAATTCAGGGAATCAAATCAATCCAGTGCTTCTGTCACAAAACCCGGGTCAATTTAACGAAGGCACGTACAACATCAGGTACCAAGCCACTGACCAAGCTGGCAATAGTGCCATATGCTCCTTTGATGTCATTGTTACAAGAGATGGTAAGTACGTGTAGAAAATATTGAATTAGGCCAACCCAAAAAATTCTGCTTCCGGTTTCGCTACCTACCGTTTTCTGACAGTTCCAACCCTAGTGTTTTTATGGGGAACATGAAAAAAAAAACCCCAAAACCATGAATTTCTACCTTTTACCCTTGACTACATGCAGACATCTCCATATTATCGTAACAAAAAAAAATGGCCCAAAAAAAATTCTCTACCTACCTACCCTATTTTCAAATGCTATGTAATCGGAAGCAGGAATTAATTTTTTGGCTTACCGACTTCCTTGGTTTACATCATTTTACAATTCATTGCTTTCTGTTCATAGGAGCATTTCGGCCTACTAGTCAATGGATGATTTGCATCAGCTTTTAGTTATTCAAAGTTGAAGTTTTTGGACTATAAAAAGTATATTCAAGCATTTTCCAAGTCTGGGATTCAGAGATTTTGTAAAGTTATTCTTTTCTGTAACTTCACTGCAGTGGATACCACTCCTCCTGTCGTCCAGAATTGCCCATCTAACTTCAACCAGGAAATCCCATTTGGTAGTACAAGTACAACTGTCACTTGGCAACAGCCATTTGCCACAGATAATTCTGGTCAGACGCCCGCTGTGACGTCCAGCCACACCTCAGGTTCCACCTTCTTTGTGGGTTCGACTGCGGTTACTTACACATTCACGGATCAATCCAGCAATTTCGCCACTTGCCAGTTTGTCGTGACAGTAACAGCAGGTATGATATGAAGTGTTTGTATTACCTGTGCTAGTGGAAACATCATGAGTGTCAACGAGAATATGTCTGGGTAACTTTGGACATGTTTGAAAACCAGGCCCGGAATTAGTGTTTCGTAGGCCCTAGGCAACAGTGTTCCGTTAGCCCTACTCCACCCTATGCACTGGCACCAAGTTCATGTTGATGCTAAAAGTACAAAGCACTGTACAAAACAAGCAAGGCTAAACTGGTATCCGCTCCGTTCACAAGTAACCCCTCTCTGGCAAAGAAAGTACAGTTGGGGGTGACCGACCGACGCCATCTTGCGTGACTGCAATTTTGCCGCGCCGCGCGGCCGTACCACTGCATGTACATAGTACAAATCCCCTGGTGTATGTGTGTCACACACAAGGACTGGTGCGTGAACGGCCGTACCACTGCGTGTACAAAGTACAAATCCCCAGGTGAACGTGCATCACACACAGGAAACGATGCGTGTCAACTAGCTAAAAGTCCTGCCCATGGGAACTCGTTGCTTGGTAAAAGTGCGCCCTCTATTGGTGGCGCATGGAGCCCATAGATCCTAGCTATTCGGTTGTTACACTTAGGTCGCCAAAAAGTGACGACTGATATGTTCCCAACAATTGAAGTTTATGCGCAGCTTGATCCTGAAAATTCTGTCACTGATGGTTCCGTGTCATTTCAAGCCCAATCTGAGGGTGGCTGTTTGGTCAGAAAATGGCAGACCCTACCTAATCTTCGATTCCTTGATATTTGAAAATCATGTTTTAGAAACCAGACTAATCATGTGCAAGATCATTATCAACAACCTGGTTGGGTACCACACACCATTCTGTGCTGTGGCTGATGCATGGATGGCTGAGGTTTTTAAATGAGTTTTTCTGATTCAGTGTTAATGCCCTCTGTGTACTGTTCAAGGGAGGCCCCATTTAATGATGTGTAAATTAAATGATTGAGAGCTGGGTGTAGGTTAAAGATTAACGACAAACTTATTTCTACATTTCTTCCGCAGTTGATAGAACTCCTCCGCAATTTGACAACTGTCCACAGGACATTCGTCGGACCATACCTTTTGGATCAACCTCTATCCCAATTACTTGGCCGACAATTACAGTAACAGACAATTCTGGGAATCAAATCAATCCAGTGCTTCTGTCACAAAACCCGGGTCAATTTAACGAAGGCACGTACAACATCAGGTACCAAGCCACTGACCAAGCTGGCAATAGTGCCATATGCTCCTTTGATGTCATTGTTACAAGAGATGGTAAGTACGTGTAGAAAATATTGAATTAGGCCAACCCAAAAAAATTCTGCTTCCGGTTTCGCTACCTACCGTTTGCTGACAGTTCCAACCCTAGTGTTTTTATTGGGAACATGAAAAAAAACACCCCAAAACCATGAATTTCTACCTTTTACCCTTGACTACATGCAGACATCTCCATATTATCGTAACAAAAAAAAATGGCCCAAAAAAAATTCTCTACCTACCTACCCTATTTTCAAATGCTATGTAATCGGAAGCAGGAATTAATTGTTTGGCTTACCGACTTCCTTGGTTTACATCATTTTACAATTCATTGCTTTCTGTTCAGAGGATCATTTCGGCCTACAAGTCAATGGATGATTTGCATCAGCTTGTACTTATTCAAAGTTTAAGATTTTTGGACTATAAAAAGTATATTCAAGCATTTTCCAAGTCTGGGATTCAGAGATTTTTGTAAAAATATTCTTTTCTGTAACTTCACTGCAGTGGATACCACTCCTCCTGTCATCCAGAATTGCCCATCTAACATCAACCAGGAAATCCCATTTGGTAGTACAAGTACAACTGTCACTTGGCAACAGCCATTTGCCACAGATAATTCTGGTCAGACGCCCGCTGTGACGTCCAGCCACACCTCAGGATCCACCTTCTTTGTGGGTTCGACTGCGGTTACTTACACATTCACGGATCAATCCAGCAATTTCGCCACTTGCCAGTTTGCTGTGACACTAACAGCAGGTATGATATGAAGTGTTTGTATTACCTGTGCTAGTGGAAACATCATGAGTGTCAACGAGAATATGTCTGGGTAACTTTGGACATGTTTGAAACCAGGCCCGGAATTAGTGTTTCGTAGGTCCTAGGCACCAGTGTTCCGTTAGCCCTACACCACCCTATGCACTGGCACCAAGTTCATGTTGATGCTAAAAGTACAAAGCACTGTACAAAACAAGCGAGGCCAAACTGGTACAGGTCCTAGCTATTCGGTTGTTACACTCAGGTCGCCAAATTGTGACGACTGATTTGTTCCCAACAATTGAAGTTCATGCGCAGCTTGATCCTGAGAATCTGTCACTGACGGTTCTGTGTCATTTCAAGCTCAATCTGAGGGTGGCTGTATGGTCAGAAATTTTCTTTTGTTGAGGGGAATATTTCGGCTTTCTAGTCAGTGCATGATTTGCATCAGGGTTTACTATATATAGGTTGTCCCACTAAAAACCTAACAGTCAAATCGGGCATTGAGGAACTACTAAAAATGGTTAAACATCAGAAAGCATCGATCTTGGAACAACTTATACATTGTAAACGTAATCTAAAATTTGAAAACAGAAGAAACTTTACAGGAGCAAGAGTATTAATCATTGAAACAAATAAAACAAAATTTCTTATAATTTTAAACACTTCTGCTAAAAAAAAATCAGGGAAAAGTGGCAGGGAATCGCCTCAGATTGCACCACAGAGCATCTAGAGTCCAACATTTTTCGGGGCCCTTAAGCGGGCCCCGGACCCCACGCCGTAAGGGCTTCGCGCTCCGCGCTCGCATTAGTCGCCGAACCAAAATTACCCCTACGCTATAATTCACCCTGGCTAGAACACTGATTGGTTTTGACTGTTTTTTTGTGTGGGACAACCTGTGTGATCTCTTTTTAATGTTTAAAGCTTTTGGGCTGTAAAAGTATGTTCAAGCCTTTTCCAATTAATCTGGGATTCAGGGATTTGATTTTTTTATGTTTTTCTTTTCTGTGTCGCACTGCAGTGGATACCACTCCTCCTGTTGTCCAGAATTGCCCATCTAACATCAACCAGGAAATCCCAATTGGTAGTACAAGTACAACTGTCACTTGGCAACAGCCATTTGCCACAGATAATTCTGGTCAGACACCCGCTGTGACGTCCAGCCACACCTCAGGATCCACCTTCTTTGTGGGTTCGACTACGGTTACTTACACATTCACGGATCAATCCAGCAATTTCGCAACTTGCCAGTTTGCTGTGACACTAACAGCAGGTATGATATGAAGTGTTTGTATTACCTGTGCTAGTGGAAACATGCTGAGTGTCAACGAGAATATGTCTGGGTAACTTTGGACACGTTTGAAACCAGGCCCGGAATTAGTGTTTCGTAGGTCCTAGGCACCAGTGTTCCATTAGCCCTACTCCACCCTATGCACTGGCACCAAGTTCATGTTGATGCTAAAAGTACAAAGCACTGTACAAAACAAGCGAGGCCAAACTGGTACAGGTCCTAGCTATTCGGTTGTTACACTCAGGTCGCCAAATAGTGACGACTGATTTGTTCCCAACAATTGAAGTTCATGCGCAGCTTGATCCTGAGAATCTGTCACTGACGGTTCTGTGTCATTTCAAGCTCAATCTGAGGGTGGCTGTATGGTCAGAAATTTTCTTTTGTTGAGGGGAATATTTCGGCTTTCTAGTCAGTGCATAATTTGCATCAGGGTTTACTTTATATAGGTTGTCCCACTAAAAACCTAACAGTCAAATCGGGCATTGAGGAACTACTAAAAATGGTTAAACATCAGAAAGCATCGATCTTGGAACAACTTATACATTGTAAACGTAATCTAAAATTTGAAAACAGAAGAAACTTTACAGGAGCAAGAGTATTAATCATTGAAACAAATAAAACAAAATTTCTTATAATTTTAAACACTTCTGCTAAAAAAAAATCAGAGGAAAGTGGCAGGGAATCGCCTCAGATTGCACCACAGAGCATCTAGAGTCCAACATTTTCCGGGGCCCTTAAGCGGGCCCCGGACCCCAAGCCGTAAGGGCTTCGCGCTCTGCGCTCGCATTAGTCGCCGAACCAAAATTACTCCTACGCTATAATTCACCCTGGCTAGAACACTGATTGGTTTCGACTGTTTTTTTTGTGTGGGACAACCTGTGTGATCTCTTTTTAATGTTTAAAGCTTTTGGGCTGTAAAAGTATGTTCAAGCCTTTTCCAATTAATCTGGGATTCAGGGATTTGATTTTTTATGCCCCGCGGCGAAGCCGAAGGGGCATACTGTTTCCGCCTTGTCCTTCCGTGGGTGTGTGGGTGGGTGTGTGCGTGGGTGTGCTTGTCTTACATACGCAGTGTGGACTTCCGAACAAAACACGTCCACATAATGTAGGTAGCACCGACGTTGTGTGGACTTGCCCACGTCCACACAGTGTTTCCCCATTTCTGGAAAACAGGTTTAGAGGCATTTTTGGGTTAGGTTTATCTGTAGCAGAATGAAGAGAAACACTAAAGGGAATCATAGAAAAAAAATTGGGTTGAAAGAGTTTTCACAGTTTGAGAAAAATGAGTTTTTCCACTGGTGTTCCTTAACTACACGAAAAGAAAGGAAAGTCCACACTACTTATGTGAAACAAGTCTGCGTGCGTGAGCTTGTCTTACATACGCAGTGTGGACTTCCGAACAAAAGACGTCCACATAATGTAGGTAGCACCGACGTTGTGTGGACTTGCCCCACGTCCACACAGTGTTTCCCCATTTCTGGAAAACAGGTTTAGAGGCATTTTTGGGTTAGGTTTATCTGTAGCAGAATGAAGAGAAACACTAAAGGGAATCATAGAAAAAAAATTGGGTTGAAAGAGTTTTCACAGTTTGAGAAAAATGAGTTTTTTCACTGGTTTTTCTTAACTACACGAAAGCAATGGAAAGTCCACACTAGTCATGTGAAACAAGTATGGGTGGGTGGGCGTGTGTGTGGGTGTGTGTGTCCGGACAAATCTTGTGAGCGCGATAACTTGAGAAATACTTTACATATGAACTTCAAATTTGGTTTGTGGATTGTCCTTGGTAATCCTAAGAAGCCTTTTGCATTTGGGGCCGAAAGGTCAAGGGTCAAGGTCACAGTGGCTGAAACAATAGAAATTTTGTCAGTACGATAACTTGAGAAATACTTAACATATGAACTTCAAATTTGGTTTGTGGATTGTCCTTGGTAATCCTAAGAAGCCTTTTGCATTTGGGGCCGAAAGGTCAAGGGTCAAGGTCACAGTGTCTGAAACAATAGAAATTTTGTCAGCGCGATAACTTGAGAAATACTTTACATATGAACTTCAAATTTGGTTTGTGGATTGTCCTTGGCAATCCTAAGAAGCCTTTTGCATTTGGGGCCAAAAGGTCAAGGGTCAAGGTCACAGTGGCAAAAACAAAAGAAATTTTGTCAGCGTGATAACTTGAGATATACTTTACATATGAATTTCAAATTTGGTTTGTGGATTGTCCTTGGTAATCCTAAAAAGCCTTTTGCATTTGGGGCCGAAAGGTCAAGGGTCAAGGTCACAGTGGCTGAAACAATAGAAATTTTGTCAGCACGATAACTTGAGAAATACTTTACATATGAACTTCAAATTTGGTTTGTGGATTGTCCTTGGTAATCCTAAGAAGCCTTTTGCATTTGGGGCCGAAAGGTCAAGGGTCAAGGTCACAGTGTCTGAAACAATAGAAATTTTGTCAGCGCGATAACTTGAGAAATACTTTACATATGAACTTCAAATTTGGTTTGTGGATTGTCCTTGGCAATCCTAAGGAGCCTATCGCATTGGGGGTCGAAAGGTCAAGGGTCAAGGTCACAGTGGCTAAAACAATAGAAATCTTGTATTTATTCTGAGATCATAGGGATTAGGGATTAATTCATATAAAACCTACAGAAGACACTAATGTTGTCAATGAACGTTCCATTTGACCAAGGTACATGTAAGTTGATGTTAGAGTGGTGTTATGTCATGGAAACAGTCACGGTTGCGGGGCATTTGTGTTTGTAAACACACCTGACTTGTTTATGTTTTTCTTTTCTGTGTCACACTGCAGTGGATACCACTCCTCCTGTTGTCCAGAATTGCCCATCTAACATCAACCAGGAAATCCCAATTGGTAGTACAAGTACAACTGTCACATGGCAACAGCCATTTGCCACAGATAATTCTGGTCAGACACCTGCTGTGACGTCCAGCCACACCTCAGGATCCACCTTCTTTGTGGGTTCGACCACGGTTACTTACACATTCACGGATCAATCCAGCAATTTCGCCACTTGTCAGTTTGCTGTGACAGTAACAGCAGGTATGATATGAAGTGTTTGTGAAGTTCCTTGACCTGACAGTTTTGTTAGAGTGTTAGCACATCAATAGAACAGGTTATAACTAAATGCTGTACTTATCCAGAACCATACTGAAGGCATGATTCCTAAATTGATGTTGAAAACAGATTCTTGAAATCTCTTCTGGCATTAAATTTTGAAAGTGCCACCTTGATCTATCAGATCAAGGTGGCACTTTCAAAATTTAATGCAAGAACTTATCGGTTTCAGGACTGATTAAAACAAGACAGGTATTTTGTAAGTAATACCACATACACCCAATATTACCTGTGCTAGATGAAACATACTGAGATTTGACGGGTATTTTTTGGACATTTTTGGAAACTGGCAGGATCCTGCATGTTCAGCTGCATTCAGGTTGACCTTCAATTTGTACGATAAAACCATTGGCAACAAAGTGCAAAAGTCATGTAAAGGCCATAAGACTGAAAAATCCTCAGATTATTTGAAACAGCTGTCACCTTGACATATATTACCCACAACACAACGATGACTCAAAGGCATTAACATGATCGTGTGACTTCCTCATAATTGGGGTGTGTATGGTGATAACAATCAAACTATCTTCCATGGCCACATCTATTCATTCGGCTGCCATGATTGTTTGTAAAACTATGCATTTGCCATTCACTTTTGCATTTGCTATGAACTTATACACAATGAAAGAAGAGGATCCAGAGACGCGCACGTAATAATATCACTTTGGACGAGTGATATTGATTAGCGCCTGTCAGGAATGCGGACTGATGCCAATCATCTTAATATCAACGCAGTTACACTGAGCTTGCCAAAATTCTACAACTGATACGTTCCCAGCAACTGTAGTTCATGCGCAGCTTGATCCTGAGAATTCAGGCACTGACAGTTCTGTGTCATTGCAAGGTCGACCTTAGGGTGGCTTTGTGGTCATAAAACAGTGGTCCCTACCTGACCTTACACCGCGTTCCCACTTGAATTGGGAAAAGGTGGATCAAGATCCAGCATTTTGGTGTGATCGTTATCTTACCGCAACGAAACCGCAAGTCGCGTTTCCACTTATGCTTGATCCACCTTTTCGTACGGAAATGTTGGGTCCGAAAGGTCACTGAGTTCGGAATTACGCGCGCTCTGTGGGAGTGCCATTGTTGCATGGTTGCATGCTAGGCCAGGATGGGTCAGTTTTCAAATAGCACTATCAGAATTCACCGACAAAAATTACGCGAATTCACCAACATAAATCACGGATCCGTAGAGGATCCGTGCGTGCATAAATTAACAGGTGAAATCCAACAGAGCCGCTCATTGTGTGACATCACGGCAGAAACCAATGCATCGATAAGGGATTCCCTGGTTCTGAAGCTTCTCATTGGTTAGAAACGGTCACAAGATGTACTACGACATCAATTTCCAATTTTCTATAATCAATACTTCAGATTTGTCACCTCCGTACGTACCGCGTTATCGGCACTATTCTCATCGCATACTCGTAAGCTTTTCCATGATTCTGTGCCAAAGTGAAGTCTTTTGGTGAGTGCGGACTCGGAGTCATTTATGGATGGAAAAATAAGTAAAATTTCAGGAATGAAAAAGGTTTAGTAATGGACGAACACGCAACAAAAATAAGGCCTATATAGTGCAGTTTAGGATACCACGTGCGCTTTTGCATGCGCGGTGCTAGCCCGTAGTTCAGCGGTTGTTTATTGTGCATGTTGTATACGCTGGAAATGTTCACATGAGCTACACGCCTGAAAACGTGTTTCTTCGTTCATGAGACCGCAACATTTTCGCGCCACTCGTGCACCGGGCGGATGTTAACAGGTCAAATTGCCGGATCAGATCCACCTTTTGCGTTCCCATCTGATCGTGATCTGGCAATTGCCGGATCTGATCCACCAATTGGGGGATCTGTATCCTGGTCCAGAGGTGGATCAGAAAAGGTGGATCTGATCCTGATCCACCTTATAACGGTTAGCGTTCCCACTACACACAATTGCCGGATCTGATCCACCAATTGGGGGATCTGATCCGGCAATTTGGCAAAAGGTGGATCAGATCCCCCAATTGGTGGATCAAGTGGGAACGGGGTCTTAGATTCATTGATATGTAGAAAATTGTGGTCTACATACCAGACAGATTGTGTGCAAGATAAATGTCAACAACCTGGTTGGGTACCACACTGTTCTGCAGCGTGCCCCATTCATGCATGGCTGAGGTTATTTTAATTAACTTTTGGATTCAATGTTAATGCCCTCTGTGTACTGTTTCAGGGGCTGTGCCATTAAATGATGTGGTAATTATATGATTGAAAGCTGAGCTTAGGTTAAAGATTAACAGCAATTTTATTTGTGGATTTTTTTCCCCAGTCGATAGAACCCCTCCACAATTCGACAACTGTCCACAGGACATTCTTCGGACCATACCTATTGGATCAACTTCCATCCAAATAACTTGGCCTACTATTACCGCAACAGACAATTCAGGGAATCAAATAAATCCAGTGCCTCTGTCACAAAACCCGGGTCAATTTACCGAAGGACCTTACAACATCAGGTACCAAGCCACAGATCAAGCTGGCAATAGTGCCATATGCTCCTTTAACATAATTGTTACAAGAGCTGGTAAGTACATTTAGAAAATATGGAACTACAAATTTCCTTTCCTTACAACTTTTACAATTTGTGACTTTCATTTTATTGGACGATTTCAGCGTGCTAGGCAGTGGATGATTTGCATCAGGTTTTATTATATGTGATCTCTTTTTAAAATTTACAAGTTTTTGGATGGTAAAAAGTATGTTCAAGAATTTTCCAAGTTTGGGATTCAGGGACTTTTTTATTTTTATTTTTCCTGTGTCGCACTACAGTGGATACCACTCCTCCTGTTGTCCAGAATTGCCCATCTAACTTCAACCAGGAAATCCCAATTGGTAGTACAAGTACAACTGTCACATGGCAACAGCCGTTTGCTACAGATAATTCTGGTCCGACACCCACTGTGACGTCCAGCCACACCTCAGGATCCACCTTCTTTGTGGGTTCGACCACGGTTACTTACACATTCACGGATCAATCCGGCAATTTTGCCACTTGCCAGTTTGTTGTGACAGTTACAGCAGGTATGATATGAAGTGTTTGTGTAGTTCCTTGACCTGATTGTTTTGTGAGAGAATCAACAGGTTGGAGCTGAATGCCTCATTATTCCTAAAATCGATGTCAAAAACATGTCCTGGAAACCTCTCCTGGCGTTACATTTCAAAAGTGCCAACCTGGATCTGATAAACTGAACATTTTCAGTACTGGGCCCAATTTAACGGCGCTGCTGAACAGTTAGCAGAAAGTTGTGCTTAGCATGGCAGACAAATTGGCTAACCTTTATCACTATTATGTGCTAACAGTCGCGCATGCATGGAGATTTCTATTGTTACATCACTAAGTTAAGATATTATTTCTCTGAATCAAGCGTGCCTTTTTGCTGTGCTTATGCTAACGGTCTCCATGAAATAGACGGAGGCTCTGTTAGCAGAAAATCGTGTGCCCTGGTTACTAGTATGACGGATACTGTGTAAATGATGCCAAATACATCCAGTAGTACCTGCGCTACTGCAAACATTCTGAGTGTCAACGAAAAATATATTTGGGTAGCGTTGGACGTTTTTACAAAACTTGCAGGTTCCTGCATGTTAAAGAAGACCTATGATTTGATTGCGCCACCATGTAACCATTGGCATCAAGTACAAAACTCATGCTTAGGACACAAAACTAAAAAAATCATTATCCTGGAAAAATCGACACCTTGGCACTTAGCAATCACCCACAACACGGGGACGACTCCATGGTATAAACATGATCATGTGACTTCCTCAAAATGGCGGTGTGCATGTTGATCACAATCAAACAGTCTTCCAAAAGGCTGCATCTATTCTTTCGGCTGCCATGATTGTTTAAAGCTATGCATTTGTCGTTCACATATTGGCTTCACAAGGAAATAAGATGATCCAGATGGGTGCACAACATCATAACTTCCGATCGGACTACTAAGATGGATTATATTAGTGCTTGTCAAGAACAACGACTGATGCAAATCATCTTCATATCAACAGAGTTACACTCGGGTTGTTAAAAATCAACGACTGATGTATTCCCAATGGTCGTATATCAGGTGCAGCTTGATCCTGAAAATTCATTCACTGACTGACTGTTCTGTGTCATTGCTATGCCGACCTGAGGGCGGCTGTATGGTCAGAAAATAGTGGTCCCTTCCTGACCTTAGATTCATTGATATTTAGAAAATTGAGGTCTAGAAACCAGGCTAATCATGTGAAAGATAATTTTCAACAACCTGGTTGGGTACCACACGCTATTCTGCGTCGTGTCCCATTCATGGACGTCTGAGGTTTTTAAATGATTTTTTGGATTCATTGTTAATGCCCTGTGTGTACTGTGCAGGAGGCTGCCCCATTTTAGGAAGTGGTAATTATATGGTTGAAAGCTGGGCATAGTAAAGATTTACGGCAAACTCATTTCTGATTTTTTTCCCCAGTTGATAGAACTCCTCCGCAATTTGACAACTGTCCACAGGACATTCGTCGGACCATACCTATTGGATCAACCTCCATCCCAATAACTTGGCCGACAATTACAGTAACAGACAATTCAGGGAATCAAATCAATCCAGTGCTTCTGTCACAAAACCCGGGTCAATTTAACGAAGGCACGTACAACATCAGGTACCAAGCCACTGACCAAGCTGGCAATAGTGCCATATGCTCCTTTGACGTCATTGTTACAAGAGCTGGTGAGTACATTTAGAAAATATTGAATTACCGACTGCCTTTCCTTACAACCATTTACAATTGATTGCTGTCTGTTCAGGGGAATATTTCGGCTTTGAAGTCAGTGGATGATTTGTATCAGGTTTTACTAGATGATCTCTTTTCAAAGTTTAAATGTATTTGGACTGTATAAAGTATGTTAGTGCATTTTCCAAGTTTCGGAATCGGAGATTTTTTATGTAATTCTGTTCTGTGTCACACTGCAGTGGATACCACTCCTCCTGTTGTCCAGAATTGCCCATCTAACTTCAACCAGGAAATCCCAATTGGTATTACAAGTACAACTGTCACATGGCAACAGCCGTTTGCTACAGATAATTCTGGTCAGACACCCACTGTGACGTCCAGCCACACCTCAGGATCCACCTTCTTTGTGGGTTCGACTACGGTTACTTACACATTTACGGATCAATCCAGCAATTTTGCCACTTGTCAGTTTGTTGTGACAGTAACAGCAGGTATGATATGAAGTGTTTGTGTGGTTCCTTGACCTGACTGTTTTGTTACTGAAATAACAGGGTGGAGCTTAATGCTTTCATTGTCCAGGACCATACTAAGGACTATTCCTAAAATGGATGTCAAAAACAGATACTGGAAATCTCTCCTAGCATTCAATTCCAATACATTGCCAACATTGATTGGATCAACTGAACATTTTCAGGACTGGGCCCAATTTCACTGCGCTGTTGAACAGTTAGCAGAAAAGTTGTGCTTAGCATAGCAGACAAATTTGCTAACGTTATAAGCACTGTTATGAGCTAAAGTCGCGCGTGCATGGAGATTTCCATTGTTACATCCCTAAGTTAAGCAACGTTTTCCTCTGAAGCTAGTGCAAACATGCTGAGGGTCAACCAAAAATATATCTTGGTAACTTTGGACAGTTGTGGTAACTGGCAGGATCCTGCATGTTATGGTCACAAGTCAGTGGCCACTGCCAGACCTTAGAATTGTTCTAAAATATTTAGGTCTAGGAACCAGATTAATTGACACAAGATCATTTTCAAGAACCTGGTTTGGTACCACGCTATTCTGCGTTGTGTCCCATTCATGGACGTCTGAGGTTCTTAAATTAGTTTTTGGATTCATTGTTAATGCCCTGTGTGTACTGTTTCAGAGCCCCATTTTATGATGTGGTTATTATATGGTTGAGGCTGGGCATAGTAAAGATTAACGGCAAACTCACTTCTGCATTTTTTTCAGTCGATAGAACCCCGCCACAATTCGACAACTGTCCACAGGACATTCGTCGGACCATACCTTTTGGATCAACCTCCATCCCAATAACTTGGCCGACGATTACAGTAACAGACAATTCAGGGAATCAAATCAATCCAGTGCTTCTGTCACAAAACCCGGGTCAATTTAACGAAGGCACGTACAACATCAGGTACCGAGCCACTGACCAAGCTGGCAATAGTGCCATATGCTCCTTTGATGTCATTGTTACAAGAGATGGTAAGTACATTGAGAAAATATTGAATTCCCGACTTCCTTTCCTTACAGCCATTTACAGTTGATTGCTTTCACTTTAGTGGATGATTTCGGCTTCTAGTCAGTGGATAATTTGCATCAGCTTTTACATAGTATGATCTCTTTTAAAAGTTTAAAGGTTTTTTGATTGTGAAAAGTATGTTCTAAGGTATTGTACAAGTTTTGGATTCAGAGATATTTATCATTGTTATATTTTTCTCTGTTTTTACTGCAGTGGATACCACTCCTCCTGTTGTCCAGAATTGCCCATCTAACATCAACCAGGAAATCCCAATTGGTAGTACAAGTACAACTGTCACTTGGCAACAGCCATTTGCCACAGATAATTCTGGTCAGACACCCACTGTGACGTCCAGCCACACCTCAGGATCCACCTTCTTTGTAGGTTCGACTACGGTTACTTACACATTCACGGATCAATCCAGCAATTTCGCCACTTGCCAGTTTGTTGTGACAGTTACAGCAGGTATGATATGACGAACTAAGTGCTGCCCTTATCTAGAACCATACTTAAGGCGTGATTCTGAAATCGGTGTTGAAAACAGATGCTGGAAGTCTATCCTGGCATTAAATTGCGAAAATTGGGGGGGGGGGGGTTGTGTCAATTTCACCCCTCTGGCCCCCTCCCCCTCCTCCCCCCTTGCTGGATATGCCACTGCACCTGGCTTTATCTTCTTGCTCCTTCTGAATCCTGTCCGTATTTGTCACCGAGTCACAATTATATTTCACAGCCTTACTTACAATGTGTGTTTTCTATTGATAATTTAACTCATACTTAAGTAGCTTGTTAAAAGCTTTAACCTTCATCGGCTTAGGAATGATCGACTCGGGATTGACTTTTAATGGTGTCTGTTGACTTCCTGAGTTTTGTTTTTAGATGGGGCGCCAAGATAATAATTGCCAGTTTATGTAGATTATAATTTGCAACGAATCTGTTTCTCCGTAGTGGACCGCACTCCCCCTGAGGTCGTTTTCTGCCCGTCTGACATTACCCGCACCATTCTGAGGGGGACTGGCCCCGTCATTGTCACCTGGCAAGAACCGTCTGCCAACGACAACTCCGGCAACATGCCCACCATGTCAAGTTCCCACAACTCTGGGGACTCTTTCTCTGCCAGCACATCTGTCACTTACACGTTCACCGACGCAGACGGCAACAGTGCTCTCTGTACATTTACCATCTCTATCACTGAAGGTGTGTAATTGTTTATATTTGAGCCACACATGAACTAATGGTAACTGGTTGATTAATGCCTGTGTAAGTAGGATAAGGAGTAGGTGTCGGTAAATTTAAACATCAAAACGATACAAAATACAATCATAACTTTGGCAGATTATCTTCATTTTGGTTTTCTGTCTCCTTTCAGTGAATCCCTGTGACACACAGCAATGCCAGAACGGAGGAGTGTGCGTCGCTAGTACATTGCAAGCCATTAGATGTGTCTGTCCAATCTGTTTCTCTGGAGATCGGTGTCAAATCGGTAAGTTGCAGTTTTGTTTTACCGAAAGCGAAGAATCTTTGAAAATTGTCGCCACAAAATTTCCTCATGAATTTTTTGTGCATTGTACAGGTAAGCTTAGAAATTTTGTCTTCGGGTTTGGCACAAAATATCCTTGTTGGAGTTGTAAAGAGAGACTGGTCCTCATCAGCATAATATTCAAATGTCAGCAGATCGTTGGGTCAGGGTCGTCGTCAGGTTGACCCTTGGTAACCACCATTATGCTAGTCAGCTCTTCAGTCTCAACTTGCACTCCTTATTTTGAAATGTAATTTTAGTGCCATAAAATACCATCTCTAATTAACTGATATTTAGCTTTGGGAGCAATTTTTGTTTTTACGTATAAATCCAAGAGCCCTTTAGGAACCGTCTCAATTCACATCCGGGACGGGTTCCAGACAAGTTGCGGACATTGTATTGGGAACTAGCTGCAAGATGCTGAATAACTTCCCCGCAATCTTCCCACAATGAAGTTATCAGTATTGCTGAGTCCAGCAGAACATTTTCCTGGAACGTGTCTGGAACAAATGCAGAGCTTCTTCTGGACAATGTGAATGATTCTGCCTGCAACTTGTCCGGTACTTGTTTGGATATGAACAGAGACGAGTCCTTAGTTTGCTCCTCTAATGTCCTAGACTTGCACCACTGTTTAAAGTGCACTAGCATTCTTAATATAGGAGGCAATATGACCTGTATAATACATGGACATCCAAAATGTTCTTTAAAAAAAAATATAATGGATGAATTTTATGTAAATAAACCCTTAGGTGTATCTGAAGGTCTTTATTCGAAAACTTTTCTAAGCTTTGGGTGTAAATGGCATTATTAAAGGTGCTGTTTTAGAGCTTTGTTTTTTTTTTAATATGCCTTTTTTCCTAGCTATATAAAAGTTAGTCACTATTGAATGAGACATTGAATGCAGAAATCCACCAACATTAAGTTATTGAATTATTTCTTTACAAAATTCAAACTATTAGCTGCCAGACAATAATTGCAGGACTGCAGACAACAGAAAATCTGGTATTTTTTCCCCTGTTAAACAAAACATACAAATTACAAATCCGTGAGGAAAAAAAAACAACTCCATATTTATGAAGAGCAGTGCCAGGGATCCTTAATAGTATGCCTAATAGGTGAAGTAGTGATTTCAGTTGTGCCTGACTGATTGTTTTTTTGTTTTTCCTTGATGGCAATAGCTGCCGATGCCTGCCAGTCTAATACCTGCCAGAATGGTGCTGGGTGCTTAGCTGTACAAGGCTCCTGCACGGCGTATGTGTGCCAATGCACACAGTGCTTCACTGGAACGTTCTGTACTGAAGGTAAAGAGTTCAAGATTAAAGTACACTCACACAGCATGGTAAAAAGATTCACAATGCAGTGCGCCACCAAGAGTTTACCACAGAGAGTTAATTTTTCCCAGTGCATTGTGGGACATTTGAAAAGTTACTTTTTCCAGTCAGTTTAGTTTCCGAAGCGTATGATTCAAGGATCTGTTTGCCCTTTTCTTTTCTTTGTAACAATATGGTGTTTTTTGTAAGGCGGCAGAACGCTATGCCCCAATCTGTGACATATTAGCTCAAGTTGTCTACTGACACTCATTCAAATGGGCCACGTTTTGTCGACCGTGAAGCTGGAAAATGGACTTTCCATGGCAAAGTCTTGGTGGCGCACTGCATTGTGAATCGCCCAAATTGGATAGATACTGTTGACTGTTGTCTATCTGTGAGCCTAAAGAATGTTCTACAAAAAAAATAAGCACTTCTCCATATCATTAAAAAACAGTATTTTAACAATGAGCCATATTTGCTTTTATCTTTGTAACAACAAAATTGTACACACAATTTCAAAAAATTTGTGACAGAAAACAAGAAAGATGTAGTGACGTAAAAGAAAATGCTCAGATGTTTTAACATATCTCTTCGTCTTTACAAATTGAATATGAAAAAACAAGAAACTTGAATGTTTTATAACCAGTTCGTTATTTTGAATTGTTGAATATTCAGCATTGTCTTCCTTTACATTCACCCATCAGCTGCGAGCAGTTGTGTCAATCACCAGTGCAACAACGGAGGTGTATGCACCGTCAGCCCGAACAACTGTCAGCAGTACACTTGCATATGCCCCTCCTGCTTTGAGGGCCAATATTGCCAGACAGGTGAGGAAGTTGCTCATATTTTTTTACAGACTCGTCATACTTTTCTGCGGCTTTGATTCGTATTAATGATCACTTGATTTCAGCGTATTTAAAATGAGTTGTACAAGCCGTGTGCATAAGTCATATATCAAGAGCATTTGAGGTTTTTCTGCATTTTTACCCTTTAGTCCCTATAACGCCCAAAACTGCCCTGCCTATTACTCACTGTAGCACCCGAAACCGCCGGAACACTCTATTGATTCTTTGGTGAATTGGTGAATAACACAATTTAATACAATGTAGTACAGATGCTATTGGGCAAACTGTTCTATTACCACAGGTGAATCCGAACACAATTGATCGCAATAAGGTGCCGAAATAATTTTATATCCACTTACCCTTTCCGCAATGCCCACTTGAACGTGAGAAAAGAAAGTTGCCACAAAAAGGCAAGTTTTCTGTGAGAACTTTCAGCTTAGTTGTACATCCCCTCCCCAACATACAGTCATTGTGCATTTACTGGGTGGTTCTTGTCTCCATTTGTCTACAGCCATCAATCCCTGTCAGAATCATAACTGTCAAAATGGCGGGCAGTGTCGCCCTGTCGTATCGTCCTCGGCCTTTTCCTGCACGGAGTACGTCTGCGAGTGCTCGCCTTGCTTCATGGGGGAATTTTGCATCCAGCGTAAGTCTTAAAGAGACTCGACTGTGTGGTTCTCAACTCATGTTTGAAATTAGTAAAGGCTATTCACAACACAGCAAAGCTGTCTGTGGCAGTACAAGTCCACAAGTTATATGTCATGATAAGAAGATAACATTATTTTGTCTAGTCGATAAAAACCTGAACTATATTTAGTTTGTGCGTTTGGCTGAAGAATTACATAACCTCCTAACATTTAAGAAAATTCTGATTTTTTTTCTCGTCCAACAGCACGTAATGCTTGCCAGCCCAACCCATGCAGTAATGGCGGCCTGTGTTCAACACTCCCAGACTCCTGTTTCTCCTATTCCTGTCAGTGCAGCGGCTGCTTCACTGGTTATAACTGCGAAGTTGGTCAGTTTTGGAAAGAATTTTCCATTTTTTATCAGAAACCTCAGGTCATGTCCTCAGGTCATGTCCTTGAGTTCATGTCCTTAGGTTATGTACCTCAGGTTATGTCCACAGGTCATGTCCTCAGGTCACGTCCTCGGGTCATGTCCGTAAGTCATATTAGGTCGCGTCCTCGGGTCGTACGTGTCTTCAGTTCATGTTGTGCATCAAGTAGGCAAACACTATATGACATTCAAACAACCATGATTTGAAAAGACAATTATGAAAATGATCTTTTGATAAGCATAATTTATAAATACCTGAAACAGTTTTCCCATTGGTCGAGAGCTCGTCACATGGGTGGTTTTAAACCGCAGGTAAAACACCATTGCGTTCTGCACCACATCGTGCAGTAAGTGCCGTACGCGTGCCAATTTTCATATTAGGCGATTTTTAACTCTACGTGTGTGAGGCATTTACACATGATCAGAGGGGAGTTCAAAACACATGAAGTAAAATAATTAAAAAAAAAACTTGTTGAAATTTTTGACATATGTTGACTTTTTGACCAAAAAATGATTGGGAATAAATATGTGCTTGGCTGGTATTAAACAAGTAGGTTAACCTACTAAGGGCCTGGTCACAGATAATGTCCCTTGCCTTCAGCACGGGTCATTATCAACAACCAGGCCCCTTGCCAGTTTAAATGAACTTGTTTAATGCCGGTGTAGCGTGAATATCCGACTCCATGAAATGTGGACTCATTGGTAGTACTGCGCACGCGTGAGTACGATACCATGCTATTTTTAGGATCGTTTCGGGAGAGTGACCTGTCACGTGGGAGGGATCAACCAATAGTAGGGAAATAGGGGTCCGATTTTCATAGGAGTTGGATTTTCATGTGACACCGGCCAAGCACATATTTCCTTAGTAAAGAAATATAGTCAGAGTTTGATTTATGCATTTTTTCCTTTTTTCCAGCTGTGGCTTCACCTTGCCAAACTAATCCATGTTTGAATGGCGGGCAGTGTATGGTAGTCACAGGAATCTGTACAACGTATACATGTCAGTGCCCATCCACTCACAACGGAGTCCACTGTGGACTATGTAAGCACAAATCATTTCTCTTCAGAATTTAACTCCACACAGCCCTTAGAAACAGGGTTCCAGTACAAATGTTGCATATCTATAGAATGAGAGCCGTCAACTATGGTATCACTAAAATCTTTAAAGAGTAAAGTGGTAAGGTCTGTCATGAGCCAATGTGGCCATTAGGCCAGCGTTTATCTCCGGTTTCAGTAGCATGAAACAACTGAGGATATTTCTATTCCCCCTGGATGGGATGCTAGTCCATGGCAGGTTACTCCCCAGCTAATGCCGGTACCCATTTATACTCCTGGGTGGAGAGAGGCAAGTTGGGGTGAAGTGGCTTGCCCAAGGACGCAACACATAGCCAGCAGTTACATTCCAACCCCTGACCCTCTGATTGTTCAATCGCTGACTAATTTTATCGCTGACTCAATACCCCCCCCTTTAAATTAACTCGCGCTCGAGCATTTACATGAACATTTAACTTGAACGTTAGCCCTCATGCAGTGCTAATTCCATAAAATCTTGTTGAATTTGTGATGGGGAAAAAAAAAATGTACTTCGAAATGTGTAGTTTTTGGCACGTCTTTTTTTTTCTTTGACATATCCCCACAGTGGTGATTGTGAGTTCCAATGCCTGCACCAGCTCCCCATGTCTAAATGGTGGTAATTGCCTGACTATGGACGGATCCTACTATATCTGCCTCTGCACCACAGAGTATGTCGGCCAAAACTGCCAGTATTTAAGAGGTATGTTTACGGGAATTTTTATCCAGAGGTTCTAGTTGTAAGTGGCTTTAGCCCAATTTCATGAAGGTGCTAAATAAAGAATATTGCTTTAGATTTTTTTCTGTGCCAAAAAATGAGCTGAGTACCAGTCACAAGTAGGGTACATCCAATGGCAATTTGGTTGGTAACCTGATATTGCTATGCAAATGGATTCTGCGCTAAACAAATGTACATGTATATACCAAGCAGCTCCACATAATGGGCCCTTGAATTGTGTTGGCTGGGAGGATTTTGTTGGGCATAAGTTCCATCCACTTTCTTAAGAAAACACTCCGGATGCTGTACCTCTTCAGAGTATAAAAATCAGCACTTATGGGAATGCAAAATGAATTTGACGTCACGAAATATTCACGGCAATATTTGTCTGAGCTTAAACTTTTGGCAGATTTTCAAGGTTAATATTTATTTTGATGTGACAAGTTCACATTGGCATTAATGCCAAGTATCAATTAGCCATAGAGCAACAGCATCAGAGTTCACGCAAACTAGTTTTTTTTCTTCTAAAATCCTAAGTTGCTTAAAATTTGTGCAGCAAAGTTTTCTGAAAAGGGTAGAATTCTGCAGAGTTTGTGGCCTACAGAACCATTTATGGCTAGCTGGGTTCACTCTGGGTAACAGTCACTATCCTATGTACTGTATTCTTTTTAGTTTTCTCTGTAAAGATTGGTTCATACTCAGTGCAAAAGCGAATGCAAACGTGAATTTGTGTGACATCAGGCCATGTTTTCGCGCTGCAAATTCACAAAAACGTTGGACACATTTGAATGTTTCGTGACGTTGAACACGGCGATTGTTTCATGACGTCAAGTTGGCATTGCATTCGCGTGAATTACAAACTGGCCTTAATCGGGGAGGTCTGTTTTCAGATTTCACATTATTCTGTGAAGCAGTACAGAAAAAGTGAGGAGAAAAATGCATCACTCAGTGTTTAACTTCTTTCTTTCCAACAAAGAAGTAAAATGCAACCTTTTTTTATTCATTGCGGTAGCCAATACCCCTGCAGCAGTCAATGCTTGTGCAACATCACCGTGTGCGAATGGCGCCATTTGCATCAACAGTTACAACAGCAACAGCAACGCCATCTTTGGCACTAGTCAGACCTATTCCTGCATCTGCACCAACGGCTTCACTGGTGTCAACTGTGGATCACGTTCAGGTAAGAACCTACAAGTCAATACCTAGTCCATTTTTTGTTAAACAAAAATCCATGAAATTAGGCAAAATGTTCGGAATCTGTCCAAAGGGAATAACTCTTGTATTGATAGAAACAAGCATGCTCCTTGCGATGCTTATAGCTTACTGTCTCTGTGATAATGGACAAAGGTGCCATGTAAGCAACAACAAAAAATGATGTTTGGCCTAGGCTGCTATTAAAAGTCTATGAACAGGCAGGATTTAAAAAGATGTAAAGTAGATATAAAGCATAGAATCCTTTTTTTTTCAATATATATGTTTCCATCAATTTTTGACAGGAAACAGGAGCAAAAGTTTAGGGAAAAAATGTTTATAATCAGTGTCTTAGTGGAGTCACAAGTCCTTTCATAATTCCAGTCACAATTAATGGGATGAACACTGACAAAGGAATGCTTTTGGAACTTTGTTTGAATAGCTAGTGACTTGACTTGAGACTGAAAACATTGTGATGGACTTGTGATGGACTTGTGATGGACTCGTGATGGACTTGTGATGGACTTGTGATGGACTTGTGATGGACTCGTGATGGACTTGTAATGGACTTGTGATGGACTTGTGATGGACTCGTGATGGACTCGTGATGGACTTGTGATGGACTCCTGATGGACTCGTGATGGACTTGTGATGGACTCGTGGTGGACTTGACTATCACTGTCTATAATTTCACCTTGGTTATAAATATCATGCCTGCTGATTTATATGATGTTCAAGAAATGGCAGAAATCTTTGGCCAATGGGGAAACGCTTCTAGCATTGAAATGTCTCCTTTTCTTTAGATAGGAAAGTGTGCACAGTACCCCCTCAACGGAGGTGAAGAGAGAGTGTGTGTCCAACACTCAGAGCTAACATGAGTGTGGTCACCAAGGGTCATCTACTGTATATGGATGAATGTTGTCGTCCTCATCAGATATTAAAAAACAACAAAAAGCAAAAGCTCTGCTTTAAATTTTGAGAATAGTCAGTAATGACAACTCACTTTTCCATGTATCTCTCTACAGTCACCCTACCTTTGCTGGGCATCTGTGAGCTGGGAACCAAGCCAGCCTGCCAGCGCGGCGCATCCTGCTCCAATATGTACCACAACTTTGACCAGGACGTGGATTACATCTGCAACTGCCCCAACGGATGGACCGGTCACAACTGTGAACTCCAAGGTAGGAACACTCAAGAACAAATGTCATTGTAATTTTACAATGGGGAGCCGCCAACATTGGTCTGGTTATCAGTTGGTAGAGCACCGTTATGGCAATCCGGAGGTAGCAGGTTCAAACCCTGCTCCAGTCAATTTCTTTGTTCAACTTTAAACAAATGTATATTAGAATCATTTTGTTTAATTGGAATCATTTGGTATAGTTTTTCATAACCTTTGTAAAATTTCCCTTTTCAATACAAAATGTTGATTGGTCATTTGTACCCATTTCACACTAGCATTTCAGAACCCTTCCAAATCAAAATATGATAGGATTGACGAATTGTCTCTAGTCGACCCAAGTCACAACTTAAGACACACTTGTTTAATGCTTTCAGAAGCGCATAGAGACCTTTTTTGTGTATATTGCGCTATGTAAGAATTGTTTATTATTATTATTATTAAAAGTTGATTCAGCACATCTCTGGCGTGCAAGTCTGAAGCCAGTGTTTAAATCTCGTTTTGACATTTCCGTAAATATATGCTGTCTTGTCCTTGGCAGTACACTATAAACTGTGAAAAGTCTCACATTTTGTTTGTCCAGAAAAAAGTGTCATCGGACGTTTCACCTAATGTCATTCGTAAACAGCAACTTGCAAGCAAACTAGGAAGATATCCATTAATTCAATTTTAATGTCACTATTATTGACGTTTTATTGTTTATGTTTTGAATAAAGTTGATATTTTACAGTAAATGCCACTATAACGAACATGATGAAGTCTAAAAATGTTTGCTACAGCTGTCGTTCGTTATAAAGATTGTACGTTATAATAGAATGTAATTTTTTGGGAGTCAAAGGGGATGTTTGTTTCAGCCAAACAGTGTTCAATATAGCTGCGTTTGACTGTACCACTTGATTTATTTACGTTGTTACCACTTTCAGAGCGAGATGTATGCTTCAGTGGACCCTGTCAAAATGGCGGCCAGTGCCAAATTGGACAGAACTCCTTCTCCTGTACATGCCCTAGTGGGTTTACTGGCCTGCGATGTGAAAACGCTCAAGGTGTGTTGATCTTCTGAATTGAACATCTCCAAATTCATCTTTGCAGTCTTTGTCAAGCATTGTGGTTTCAGAGATGATTGTCTTATGATTGGGTTTACATATAGAATATTATGGTAGACCCACCATACAGCTATATTAAATTACTAGAGCCCTGAGTGATGCATGCTGGGAGCATCCATGTTTGTGCACAAACCTATAAAAACCTCAAATTTTGCACAGCTACAGTACGGCTGTTTGCATATTTGCGTTTGGATTCTAAACAGGTGCGTTATTGAAGCCAATACGCTCAAAAATGAAATGCACAATCAGTAAATGAGCGTTATGTTTTGCTCTGCGCAAACAACGCAAATGTGTGCTCGTATCCTCTGCAGATGACATTTGCAGGAAATTGTTCCCACATTGTGCGCAGTCGGCCAGTTTATTTTCTTTTCCTCGTTGGGTTTGCAGTTGACACACAGTCGCCCGTCATCAACGGCTGCCCGAACGACATCAGCCAGACGACCTCTAACCCTAACGGCCAGTCCGTCTTTTGGACTCCACCCACCGCTACCGACAACGCCGGGGTGCCGACAATCCTCTTCCAGTCTCACAGCCCGGGCGCCCAGTTCCCTGCCACGACCTCCCTGGTCACTTACATTTTCGTCGATAATTCGCTCAACTTTGCCAGCTGCCAGTTTTACGTGACCCTGACAGGTAAATGACTGACACTGGATGATATCTATTTGAATAATTCAAGTTCTTCTTTTCTCTTCTTTGGGATACTTTGATTCCACACAAGTTCCAAATTTTGAGACTCGGTACTTGGTAACCGGTATCAGGTATAGCGTTACAGATAAAAAATTTGAGATGGCTTCTGTTTTTGAAGTATTTAATATTTATTTTCAACCTTTCTTTTTGTAACCCAGCGGTCAGTTTTGACAACACGGCCCCGGTCATCAGCGGTTGTCCCTTTGGGCAGACAGTGACTGCCCCCTCTGGCAGCACATCGGCCATCGTCACCTGGAATGAGCCCACGGCCAGCGACAACTCTGGACAGCCGCCGCAGCTGAAGCGTTCCCATGCTCCCGGCACCACCTTCTCACTTGGATACACTGCGGTTACGTATGAGTTCAGGGATGCGACAGGGAACCAGGCAACTTGCACTTTCCTGATCTACGTTGTAGGTGGGTAACCAATCTTTGGCCGGACAATCTATTTGACTCTAGTGAACATTTTTTGTTTTTAAATTCAGTTGGTACTTCTGACCAAAAGAGACGCACATGTTGACAACCGATTTTTGGAGTTGAAGACATCAATGAGCAAAATAATTAAACTAATATCAATATAAATTGCCTTCCATACTAAAAGTAATGTTCAAGCATCACAAGTATTACAATAAAACTAAATCTGAAAAATTAAACAAAAAGCAATTAATTAAAAGACAAATTTTGTTTTAATTGTTAAAAAGGTGACTTTAAAGACAGGATTTAAATCTCAACGGTACTCAAAATGAAGTGCAGTCAGTAGACTCAAGAAACGGGAAGCAAACATTGAAAAAGATCTGTTGCATCAGTGAGCTGTTTTGCTCCGGAGGTTGTAGAGTGTTAAACATGCCCAGTGGATTATTGAAGATTAAGGAGATCATTTAAATAATCTGGTGTCGTACATGTTAAGATCTTTTAAATCATACAAAGAATTTAAAAACTCCCAACATTTTTAACTGGACGCCAGTGCAAACTTGTCAAAACCAGGGTTATGCGCTCTGATTTCTTTGTCCTAGTTACAAGGCAAGCATTTGAAATCTTAGTTACCTTGATAACAAAATGCACGTCAGAATTCCGTTGTGGGAATTTAATGACAGGTAGTTTGCAAGAATTAGCTGCATGAGCCTAGACATAGTCAGGGAAAAGTTATTCTTGTATTTAGTAGAAAATGACATGTTTCCATGGAGTTTTATAGATTTGATTGGAATAATGAAGTTAGTTGAGCATTTAGACAGTGTTAGAAAGTTTTGCCTGAATAGGCTAAGTATGTAAGCAAAAGAGGGTGATGTCATGACGCCAATTTCTGGGTTCAAGCAGTAGCAAAAGTCACATGTGGTTATTTTAATTTTAATGTACCGGTAAATCTAAAATCCGACGATTCAAGATTGTAAAAATCTAATTTGTGAATGACAGCTTCAGGCGTGAGATTTGTCAGGATTGTTTTCCTGATTTCATGATTTTTTGCAAAATTATTGCCGATTTCAGGTGTTTTTTTTTAAGAATCCCTTTTGAAATCTGGAATTCTTGAGGTTGAACTGTAAAAGTGTTTTGACGTTAATGTTTACAGGCCAATAGAATAAAAGAAACTGGTATGTTAGGGGGCATATTTATACAAACATAAAAACCATACAGACCCTACGTTGCTCTGGGGCCTTCAGCGACTCTGCCGAATATTTTCGTAGATTTTTCATTTTCTCCCAATCTCACCCCTGCAGCTGTTGAACTTGTAAAGGCTTAAATGACCTTTGATTCTTGTCTGCTACTGGTTTAGTAGGCCTACTTCCCAAAGTTACAGCCCCTTCGTATGCTAAAAAAATGAGGCCTAACGTTTGGCCTATTCCATTTGCCATTTGCCATTTGCCATTTATAATTTTCAAAAAATTAATGCTTGGAACAACCATTGAGGTGGGAACACAACATATTTACTTTGACTTTGACTTTACTTGACTTTATTTCCATCCAAGATAGGTACATATCTACAATAATTAGCCACTGTATTATTATTATACAAAACTATATCAAAGTAAACCAAAGTTTGTGGTGTTAAGAAATATAAAGTAGGGATGGAGGGGACCCGCAAGAAGCAAGGCTTGTCGAGTGCGAGTCCCCTGTAAAACATTAACAAGGAATTAAATGGTAAACAAATACATAACAAGGACAAGACTGGTGAACCAAGGGTGAAATTTAAAATTTACATTAACGCAAATGCTAGGTTCTTAAAAATATATATGAACAACCAACCACAACAATTCGTTAAAATGATTGATAAGCACATGAGCTACAACAATTAATTGATTATAAAACATAAATATTTGAAGAGAATCAGAAAGATATTCTTTTTTTTATGAGCAAGAGTACTTGTTGAGAATTAACTGTTTAAATTTAGGCTTAAAGTTTGAAACAGATGCTAATCCTTGTAAGGATTTATCTAACGAATTCCAAAATCTGGGTCCTTCAAATTTAATCCTTTTTTGGCAAGGGAAGTTCAGATAATCGGTAAGTGAAACTGAGATGATTGACGGGTAAAATATGCATGAACATCATTATTTCTGGAAAACATTTGGATGAGGCAGGTTGTATCAAGTCCACTATTATTGTTCAAAAATTTCGGTTAAGGTCCTAACTTAAATTGTGTAGGCCTAGGCCTAGCCCAGGTTGGACTCCTCCGTTGTGTATGTATGCGACAGAGTCCAGGGTATGAACTTCTGCTGCCATAGTGTAAAAAATTACAACAAATGTTTTTCATATCCGTTGGCGACGTGTTTACCGAAAATAAATTGCAGAGCCATGCTTTTGTTGTAAACACCTCAGTACGAACTTCTCGTGTGAAGACTTACACGCTCGTATGCAACACAGTTGCTATGCGGGGCGTGCATACATGGGCGTAAGTCTTCACACGACATGTTCGTACCCAGGATGTTTACGACAAAATAGTGGATCTGCGATTTATTTTTGGTAAACACGTCGCCCAAGGACATACGCCTAATTACTTTTTTCTAAACCAAGCTTCTTCGTATTAACTAAATAAGGTGTTTCACGGTGCGCCATCTCGCAGACGGGGCAAATTTACATGCGTTGCTGTGTACGCATCGGCAGTCAAAAACTTTTGCGCTTCCAAGTCATCATGCTTTCATTCCAAAATGCGCCCGTGTCTAGCAACGCGTGTTCTTTTTGCCCCAGATCAAGATGGGGCATAATTACCGTGAAACACCTTATTCTGGACACAAGGAATATGTAAACGAAATTATAGCTTCCTCCATCAGGTAAAAATGTGAAAAAAATTTGTCATAATTTATTCTCTATGGCAGCAGAAGTTCATACCCTGGACGTCAGTGGTAATGAAGTCAGTCATCATCCAACCTGGGCTAGGCCTAGCCCAGGTTGGACGACGTCTTAATTGCATTACGACTGACGTCCAGGGTATAACTTCTACCACCATAGCGAAAAAAAGTATAACACATTTTTTTCATATTTCAGGAAGCTGAAATTTCGCTTACATATTTCTTGTGTCCAGAATGGTGCCTGCCCTGGGTTTAGAAAAGGCAAATATGTCTGCGGGCGGCGTGTTTACCGAAAATAAACTGCAAGTTCTACGCTTTCGTTGGAAACATTTTCAGTACGAACTCTCTGCGTGAACACGCTGTTTGCTGCGGTGGCGGCAGCGTACGTGCTAGGTGTGCATGCACGCACGCACGTAATCTTCACACGGGAAGTTCGTACTGAAACTGTTTTCAACGAAAGCGTGAAAGTTTTGGTAAACACGCCACCCCCGAAAATATTTGCCTTTTCTAAACCCAGCGCAGGCACAATTCTGCATGGACACAAGGAATATGTAAGCGAAATTTCAGCTTCCTCCGTCAGGTAAAAAGTATGCAAAAGAAGTGTTATAATTTTGTTCGCTATGGCAGGAGAGATTCATACCCTGGACTCCGTTGCTTACACGGAGTCCAACCTGGGCTGGGGGCTAGGCCAGGCCTAGCACCACTATAAATCATACAATTTAGGGACCTAGGCCTACATCAACTTAGCTATGAAAGTCACATGATTTAAAGACTTACCGGTGACATTAATCATTGAATTTGTTTTAATATCTCTTGACATTTCTTGAAAAAGTTTGCTTTGACTAGTTTGACGCCAAGTGTAAGACATGTTATATCATTAACTTGAAATTTTGTGTCTGAAGAGGGCAGCAAACAGCTTTTTTTGAAAAGAATGTATTTATCACAAGAGGGCAGCAAACATTTTTACCTGTCACTTTGAATGTCAACAGAGGGCAGCAAAGACAATTTTAAAATTGTCCATGTCAACAGAGGGCAGCAAACACTTTCTGCATGTCACATACAATTTCAACAGAGGGCAGCAAACATTGCAATCAAAACATTTTGTGTCATTAGAGGGCAGCAAACAAGTTTGCTTTTTTTTAACCTTTTGTCAACAGAGGGCAGCAAACTTTTTGGTTTCCAAATTTCTATGTCAACAGAGGGCAGCAAATATTTTGCCTTCAACAAATTTCATGTCAACAGAGGGCAGCAAATATTTTCATGTTTAATTCTGTCACCAACAGAGGGCAGCAAACATTGTTACTGATGTAATAAATTCTTGGCATTGACAACATGGTACTTTATTGATTTTCCCTTTTAAAATAATATTATTTTGATTTAAAATTATGAGCAGACTGTAACACTTTTGTGAATAAGTCCATACTCGGCCACAACTTTACCTATCGCTATAAACACATCAATTTTCACCTTACCTTGTGATTTCACCCATAATAAGACCAAGAGGAATTCCAGGAAGCTGTGTTAACGCGAAAAAGAATTAGGCAAAATGTGTTTTTAGAGCCCATTTTGGATGCACACGTTGTGCGGAACTAAGTTGAAGCAGCCGGTCAAAACTGATTAAGTGGCTGACAGACAGCGGTACGTCATATGCATGACATCAACAACCATGACGTCGCATGAGCCGGCCAATGATAGTGAATGTCATTATGAATATTTATTTTCTCATGAATATTTAGTTTATTTCAATGGCTACTTCAAATACGTCCAAAGAATGATTATTGCAACAGCGATCGTGCGCAGCCTAGCGGTTAAGAGTCTCGTGTTGCAAGCAAGAGGCCGAGGTTCGAATCTCGATGAAGTAAGTGACTGATAAATAAATAGAAATAAAGGAAAGGAGAGGGTGAGAGTAGAGGAGGAAAAGTGGAGGGAATAACCTTAAAGGCTACAACTTTTGGCGCTTGAAAGTTAATTGGAAAAAAGTTGTGGCCGAGTACGGAAATTTTTCCATAAGTCTCGTTTTGTAGCCTACTAAGTTTCTTAATCTTGGGATTTTTTAAGAAGAGATTTACGCGTGTTTGATTCAGAAGCAGTCGCAAAGTTATCGGACCCTTTTTAGTCTTTTTTCAGTCCAAGGTTAAGGTATCGGCCCCTCTTTCAATTTAGTTTCGCAATCTTCTTTCGATGCTTCTGACCTTATCTGTGTGTAATTTTGAATTTGCAGGCCCTTTTGGTTCTTTTGATATTGAGTTTGTATTTTTGGGTAGCATATTTGATTTTCTTTTCAATTTTCTTGTTCAGTTAGTTGATGCAATGGCCCATGCCAATGAACACAGATTTGTACATTCAGTGTGCATCATTTGCATGCTGCGTGAGTGTTGTCATTGTAATTTTTTCTCCAAAACTTTTTGTTACCTTTGACACTAAACATGGTGACTTCTTAATTCACTCTTTGATCAGGAGCCGGAATTACCGACACTATCCCACCCACGGTCAGTGGGTGCACGGCCGCTGCTACCACAGTCACTGCTGGTGTCTCACAAACATCTGCCCAGGTCTTCTGGAATGAGCCGACAGCGACAGACAACTCTGGCCAACAGGTGTCTTTGACCAGGACCCATCGCCCAGGGGATACATTCTCATTGGGTCAGACAACCGTCACGTACACCTTCACGGATAACGCTGGCAACCGGGCAATTTGCTCGTTCAGTATCACTGTCCAAAGTGAGTGTCTTTTATTGAAGATTGGTAGCTATGGCAAAACCAATAAATTCATATTCCTTTTTATGTCTTTAAATGACTTCCCCCCTCCTTTTTTTGTGAAGTTTTATTGAATCATAGAAGAACTTTCTATCAACCAATTCATTTATTCAAATTTGAGGGGAAGGGTCACCTTGGAACATGTATCTTGGTCACATGGTCTGTATATAGCTCTGGGGGTCACATGTCCTTATCTTTAGCTTGACTTGATCTTGGTCTTCACAGTGGATGGCCTGTCTTTTTACTGAATTTAATCATGAACTGGTCCGTACCTCTTCAGGTCAGGGTTCGACTGGTGTGGTAGTCAGCAACTGCCCCAGCCAAGGGGTGACAGTCACTGCACCCCAGGGGGCTGCGCAAAGCTCAGTCACCTGGCAAGAACCCACGGCGACGGACGGCTTTGGGCAAGCAGTCACTAACGTCATCCGCTCCCACGTGCCAGGCCAACTGTTCGCCATCGGTCAGACTCAGGTCACCTACCAGTTTGTCTCGACCTCTGGGAGCCAGGGATTGTGCAGCTTCACAGTGACTGTCAATGGTGAGAACAGTTTCCACAGACTGTGTTCGTATATTATATTTTGTGATAAATGTCGTTCTTTTTTAAACTAAGGGTTCTTCAGCAGTTCGCATGCAATGAAGATGAGAATCCCAAAAAGTCTAGACACAGAAGATGATAAAAAATGCTCATTTGTAGTGATGGAAGGAATATCTGGCAATGACAATCTCGGGAAAACCCTGAGAATCAAGCAAGGAATGAGATCCCAATCCATATGTCCGCCTGAGCATTGCAAATGTGGAAGGCGAGGAAAGTAACACTACAACAACCCAATTCCTCAAAATCATATTGGAGGACACAAGTTGATTATTTCCTTTTCCTGACATAGAATGAGTTGTTGTGAATTTTTGTGATCTCTAAAAGACCGAGCCATTAAGCCCCTGGAAAGTCCACAAGCACCTATGGCAGCAGCTGCAGCCACTTCCCATAGACCTGGTGTTATTTCCAGCCGTAGCCAAGAAATTTGGTCGCGGCCATGGAAAACAAGTATTTCTTAGACAAAAAACGAGTAATTTCATTCAAGATTAGGTTTTGCCCTTCACCGACGTATAAACACTGTATACTCAGTGTGTTACCTCCCGAGTGAAAGTGAGAAAAAAATCACTTGGTCGGGACTCGAACCCACAACCTCCTGCTTTCTAGTGCAGATGTCTTACCACTCGACCAACCAGCTTGCAGGGGTCAGCTGGCTGGTTTGAATCTGACGTAGCAGCGGGTACCGCAATGAAACTATTCATAAGATGGAATTTGCATTGAGGAGATGTAAATTCAATATTAGGTTTTGCCCGCCACCGACGTATAAACACTGTATGCTCGGTGTGTAATATGTCAATTTCAATTCCTTTAAATTCTTGCAGCCGGTTTCCCAGTTGACAACCAAGCTCCCACTTTCACCGTCCCATGTCCCAACGGGGTAACGGTCAATGCGCCGATAGGCTCCACAACATTTGTCGTCAGCTGGACTCCACCTCAAGCCATCGACAACTCTGGCACTGTCAATACCATCGCCTCGCATGAACCCGGCTCGACATTCATCGTGGGCGCACCAACATCAGTCACTTACAGATTTACCGATCCTTCAGGCAACTTCGTGACCTGCACTTTCACAGTTCTGGTTAGCGGTATGTGCCAGTCATGTGTACTTTAACCCTCCTACGCAAACATATATTCTGTGCCAAGTTGTCCTTTCAGTCAAAATCAATCAAGTGACTGTTTTCAACAGTTAAGAGCTCCCAGCCCCCATTAAGCAGGATTGACTGGCTGGGACTGTTTATGTAACTTGGCACAGCTTTGTTTTGACTGCAGGTGATTGATAAGACAGCCGTGCCTACCTCTTTCCTGCTTTTGTGTGTTGACTGAATTTGACTAGTCTCAGTGCTTGCTTGAAATATGATCTGATTGTTGTGACTTGCCTGTGTAAACGGCATGGCAGGGAAGGAAGATGGGATTTTTGACTGTCTGTGACTGTTCAAACAGTAGGAGTGTCAATGTTTGTAGTGCATTAAATTGCACAGGGTGTCAACCCAAAAATAAAAGAAAAAATAAACAAAATTAATGGATTAGTTTAATTTAACAGACTAGAGATCTGAGCTCAGTTTCTTTTCTTCTTTCGGAGGAGAGAAATGTAATGGATCTTGAGGACTGGTACAGGACGCAAGTGGAGCTCAGATAGAGCCGTCAATTATATCACAGTTTTGCATGGATATTACATTTCGCAAAGTACAAGCAATGGGCACCTGATGCAGTTAAGTGAGCCTGTTGCAATAACCATGCAAATTGGTGACGTAATTGGCGACATCTCCCATTCACGCATCTTTGTTATCTCTATCAAATCAATTTCTCCTTTTTGGCCTTACAGTTGGGTCGCCTGACAACACGCCTCCGACTTACACCAACTGTCCAAGCGACATCACCGTCTCACCCGCTACCGGTGCCACAACGGCGACTGCCAGCTGGCAAGAACCGGTTGGCCAGGACAACTCGGGTGTAGCCCCACAGGTCTTCCGGTCGCATGCCCCTGGGTCTGTGTTTGGACTGGGCTCTACCGCTGTCTCGTATCGCTTTGTGGACGGGTCAGGCAATGAAGCAACGTGTTCTTTCTTTGTGACTGTTGTTGGTAAGATATCTGTTGAGGTTTTTCTTAAGTCTGGTGTGTTTTCAGCGCACTGGTTACCAGTTACTGTTGGGATTGGATTTACAAATTGGTAAATCTAATCAAAACGGTAAAACCAATACAATAATAGTAGTTGTAATACTTCATTGCAGCAAGGGTTCAAATTTAATGTACTGTGGCGGTCTCAGTTGATGTGCCCAGGCCTGCCCTCGTCCGACCAAATGAGCAGCTGTAGAGGCGGCCAGGGCTTCAGGTCCGTTTGGAGGTAGTCTACACCAGGCACTCAAAGCAGCGGCCACACACCGAATGATTAACCTCGGGTGATGGGAAAGGCTGGTAGGTGTGGTAGGCGCGAAAGGTGTGAAGTGAGCATAGCATGCCTGATCCCAACTTCTTTTGCCGAACAACCAACATAATGGATACTATATTTTTTTCAGTCAGCGGAGGGGACAACATCAACCCCGTTCTGACGGGGTGCCCAACCGGTGTCACCGCATACGTGCCAGCAGCTGTCACCAGCGTTCGGGTTACATGGACAGCCCCCACGGCTACCGATAACTCTGGTGTGACGCCCACCGTCACCAGCACCCCAGCCGTCAACACCCTGTTTATGCTGGGAACGACCGTGGTGATCTACACCGCAACCGACACCGCTGGGAACCAGGCCGTCTGCCAATTTGCAGTCAACGTAATCGGTGAGATCATTTTTTTGTTACAGATAATCCATTCCCACCAGTTATGGTTTAAGAAGGCATTGTATTTCCAAAGCCCTCACAAGACTGAGATTTCAGTCTTTCTATAAATTTGGGGCCAAAGTGTGACATTTTTCCTGCCCCTGTGGCCTGTAAGTTTTGTAACTGCTATTAAAAAGGAAACTAATTGTTATCCATTTAATAGCTAGGTTGCTTAGTTCCCGTAATCACCCTTGGAGGAAGAATACATAAAGGACTGCATCTAGAATTACAAAATCATAAATGTTAAAATATCGACCTCAATTTATAGAATAACCGTTATGCAATCACAGTGTCTCCCAGTTATTCTTCCATGTCTGTCAAGTTTGCTCACTTATCAAGATTGGCAAAACACTAAAATATACCAAATTGCTTCATTATAATTTGATAATGCGATAGCAACATTGAATTAAACAAAGAAAATAACTTCTCTGATAACTTCGCTCATAAAACTTGAAACCATATGTGAACCCATTTGTGATGTTCTGAACCTTGACCTCTGAAGGTCCCGGGCTCAAATCCAAATCGAGTCAATTTCTTGGGTTCAAATCCTGCTTTAAGTCAATTTCTTTCAAATCTTAACAAAATCAGTTATGCAGTGATGTTTTGTTGTTCTATCTTCGTCAGTTGACATAATGTCACCGGTTGTCATTGGCTGCCCGGCTACCATCCGGGGAACTCTACCTGCTGGACAATCCAGCATTCCACTTACCTGGAGTGAGCCCACGGCCACCGATAACAGCCAACTGCCTGTCACGCTGAACCGTACGCACGTCCCTGGCGAAGCGTTCGGCTCAGGAACCACCGACGTCATCTACACGTTCAGCGACAGCGTTGGCAACCAGGCTATGTGCACCTTCATGGTCACAGTATCAGGTAATGAGTTTACTGGTTTATGCGCCAAAAGGGGCAACAGCTGTGATGACATGGGCCGTATTCACAAGTTGGCCATTTTTGTTGAGTTCCCTGAACTTATTTCATTAAGTGTTTACTGTTCAATGGGATGGCGCCAGACTATTTATGCAGGCACAATGCAGCATTATTTTACTGTCTTTTTTTTAATCTGGTTTTAAACAGTAGGGAATTTTAAAATTGCAAATTTAAAATTATTTATTGAAGCAGACTGGAATTAATTAGGAATTAACTTGCTTTCGTTTCTCTTCGCAACTTCCAAAAATTAAGATTTCACCTCTCTTTCAATTCAATATGTCCGACTCGTGAATAAGGCCCATGGGAGTGTTTTTTTTTTCATGAATTTAAAAAAAAATTCGGAAATTCATGATGCCATTAAACTGTAGAATATTGTGAAGTTACTATTCTATAAAGGGGGCCGATTTTTTATATCTTTCAAAAGTGAATAACGTTTGTGTTACTAGAAAAATAGCATTATTAAAATGAAATCTACTTTTCTGGGTGAAACTCAAAAAACCACTCGGAGAGTACAACTTTAGCACTCCCGTTTGTTGTTTCTCCACAGCTGATGCGGGCAACAACCCATGCGCAAGCAATCCCTGTCCAGCAGGCATGAGTTGCTTCTACACATCAGATGCGTACCTTTGTATGATTCGAAGTGGTGAGAAATACTGAGTTACTGCCTTACTAACCACTTTGCGCCAGGTTTAGTTTCGCCGAAAATTTCGCAATTTTCAAAAGGCAAAATTTCCCAGCCGAACGCCACAAATACTGATTTGCAATATTGATTTCAACAGTATTTGTACGATATTTCTTGCCGAAACCTCATATGTTTCAATACCATGGGGTGTGCACTGGAGCGTAAATTGTACAACAACAGCCCACACAATGGTCAGACCACGGTTCCGCCTCCAAAGACAACACAGACTTTGTGTGTGTGTACAAAAGGCACGAGGGATAAGCCTGTTTAGACGTCACCCGGAGGTGAGTCGAGGCAATCTTGACGTCTTAATCCGTTAGCCGTGCCTGGGTGCAAAAACAGCCAGCGCGTGTTATCACAGCCTCCGGCGCGAACTGGTAAAGTCGTCACGCTAATCATGACAACATTCGTAAGAGTGTTTTCCAAACCATGGTTTCGTCACCAGATTCGGCTTCAGTCTCCATTTTCCTGAATTCTAGTTCCCAGGCTTGCCAGACTTCAGGTCCACTTGCCAGAAATCCTTTGGTCTGGAGAAAAAAACCAGAAGAGTCATTGATTATATTTTCAACTTCCAGGTCTGGGAAAGTCCTGGAACTTGTAAAAATGATACAAATCAAGGAAAGTCATGGAAGTTCGATAATTTAACATCTGAAATCAGAGATGGAGATGGAGCCAAGTTTTGGAAAATAACAAAAGGTCTGGGCACACTGATGGTTTCAAGTTTGATTGGAGAAGCTATCACATATGGCAGATCTTCGAAGGGTACAGCTCCACAGTACACCAGTAAATAGTTCAAGTGTAATACAGTTTGGGTGATAGTGGAATCCGGCGACCAGAATTACAAGCTTTTACTGTGGAGGTGTCACGCTCACACGCATGCTGCACGCGTTCTTAAAGATGAGGCGCGTGCGCATTTTGGTATTCCTATTGGTCGAAGGATCCCGGAGTGCGTGCGTACTACTTGAGTGTGACTCGCATAAGCCTTGCGCCACCACAGAAAACAGCTGCAGCCGGATTTGTTATAGCCAAATTGTTTTATATGAACGTGTGTTGCTAGTTAGTACGATTGTTACACTGATCATGAATGAGGATTTCTGTAAGAAATCAACTTGGTAATTATTTCAGTTCCGAGCAGTGGGTTTGCCTCATTTTCACCCCTGTCACCGGTTGCGATTTAGCCACGCTCCTTAGACAACCATATGGGATTTTGTACGTTAATTTTCGTTTGTCTCAGATTTTGCACATTCTGCAACCATTTGCATATCTTGTAATTGGACAATATTTCACATGCTGCATTCATGCGATTCTACCGCGATAGGTCAATTGAAGTATGTTCTTCTTATTTCTTTGTTAAGTTTGTGGTTATTGACTGTTAGAACAACCGATCTGGATCGTTTGTAGTTTTCTGTAACAACTACGATGTTTTGCACCATTTCACTTTGAATACAAGAATGCCAAACATTTCACAGGTGCCTATTTCTTGTGCAGTTAAACGGTTGTACAAGATTTCATAATTCACAAGGTTCGGAATTTCCTTTGTAAATAAACACCTTTTTGTCTTTCTGCTTCTGCAGGACGAAAACGAAGGGATGCGATGACTGATGAAGCTGAATGTAAGTAGCTCTGAAAAAAAAAGTTAACTAGTGTCAACAGATAGGCTGTGAGCAAGTACATGTTTGCAAGATAAAAAAAATACATTTCTCCATTTCGCACCACGTTTTCAAATTTTCCCACCAAGATAAAGGGCTGCAAAAGAAAATGCTAATGAGCAAAATTGAGATTTTACAAGATGGAAATTAAATGAAACAGTTCACATACAGAGATTCAAATCATTCCTGGGTGTTTGCAGGTTTTGACAAACTGCCTTGGTCTCACATTCAAGTAGGTAAAATCAGCCGAGACTGGAGGTTAGTTGACTCATTTGTTACGACATCATTTGCATTGATCAGATGGAATTAACACAATTTGCTGTGACACCAAGCAGGTACATCAGATTGCCTACTATAATATACATCACCTTGTCAAATGCAGAGTAAATTTTTACTCCTTTCCATCTGACCATATTGTTTCTGTGTTCCACACTGTATTCTGCCGTGTGTCTGGCTATGCCTACCCTTTCAGTTTAAGGTGCATGTTTTTTTGTCTTCATTTTTTTGGGCAGACTGTCCATGCGAGAATGGCGGTGAATGTGCCCATGTTGACACTGAGCCACCATCCTACTTCTGCATCTGTCCTGTGGGATTCCAGGGAGTTCTCTGCGAGGAGGGTAAGATTTTTTTCCCAAGAAGTTCATGTTTTTTTTATTTGGTTGGGTTTGGTGTTTTGTGTGTCTTGTGTCATTTCGTCATCTTCTTCATCATCTTTCCTGTGCTGAGGACGAGAACAACTTTTATGTGTTTATGGTAACCTGACCTACCTGGATTTTTATTGTGGCAAAATTGCAGACCTCAAACTTTGTATTGGCATATTTGGCTGAAAATGAAAAATACAGTACATTTTGAAAATGATATTAATTAAACCAGTCAAATACACAAAATTAATTTAACTAGTTATTTAAACATTTAAACAGGTTAATGAAACAAAATGCCGTTAAAGGTATGCTTAAGTAAACAAAGTAAAATAAAAGACCAATGGACAAAAAAAAATTGCAAAACAAACTATTTTCCTTCCTACCTACCTACCTGGATAATTTTAGGGCATTATTGTAAACACACATGTTATTTCTCTGCCTAAAGATTGGCCATATGACTTGTGATTTATGTGTGATTGACGTATGATAATATTTGAGAATCTGTGCGCAGTATAAGGGTTTTACTTTGATGAAGAATGTTTGAAGCAGTGAGCAAAACGCTCTCAGATTCCAAACAGGCACTGAATAATGCCATCCCTTCCATAGCCAAGGGCAGAGTAGGTTATTGCTATTGTTATTTAGTGGACTATAGTAGTAGGTTATTGTGGACTGCAGTCATCTAGAATTTGGCCGTGGCGGCAGCTGGTCAGACAGAAATCAGAAAAGGCCAGTTAATGATTGTTTGTTTGCCGGTATCGCTAACAGTGCTGCGATTTTGCAGCACAAGAAGACCGACCTTCTAAACTGTCCGGAATTATGATCATAATTAACCCTTCCCATGTTTCCTTGCCTCACAATTCATTTAGAACTTTTGACTTGGGGGTTTAGTGGTAATTTTTACATCTCCTTTTTTCCCTTAGCTGTCTCCGATGAGTGTGACCCCAACCCTTGCGCTAATAACGGGACTTGTGTAGTCACCGTTGGCAGTGATCCCCTGGCTCAAGACCACTATGCCTGCCTGTGCTCTGATGGCTGGACCGGGCCAAATTGTCGCATCGGTAAGTCAGAAAATCTTCAGTTGGTCAAGTTGAAATCGTGTGACGTTCAACAGACCCTAGTGAACTAACATCAGATATTAAGTTAACAGGATAAGGCATGCCTAGTAAAGACGGTCCAAGAGCTCAACAAACTCTAGTCAATTGATCCAGAAATGGCTATTCGCTGAAAATCTTTTCATTCATGTGGGATGCACAATGGGCCAGATTTGTCCCACTCATTCACATTAACGGGGTAATCCTATATGATAGCACTGCCCGGCTCGTAAAGGGGAGTCAGTGAGTCAGTCAGTCAGTGAGATAGCTACAAAGAAGACACTAGCCTGGCCCTCTGGGACCATTTTTTATTTCTTTAGGTTGTTCAGTCATAATGGAGCCCAGTTAATTGTTTGTCAACAAAACAACAATGAAAGTTAAGAAACGACTCAGAAAGTTTCACCCTCTCCGCCTTAATGCTTTACTCTGGGGTTTACAAGAGACAAAAAGTCATCAACTGTAACCCTTTAAGTAAGATTTGAAACTTTGCATGGTGGTAGTATGAACTAGTGAAGGTTTGCGGTGACACCATGTGGAAATCTCTTTTGAGAAGATGTGTGGTTCTGAAAAAAACTGGTTGTTTGTAAAACTCGATGTTCCGATCAGTATGCTCTGAACGTCTCCAGGAGATGATCTTCTTTACCCTCTACCTTGAATGACTTTAGGCTTTGTAATGGGCAGCTTACCATGACTTTTCAATGTGTCTCTTTTCCCATCCAGCAATGGAGGATGAACTGGTAACCCACACCAGTGACCTGGATGTCATGCATCACCAGCCTGCGTTGCTGGATACCGAGTGGTTTATGGCTGCGCTGACTGCCATGGTAGTCAGCCTGTTCCTGATGTCTCTTATCGCCGTGTTCTGCGTTGCTCGGCGTCAGGTTCTCCCTGCAAGCAAAGCAGACGACGAGATCGCCATTATCCGCTAAGGATCACAGCTCACGAATAAACAAAAATAATTAATCAGTTATAGTGCTTTTAGAAGAGACTTGTTGACATAGTCTACCACTGCATATTTACGTTATTGAGATGTAATGCTGTTGATGTACATATTTTCATTTTTTTTTTTTAAGTTTCATAGATTTGGTTTATTTCTCTCAAACTTCACAAGTCTATGGACTCTGTGCATGAATAGTAGATGGCATATTGTGACCACTTAGAAGCTCGTGAGAGGAGCAAATTGTGCGCACACACTTTTTCGCAAGCATATGGCACAAATTACCCAAAATATGATTCTGAATATGTACAATCCCGCATCATCTTCCCATGTATGTCAGACGTACTGGCGATGTATTAATAAAAGTAATGTAATAATAGGTGCCCTTAAGTAATAATGTGGCGCTTATATAGCGATTTATACCAAAGGTTTCAAAGCGCTTAACAATTATTGCCCCTGTTCATCAGGAATGAGACAATTTTTCTGCAGCAGCTCGAGATCAGCGCAATTCCCAGGAACCCATTTATACTCCTGGGTGAAGAGAGGCAATTGTAGTAAAGTGTCTTGCCCAAGAACACAAGCACCATGTTCCCTGTCAGGATTCGAACCCACGTACCACGGCATGCGAGTCGAACACCGTAACCATTGGACCACAGCGCCCCTCAGTTCCTCCGAACTCTCTCTTTGTAACTGATTGAGGGGGTAGTTGCGCATAGAGTTCATAATTAAGATGGAGATCCCTTTTCTGAGTTAAGGCCATCTCTTGCATTCCTGCAGTTCTCTGACATAAGTGGTCCACGCTTCTGATAAAAGTATACATTGGTTGTTTATTCAATGTTACAAAAAACTAATTATCAAGTGCACCTATCAGACCAAATTGGCTCTCAATATGCCTCATGGATGGTTTTGAAAAGAGAAAAATGTGACGGTGATCTAACAGATTTTTGAAAGCCCTTGTAAAAAAGAAGTTTTTGCCAAATAGTCTCTTGATGTTTGCTGAAATCTAGTTTTATCTTCTGGTTAAAATCTTACCGCATAGGAACATTTTGTGAAAAGACTGAAATAACAGTTAAAAACAACTTATGTTTGGAACGATTCTCAATGTTATCTTTTATTTGTTATAAAATGCCAACAGCTTATAGAAGCAGTTTTATTTTTAACTTAAAACACAACAGCAAGAAAACTAGCACTAGTGTTGTTCTTATCCTGTTTCGAATAAAATACGTCAAGATAAGTAATCATTTGAGAGAGCCTAAACAAGTTGGTACGTAAAAGAGAATTGCATAAATTGAAAATGCAGGACATTCACTCATTTGTGTGGTTTATGTATAGATTGTAACTAAAGTAGCCTGTATGATGATACAACTCGAATCTTAGAACTGAACAGCCTTAAATCCATTAAAATCCGACTCTGATCTTGTATTTTGAGGAATTCAGGACTGAAGAACCTGTGGTGCTTGATAATGATATCCTTAAATTGTTGAAGTGCAAAAAAAGTCCCTTGATTTACTAATGATTGTTGGATTTTGGTGGATTCAGAAGCTTTCTAGTGGAAATGCCCATTGAGTTTGGACTAATAACATCTATTTGGAATTTCTTAATTAATATTTTAAGAATTTTGCAATTGCAATCTTTGTATAATTTTTCATATTTTTAAATGCTTAACAGTTTGCTTAGTGGCATATGAGGTATTTGCATGCTCATTATTACGGAATAGCAGCTAAAGTTTAACTACAACTAAAGTTAAAATTTGGGTAATAGTATTAGCATAATTTTCTATAGACCTGTTGCATTGTAGCCATCTTTGAGGTACACGTTTGTGCTCAACGACCATACACTTGAGTGGACATCTTGTGCATTGGTTGTTACTGTTCATGTTGGTGATATGGACACAGGATGGGGTTTCATTAGCCAATTAAATTGTCCATTTATTTAAAAGCAATTTTAAACGGTTGCTGTTATTCTTGTCAGTACTGTACACTATATACCAACAGGTTTGGCTATACAGCGTGGATAAAAAAACCCGATATATTATTGCTAATTGGAACAAAGGTAGGGCACATGTGAATCAAAGGGAGATATCTTCTGTTAGGGTTGAATCTCCTCTTTAAAATGACACCCTGGCCATGTCATTACATTTACGGTTGACTGAGCAGTGACCAATTTTATGAAAGGGTCTATTTAGGGAATTGCGCCACTTTTCAATTGTGGTTTTTGTTGTGTCAGTTGGAGTGAAAGGCTATGGTTGCCAATCAAGGCAGGTGGGGGGGGGGGGGGGAACATATTTCACCATGAAAAGTGGTGCAAGTCTCTAAATAGACCCTTTCATAAAATTGGTCACTGCTCAGTCAATCGTGAATGTAAGGACATGATCAGGGTATCATTTTAAAGAGGAGATTCAACCCTAACAGAGGATATCTCCCTTTGATTCACATGTGCCCTACTTCTGTTCCAATTAGCAATAATATCTCGGTTTCGGTTTTTGATCCACCCTGTAGAGCGTTTCCGGATTTGAAAATGAGGATAGAATGAACAAAAGGCCTTCACTTTTATTTTTCCTCGGAACTGTGATATGTGTTAGCGCCTGAATAGAATAAAATGGTTTGTAAGAACCGATGGTAGCGCAATATTAAAGTTTGGCGGCAAAACAAGTGTGTTGTTTGCTGATTCTATCTTGTCTGAAATTTACAAAATTGCGGGTAACACCATGTGGAAAGAAATCTCTTCTTGGAAGAAGTGTGGTTCTGAAAAGAACCGGTTGGTTGAGTGTAGAACGTCTGTTGTCCTCTGAAAGCTTATATACGTCACCCGGCCCGTCGTAGTTTCATTCCTATTATACATCATGTAGCAGGCACGTAGGAAGATGATTTTAACGGGGGGGGGGGGGCAGATTATATTTTGCGAAACAACGGCGCACCCAGGATTTTGTCTTAGGTGGGCTCAAAGACAAAAATTACTCTCACAAATTGACTAGGATTATATAGCAGGCGCGGATCCAGGATTTTTTAAACGGGGGGCACACCTTTTGAGCAATTTTGCTCCGATAATTAATGCGAGCGCGGAGGGAGAAGCCCTTACGGCGTGAGGTTCGGGGCCCGCTTAAGGGCCCCGAAAAATTTTGGATTCTAGATGCTCTGTGGTGCAATCTGAGGCGATTCCTGGCCCCTTCCCCCTGAATTGTTTGCGCAATTTTTTTTTTAAAGATTATAAGGATTTTTAAAATTGCTTTTACAAATTTTGAGTTACTGTGTTCTTCAAGGTTGAAAACCATGTATTTTCGTCTTCATATACCGGTGGCAATTAGCATGAATACTTGCCAACAAAGACCCAGACAGCTGAACCGCTTCACTGCGCGCGGCGGCTTTCAAATTTGCAGGGCTCTGCGCTCGATCTGGTGTCGAATTCTGTCAAGCCAGCTATTTATATATTTGAATATTCATGATCCTACGTTTTTGGTCTTTATTATTGAATCTGATAAGTGATAACTACACAACCATGTTAACAATGTCTTTAGCTTTAAAATGAATTATGAAATGTCGCATTTGTTTTATCGGTTCGGAATCACGTCTCTCTTGATGAAAGCCTAATTAAAAACGAGATTTGGGTAAACGGTATTAAGGCCCGTTATCACGCGTCCAACCAAATTATTAAGGCAAGTCCGTTCAGTACATTTTGTACTAGAGCTCAGAACAGTTGTTCATCCTTGTGTGTAGGATCTGTGGTTGGGACGGTCCCATCTTGTTAATCCAGACAAAAAAATCCCATCCCAACCCGCCCAATACAAATCAAGTTCTATCACCGTGACCAAGGAACACTACCTTCCTGATTTCCCTTATATTTTTAACGCTCAAAACCATTTGCCTGAGGTCTCTTCAAAATGTCCGGTCGGTGAATGAAACACTTCTAGCTATTTCTCCCGTAGTCCGAAGAGGCTCTTATGCGAAATATACTTCAGTTGCATGTACATGTATTATATATATGCGCCTGCCACTTATGTGTATTACGCAACGGTGAACAAGATCGCCTGTAGCCTAAAATGGTTTTGCTGGTACGGCAGTTTACGGAGCCAATTGTCCCGTCAACAATGAGCCACGACATGCTCCAGTGAGTCCTATTGTTGTCAATGGTTGACAGAATTCAGGTCATTCTACAAGAGTCCCCCATCACGTCTTAAGCCATGTCTTGTAACACCATGATGCGTTATTGGACCTAATCGGCACGAGACGTTTCCTGGCCGCTTTCCAATCGATTATTGGTGCGGGTCCACTCGGATCTTTAAGGGACAGGGAGTAGTTCCTTCTGGAACACGCTGGTTTCGTTCTGCAGAGCCACTGAGACAACATCATGATGGCGGCATTCAGGATCAGTGTAGTCTGTGCCCTTTTGGCTCTGCTGCCAACGCCCATAATGAGCCAAGGTAAGTGGACATGTGAAGACGCTAATCCTACTGAAATGGCAGTCATCATGAAAATACATTGTTATTGGCCGAAAGATAAACGTTGGCTTATTCTTGATTTCATTTTGGAAACTCGGACGCTTCTTCGTTGGATGTGTAAAAAAAAAACTACAGGAGTAGATGCGCTTTTGTTAATTAAAACCATTTAAATAATAAAGTACTTCACTACTTTATGTTTTCTGACATCATGAATTGCAATGACTGGCCATCTGACAGTTTTATGGTAAACCGGTCCCAAACTTAGCTTATGATCAAGTGAGGAAGGTACTGTTCGAGAACTATACCAGCATTAATAAATTAATAATGACATTTTAATTTAGTCACTCTGATATGAAGATGTCGTTTTGGACGTTCTCAATAGACCTCAGGTTTATACCTAATTGGTTTTTTTAGGGGGGGGGGGTACGAATCCAATTCAAAACGGAATTCCGATTATGTTTTAAAAAAATGCTCATCAAATACATGTAGTAATAAGATCTTATTACTACATGTATTTGATGAGCATTTTTTTAAAACATAATCGGAATTCCGTTTTGAATTGGATTCGTACCCCCCCCCCCTAAAAAAACCAATTAGAAACAACGGCGCACCCAGGATTTTGTCTTAGGTGGGCTCAAAGACAAAAATTACTCTCACAAATTGACTAGGATTATATAGCAGGCGCGGATCCAGGATTTTTTAAACGGGGGGCACACCTTTTGAGCAATTTTGCTCCGATAATTAATGCGAGCGCGGAGGGAGAAGCCCTTACGGCGTGAGGTTCGGGGCCCGCTTAAGGGCCCCGAAAAATTTTGGATTCTAGATGCTCTGTGGTGCAATCTGAGGCGATTCCTGGCCCCTTCCCCCTGAATTGTTTGCGCAATTTTTTTTTTAAAGATTATAAGGATTTTTAAAATTGCTTTTACAAATTTTGAGTTACTGTGTTCTTCAAGGTTGAAAACCATGTATTTTCGTCTTCATATACCGGTGGCAATTAGCATGAATACTTGCCAACAAAGACCCAGACAGCTGAACCGCTTCACTGCGCGCGGCGGCTTTCAAATTTGCAGGGCTCTGCGCTCGATCTGGTGTCGAATTCTGTCAAGCCAGCTATTTATATATTTGAATATTCATGATCCTACGTTTTTGGTCTTTATTATTGAATCTGATAAGTGATAACTACACAACCATGTTAACAATGTCTTTAGCTTTAAAATGAATTATGAAATGTCGCATTTGTTTTATCGGTTCGGAATCACGTCTCTCTTGATGAAAGCCTAATTAAAAACGAGATTTGGGTAAACGGTATTAAGGCCCGTTATCACGCGTCCAACCAAATTATTAAGGCAAGTCCGTTCAGTACATTTTGTACTAGAGCTCAGAACAGTTGTTCATCCTTGTGTGTAGGATCTGTGGTTGGGACGGTCCCATCTTGTTAATCCAGACAAAAAAATCCCATCCCAACCCGCCCAATACAAATCAAGTTCTATCACCGTGACCAAGGAACACTACCTTCCTGATTTCCCTTATATTTTTAACGCTCAAAACCATTTGCCTGAGGTCTCTTCAAAATGTCCGGTCGGTGAATGAAACACTTCTAGCTATTTCTCCCGTAGTCCGAAGAGGCTCTTATGCGAAATATACTTCAGTTGCATGTACATGTATTATATATATGCGCCTGCCACTTATGTGTATTACGCAACGGTGAACAAGATCGCCTGTAGCCTAAAATGGTTTTGCTGGTACGGCAGTTTACGGAGCCAATTGTCCCGTCAACAATGAGCCACGACATGCTCCAGTGAGTCCTATTGTTGTCAATGGTTGACAGAATTCAGGTCATTCTACAAGAGTCCCCCATCACGTCTTAAGCCATGTCTTGTAACACCATGATGCGTTATTGGACCTAATCGGCACGAGACGTTTCCTGGCCGCTTTCCAATCGATTATTGGTGCGGGTCCACTCGGATCTTTAAGGGACAGGGAGTAGTTCCTTCTGGAACACGCTGGTTTCGTTCTGCAGAGCCACTGAGACAACATCATGATGGCGGCATTCAGGATCAGTGTAGTCTGTGCCCTTTTGGCTCTGCTGCCAACGCCCATAATGAGCCAAGGTAAGTGGACATGTGAAGACGCTAATCCTACTGAAATGGCAGTCATCATGAAAATACATTGTTATTGGCCGAAAGATAAACGTTGGCTTATTCTTGATTTCATTTTGGAAACTCGGACGCTTCTTCGTTGGATGTGTAAAAAAAAAACTACAGGAGTAGATGCGCTTTTGTTAATTAAAACCATTTAAATAATAAAGTACTTCACTACTTTATGTTTTCTGACATCATGAATTGCAATGACTGGCCATCTGACAGTTTTATGGTAAACCGGTCCCAAACTTAGCTTATGATCAAGTGAGGAAGGTACTGTTCGAGAACTATACCAGCATTAATAAATTAATAATGACATTTTAATTTAGTCACTCTGATATGAAGATGTCGTTTTGGACGTTCTCAATAGACCTCAGGTTTATACCTAATTGGTTTTTTTAGGGGGGGGGGGGTACGAATCCAATTCAAAACGGAATTCCGATTATGTTTTAAAAAAATGCTCATCAAATACATGTAGTAATAAGATCAAAAATTAGTTGAGCCCCCCCCCCCCCTGCCCAATCATTCAAACAACCCAACAAATTAACAAACAAATCGAGATTTTTACCCATATTGGTAGAGATCATTACGTCATCCAGACATGCCAAGCTCAACTCCACTCGGTAGTCTCTCCATAATATCTCTCTTGACAGATTTTTTTTAGCGTTTAGTAACTTTTTTTGGGGGTGGGGTGGGAGCGAGTATCCAATTCAAAACGGAAGTCCATATTGTTAAAAAAATAAATAAAATATGCTCATCAAATAACAAAAAAAATAAGTTAAGTCCCCCCCCCCACAAAAAATCCCAATCACTAAAACAACCTAACAAATAAACCGAGATTTAACCAAAAAATGGCAGAGATCGTTACGTCATCCAGATCATGCCAAGTTCGAGTTCTTTACTCGTTTTGTTTTCTGTAGTTTCTTTACATCTCTCTTGACATTAATTTGGTAGCTTTATAATGAAATTTACGGGTATCAACAATTACTCCTTGTCACTTTAGGAACTTGCCAATGTGAAAATGGGGGTCAGTGCTTGTACGATGAGACTGGTGCAGGGATCAGATGCGTGTGTCCAGTTGGATACAGGGGCATCCTCTGTGACATACAAGACGGTGAGTCTAAACATTGATCAGTAACTGGTTACTTAACCCTAACCTTCCCAAATCCTCAAAAAATCCTCCATGCATAAGTGGAGGATTTCGAAGGATTGAGGCTATTATGACAAAAGTAAGTGGCCAGGTCTTAGGCCGGACCTTGTGTTGTTTATGCTCAGCCGTGCATAAAATTAGGCCTCTAAATTAGGCCTATACTTGAAATCATCCGCACTGCTCCAGGAGGTCACTGGCTCTGCCTCAACATAATTACTGACAGTGATTGCCAGAGGATTTTGCAGGATTGAGGCAGTGGTAATCCCTCCACATTCAATAAATAACGGAGGATTTTGCAGGATTGAAGCTGTATGCTATTTTTATATAGAGGCAGTTGGAGGATTTTGCAGGAATGAGGTTGCATCCTAGCAAAAATGCATAGGGGTAAAATTGATGTTATCCTGGCACAAAATAAGTCTATAGAGCCTAAAAATTGAAAGCTTTCTAAGGTTAAGGCAAGGAGTGCGAAGTTATGAAGTGATGATGGCGGATGTGTAAATATACTGTTCTCTTTTGGGCATGTAAATTTCCCCAAAGCCATTTTGCAAACATTGTCCTGAAAAGGCATTTGACGTTCGCTATGTTTGCAAGGATGTGGTGGTGATTATTGTGTTGGGGGGGGGGGGGGTTGCATGAGGCGAGGTTCTTTATGAACTTCCTTGATTTAATCTTACGGCAAGTTGATGGATCATGGACCATCTTTAACAATACAACACATAGCGCGCTGACCCCCCTGTCCTGACGGCCCACAAGCGCTAGCTTTATGCTCTATGCTTTTAAAATGCATATATGGAGCGTCCGGTGACAATAACTTGAAGCCCATGTGAAAGCAACGGTTACGTAACCGCTTGAGTAGCGCTCCGTTGGCGTGAGGCTTTCATTGACAACCTTCTTTTAACTCTGAGGACTACGGCACTGGCCAGTGATACTCGAGTCATGTTTCGTCGTGTTGATTGTAGTTTTGAAGGAGAGTCAGTAGCAAGACTGTACGAAGGCTATGAGCTATTGAATATAAGAATCTCCTGTAAGTCTGCAATGACAATGTAAGTGGTAATTCAAGGACCATCAAACAACTTGATAAGTTGAAATTGTTGCCACACAGTAGCCAAATCCCTGTCATTAATCCATGAATTTTTGGGCCGCCGACCTTCTTTCTCTTATTTTGACAACTCCCCCCTTTTTCTTTTCTCAGCTAGCGTTTCTTCTTAACGATTGCAATCCATCCATCAAAACCTTTGCATGTGACCCACAATTCATGAAGTTTGCTGTTTATGAGGGAATTTATCGGCTACAATTCAAGACCGGGACGCGTGACGATTTGGAACGTTAGGCCCCTCCCGCAAATAAGGCCTTATAATTATTGACGGCCGTAAATTATTCATTATAGCCCAATAAAGTTTTCACCTTAGCATGTGGATTGGTGAGAATTCAAGTTAGAGGTTGAAAACAACGAGTTTTGTTTCTAACAGTAGCCATGAAACTGTTGGGGAAAAAACCAGGGCCACGTAGGAGATGCGCTAATGAAGACCCCCCCCCCCCCCCCCCCCACGTGCCGTGGTAGGATCACACTTTTTACGGTTTTCGAAATTTCGGCCTCGCCTCCAGCTGTGGCCTCTGGAGACTGCAGTAGTCAGAAATTTCTTGAACCCAAGAGAAACGCACGGTCGCATTCCACATCAGCTCAGTATGAATCCATGCTCTGCCCTATGAACATCTAACTTTAGTGTAATTGCATCTAGACTTTGGACATTGATTAATAAAAAAAAAATGGAAATGAAGCCGAATTGGAGATGAAATTGGAAACCCCGCATGTGCCCTACTGAATTACCCCCTCTATCGGTCATCATGAGCATCATCATGAGCATCATCAGGCCGCGGTAGTCCTCGCGAACTTGAAATAACTAAGTTGACAACAAATTCCTTCTTGTTATTGATTCCGTTTTATTCTCCTCCAGTGTTCTCTGACGTCCGGCAGGTTGTTTCAAAATAAATTGTCCACCATGTTTCAGTCAAATTTAGATCGAAAGTTAGCGCATTCTATATATTTCAATGCTAGTTTTTGCGCCTGGGAATCAACAAAGTTTTGTCTTTATTTAGGCCAATCAACATTGATTTTTACTTCAGGTTTTCATCACTCAAGATTGAAAAAAAAATCGATCGGGAGGGGAATTTGTATTTTATATTTTATAAGTTCCACTTCTTCACATTCAAAGTGCATTGAGGGGACAACGTCAGCTAAACTTAAAAGAAGACACAACAGACGTGAAAACTACTTAAACTTAACTACCAGTCAGCTCAGCTGTTTAAGGACCTAGGGTTTTGTCTAAAAATAGAAAGGGTATGGAGGAAAAATCGGGGCAGGAGTGAAAATCAAGGAGGGAGGTGATGAAAACCTAAATATGTTAATTGGCCTTAGCAGTAGCATCACACATGGGCTGGGAGGGGGAGCCTCTATAAAGTTCAGATCTTCAATATTCCGTGTTTTGTCATTGTTTTTATCAATAAATATGAAACCCCATATTTTCCTTCTTAATCCATAAAACATTAACCCGGCCATCGTTCCAATTTCCATGATATTCCTGGTACTTTTTCAATATTGGTACTTTGGTGAGTCATGCGAGTGCAACAAAAGTGGATATAGGCCCTATCCTCGATGTACCGGTTTTTGAGGGTGTAAGGCCAAGGATTTATTACAAGCAAGAGAAAAACACCGACATAACTTTGGTTTCCTAATTTTTTGGGCTGGCGGTGGGAACATGTACCGCACACACAACAAATATCAACCAGTTGTGTGATACGAATCTGTGCGTGTGCGTCACTACAAGTACAAGGTCAAACCTCGAAAACTTGATGCCTCGAAAACAGCTACATGGAAAATAGGCATAACTTGTCTTTCACCGCATGTGTCAGGAAAGGCGTCCAAAAAATGCATAAACCACAATGTGTTAGGCTGAGTTCCAAGGTCAATTGTGCAGTCATCTGTGACTCGCACGCATAAAGACCTGTATTCCAGCCCCAGCCGCCCCTGGCCCCAGGAGTTTTTATTGTGCTCACAGAATGAGACCAGGCCTAGTAGTAAACAAGATAGGATTGATGCATACGCCCTGTGATATTGTTTTGCCCATTGTCAACTCTGGATTATGTGCCAAATTTATAATGCTGAACAGTGAAAAATTAACATCGTCTCAATGTCTATCTATAGAATAGTCAAGCTGAATTACTTTCCATTCATTTAAAACCAAATTAAAAGTTATGTAACTTCTTCAACTCAAGACAAATTCATCGAAAGTTGTGTTTCTTTCAGATACAGTAGTTGTTAGGCCTATTTTTGTTCAACTCAAATTCCTGAGACGTTCAAGATAACATGTAGTGGTTTTTCTTAGTTTTAATGTGTCTCAAATTGGTTTTGTCTAACAGCGAATTGCCTATGTGAAAATGGTGGTATCTGCAGCATCAACGCTGAGGATGACTACGTTTGTTCGTGTATGGAGGGCTATGATGGGCCTCTCTGTCAGTACGGTAAGAACTGTCTTAAGAATCAAAGTACATTGTAGATTTTAAGTCACAGTTATATTGCGGGCTTCAGAGCCGTATCTAAGTGTTGATCGAGTTGACTGCTGTCGAATTGCCTGAAAATTACGAATGCACCTATGGGAGTGTCCCATAAAACAAATGATTCAGCAGCCCTGATGTGAGTTGGACTCTGTTTATACACGCGATTGGTTGACACCTTAATAGGGGCAAACACTTGGAGCATTTCTTAACTTACTTGTTTTTCACAGTTAAGATGTTTCTTGCGCATCACCCTGACGCTGTGACATAACTAATCTTTGTAGTGGATATCTCTCTATTTTTAATTATAATGTTGAGCAAAGAAATTGACTGCCCCTATGTTCAGTATGTTGGCAGTTCCCTATTTTGCCAGTGTCTTTGTTCAAGGGGCACAAGCCAGAAGCCATAAACCCATATATGCTATGTAGCCAGGGATCACGCCCAATGTCATGATTCTAGCAACATTAGCAATGCTGCAATCGTGGGAAATAGCAAACGGGGATCGCTCACTCTTTTTATTACAAATTTTCAAATAAACCACAAAGGGAAACTGATAATGTGCATTATAATAATTTTAAAGTTAAACAAAGAAGTATTATTTTGAAGCAGATTCTAACACATTCCCTCATTGTCAAAACGAGCTTGACCCTCATCCTTAAAATTCTTCTCTTGAATTACAAAAAATTCCTGCTGTATTTTTAAAGTAACCTTATGTCAAACTTTTTTTCATCACATTTCATACATCTTTAGTTCCTCTGGTGGATGACAAATCACCGCCAGATATATTCAACTGTCCGTCTGATTTTGAGGCTCGACGGCAACCTGGTGAAGATTCCGTGTACGTCACGTGGGAGGAGCCGTATGCCACCGATAACTCAGGAGAAGTGCCCTCGGTGTTTAGAAATATCGCGCCCAACTTCTATGCACGCAGCAATTATGACGTTCAGGTTTTCTACCGATACACGGACCAGACGGGCCTCACGTCTGAGTGCCGTTTCACAGTCACAGTTATATATTGTAAGTGTCTATTAAACAAGAAGGCACGTGTGGTCTAGCGGTGGAGCACAGGATTCATGATCGTGAGGTTGTGGGTTCGAGCCCCGCCGTGGCCATGCGTGTTGTGCCCTTGAGTAAGGCGCTTTACCTCAATTACTCCTCTCAACCAGTCGTTAAATGGGTACCGGCATTATTCAATGCTGGGAAGGTAACAGACTCGCTGTGGAGGAGGCATGGCAATCCCCCCACAGCAGCATATGAGTCTGGCCCGATTGCTAACGAAAGAGAGATGGGCACTCCGTTCCCTGTTAACACAGGTTCGGCCTCTTTTTTTATTAAAAACAAACTTGTGCAATGCACGTTTTATATTGACCAATTTTAGATCATACAGCCTACAGAGACGGTTATGTGCATAATTTAATCTTGTGGGCACCGCGTCCCTTATAGAAAAGGTCCACACAATTGCTCAGTGTAGATCCAGTGGGTCAAAGTTCCCAATGCCAAACTGTGGCAGAGTCCATGGTTGCCAACTGTTAGATACAACTTTATGAAGGTTCAATGGGACAGACTTCCATTGTCTCAGAGGAGCTAGTTTAGGAACCGGTATTGATAACCTAATACAGCAACATCCCACAGACTTTGACATTTACTGCATAGTGTTGCATCTGGCAGGGTTAGGGTCAAATGCTTATTTTGGAGTGTGTAGTAGGCATGAGTTTAATTACATTGTCCCATATTTGTTGGGGAAAATATCTTGAAAGTTTTCTCGAATATGTAGTAATAATTAAGGTAGAAATAATACACTTCTGATTGTAGACCAATTTGAGTGCGCCATCACTGTACACTGACTGAGGCCCACTTCAATGGTCAAAGCATGCCAGTTATTGCTGCGATAATCCATCATGGTGCAGTTGCTTTGTACACTAGCTGGCAGAGTGCTTTCGCCATTGAAGGGGCCTCGGTGAATGTACAGAGATAGTCTATTGATTGGTCTATTTATTCGCTTCTGTTTCCATTTGACCAGCCGATGGCTCTGACCCGCGGCCAGTCGTCAGCGGCTGTCCCAGCAACATCAACGTGACGGCCATGGGCAGCCTGCGTACCGCCGTGGACTGGGTGGAGCCTACCCTAGGATCCACAGGCCAGGTGGTCATCAGCGTCGACAGGAGCCATGTCCCAGGATCGCTCTTCTTCCTGGGCTCCACCCCGGTCACCTACACATTTCTCTCGGATACCAACCAAGTCATGTCCATGTGCACGTTCACTGTCACCGTTACCACAGGTATGGGGTTGTTGTCAGTTAGGATCTAAATGTTTGTTCGTTTGTATTATATTCACATCTGTCACAGATCTAGTCACAAGGAAATCACAAGTCCAGTCACAAGTCCAGTCACGAGTAACACGGGATGAACAATAACAAAGGAATGTCTTTGTCAAAGTTCATTTTAAAAACTTGTGAATTTACTTGGAAAGTGGATGACTTGTGATTGACTGTTGATTAAGTAAAATGTTTAAGTCACTAGTTGTGTCTAGTAGATTTGTTTAGCAGATATCTGGGTCCTGAATCGTAGTCAACATTTGCCAATTCCCCTAACAACTATTTGCTGTTGACATCAGATTCACTTTTCATTTACATTTTTTAAAGTGTGATGTTATCCGTAACCTGCTTTTCGCAGTGCCTACCTCAAATGCCGTATAAACCTTGCAGTAAGAATTCAACACCAAGATCTTTTTTATGCCTCAATTTACAAATAATTTTGCCGTCTTTGCTACGTTTCTGCAGACTCCTGCCGTTGTGAAAACGGCGGCATTTGCATTCCCGATGAAGTCAAGTCCGGTGTGATGTGCATGTGCCCAGCAGGATACTCAGGAATTCTCTGTCAAGAAAGTGAGTCCATTTGCCTCATTTTCTTCTATTCTCCCTCATTTTCAAGCATCTATGTCTGCAAGGGGGTGGGGGAGGGGGGTGGGGAAAGGCAGAGTTCGTGGGTTAGTGGGCTGTCATGAAGAGCCTCATGTGTTCAGTAAGCAGAAAATATGCTGAGCACAACAACGTCCTCTGCAAAAATCATCAAAATGAACATTTAAGTGCAGAATGGCACCATTACATTGGTCCCGGGTGTGTACATAGTCCAAAATAAAATATGTTAAGAATGCAAAATTAAACTAGAAATGTGTTTGTGGACAAACACTGAGCTGTTTCGACCGTTTTATTAATGACTGCCGTAAAGAAGTTTCATAAAAGGTCGAATGAACATGTACATGCGTATTCTGTATAGAAACGACTATGACCTAACAAACCTTTTGCAAAAAAGAATTTCGAATTAACCACGTTCCATTGATGAGATATGAGTAAAAGGTCCAAAAATTGGAATAATTCATATAAATCACATGATGACGTCATCATGACGTCACTGCAATTTTTGTCTATAACACTTCCTGGAATATCTGCATACCGACATTGAACCCAATCGGACATCAGGTTCTCTGAGGTTGATCGGACCGTATTTTATATAATTTTTGCAAAATTTGAAGAAAATAGTAAATTTGAAAAATTCATAAAAAATCAAGCGATGACGTCATGATGACGTCACTTAAGATTTTGAATGCTTTTATCTATACCTACCTACCCACCAAGTTTCATAACGATCGGACATACCCTTATATGTGAATCACAAAATCTCGTTTTTTATGACGTCATGATGACGTCACACATTTTATGAAATTTTGTGCATCTGTCTTTCACCTAACAAACATGTTACAAAAAGAATTTTGAATTTACCATGCTCCATTCATGAGATTTGAGTAAAAAGTAAAAAAAATTGCATAATTTATATAAAATCACATGATGACGTCATCGTGACGTCACTGCAATTTTTGTCTATAACACGTCCCGGAATACTTGCATACCAAGTTTGAACCCAATTGGACTTCCGGTTCTGTAGATATAGGGCCTTAAAGTATGCGCTTTTAGGATGACGTCATGTGACACGTGATGACGTCATGATGACGTCATGATTCGGCATACATCTTCAGATGGTTGTATAAGTGTGTGCCAGGTTTGAAGTCGATCGGACCGTATTTTATATAATTTTTGCAAAATTTTAAAAAAATATAAAAATTTGAAAAATTCATAAAAAATCAGATGATGACGTCATGATGACGTCACTTCAGATTTGGAATGCTGTTATCTATACCTACCTACCCACCAAGTTTCATAACGATCGGACATACCCTTATATGTAAATCAAAAAGTCACGTTTTTGATGACGTCATGATGACGTCATTCATTTTACGAAATTTTGTGCATCTATCTATGACCTAACAAACCTGTTACAAAAAGAATTTCGAATTTACCACATTCCGTTTATGAGATATGAGTAAAAGGTCCAAAAATTGAATAATTTATATAAAATCACACGATGATGTCATCATGACGTCACTGCAATTTTCGTCTATAACACGTCCCGGAATACTTGCATACCAAGTTTGAACCAAATCGGACTTCCGGTTCTGTAGATATAGGGCCTTAAAGTATGCTCTTTTAGGATGACGTCACGTGACACGAGGTGACGTCATGGTGACGTCATGATTCGGCATACATTGTCAGATGGTGGTCTAAGTGTGTGCCAGGTTTGAAGTCGATCGGATTTGAAAAAAGTCCAAAAGTGCCTTGTAGAACGAAAACACGTGTTATCCTATGGGAAAAAAAGTGGAAGAAAAAAAAAAAGAGAAAAAAAAAAATAACAAAAACAAGAGCTGTTTCGGTGTGTACACCGAAACAGCTAAAAAACCAATAATGAGATGTTGAACCCTGAGGTACCCTGTAAAACCCTGGAAAACCTTATGAAGCCTTGAGATAAACCTCCAGTTACTGCCTGTTTAAATTGATATTTTGAACTGGAGTCTTTTGTGTGGATTAAGATATTTGAAGAACCTGCCGCCACCAGGCATGCCAAGACAAGCTGCACTGAATTCCTCATCACAATGTCTTGCTTTGTACAGGTGCCTGTCAGTGCCTAAATGGCGGTATGTGCGTGCGTGAAGCCGGCAACACAGTCATGTGTACGTGCCCCAGAGGATACAGAGGTGTGCTCTGTGAACAAATGGATGGTAAGTACGCAGTCAGTCCATGTACAAGGGAATAAACCCAGCGATCGCTGTGCTTGGGCTTATGTTGCAAGTATTCTTAATTAGGCTCGTGTGTAATTTTAAAACCCAATGGGTCAAAAGAGCACCGAGTACATGCGTACAACCTGCATGCATGTGTGGTGCCACCAGTTTAGTTTTGATCACATAGACTGCAGGTATGTATGCCCGTACTCAAGGAAAGCTGGAGTATGTTGTTTAAATTCTTACAATTCTTTCTGGTAATTGTAGATACAAGAGACCGCAAAACACTGACTTTAATCACTACCCCAAAGAGTTATTTCAAGAAACTTCTCTTTTTCACCTATTAAATACAGATCAGTGCGATTGTGAGAACGGCGGAACCTGTGTCCACGACGCCACTGTACCCGGTGGCACAATGTGTATATGCCCTGCAGGATTCGGTGGGATTCTCTGCAATGAGTGTAAGTTGAGTGTCTTTTTATCTGTCGGGCCTTTGTAAATATTCTGTGAGAGATTAAAATCCCATGGAAGCTGACAAACCAACCACTGTGCAGAAACCTAATGCCATAGTCCTCGTTCTGTTTTTCTTATGAATTCCTTCATTTTTCCCCACTCGGCAATTCTTATAGCAACTTCTGTTGACACTGTACCCCCGACGGTAACCTTCTGCCCAGAGAGCTTCAACCTCAACCCTAACTCCAGTGATCCCATCGCAGCCACCTGGCCACAACCCCGGGCAGAGGACGATTCTGGTCTAGCGCCCTCTGTTGACCAGAATGTACCAGTGGGAACTCTGATGAACCCGGGCGACGTTCTTGACGTTGTTTACAAGTTCACTGATGCTGCTGGCAATTCAGCATTCTGCAACTTCACAATTACTTTTAAGGGTGAGTAAAACACGGTCTTCGCCTTACTATAACTTCCCTGTAAACTGGAATTCCACATCTGGGTCATTCTATTAACTGTGCATCCACTTCATTTCTGTCCCTGTCACATCTAATATCTAGGACTTTAGGATTCTGGATTTAATCCTTTATGCAGTCATCCTGCAATAATGATAATGAATAGCAAAACCCCTACTCAACAAATCCAAATCCTTTAAAGATTAGAAAGCACTCAGAGAACGCAAGCCTCCGCCAAGGCTAAACAATTCCCCGCCATATTGTCAGTTTGCTCAAAAGAAATACTCGCATAAATGGTGAAGAAACCTTTAAAAAACATCCTGGATCAAGACCCAGATCTGGATCACTTCTAAAATCTAATCGATTTGTACTTGTACCAAGGACCACCCTAAAAACATTTTCATGCAAATCCGTCCGCAACTTTTTGAGTTGTCTTGTTAGCAGACAAACCAACCAACCAACCAACAAACTAACCAAAATTTGATGAAAACATAACCTTCTTGGCGGAGGTAATAGAAATTGATTTGCAAATATAAAAACAAAGTTCAGAGGTATCAGGGATGGAAAAATGTCACTGTGGAGTCAAAATTGATAGAATAACCCAACTGCATCTGGCATCTTTGGCACTAATAGTAGCATTATGTATTCTGCTTCTACTCTTTTTCTGGCTGGGCCCTTTTTTTTTAGCATAAAAGCCAGGAATGTGCAGGGGAGGGGGGAACAGTTACATGTAGATGAATTTCACGCACTGTACCCTTACCCCTAGTTGTTCCTCAGGGCCCTGCTAAATCTAACAGAGTTCAACCGGAGTTTCCTGCTCAATCCACTGTGCCTCATTTTCAGTTGTCTGCTGAATCCAATGGAGTCCAACAATGCGTTATAATGCGGTTCAGTTGCCTGCTGAATCCAACATTTTGCATCAGAAATATGTGCACAAGGGGTTTACTGCTCAATCCAACAGGCTCCATCGGGTATATGACATAGTTGGATCCTGTTGGATTCAGCAGGGCTAAGGTTCATTATAAGCTTGGTGATTTGACAATTGAGTCTGCTAATGTATTCCACTCCTGGCTGGTACGAGGAAGGTATAAGAACTTGTACAAGTTTCCTTTTTTCTCCAATGATACAAAATGTAGATCGATGCGATTGTGAGAACGGCGGGACCTGTGTCCACGACACCATTGTACCCGGTGGCACAAGGTGTATATGCCCTGCAGGATTTGCTGGAATTCTCTGCAGTGAGTGTAAGTTGAGTGTCTTTTTATCTTTGTAAATATTCTGTGAGAGATTAAACTCCCATGGAAGCTGACAAACCAACCACTGTGCAGAATTCTGATGCCACAATCCTTGTTCTGTTTTTCTAATAAATTTCCTCATCTTTCCCCACTCTGCAATTCTTATAGCAACTTCTGTCGACACCGTACCACCGACGGTAACCTTCTGCCCAGAGAGCTTCAACCTCAACCCCATCTCCAATGATCCCATCGCAGCCACCTGGCCCCAACCCCGAGCAGAGGATGACTCTGGTCTAGCGCCCTCTGTTGACCTGAATGTACTAATGGGAACTCTGGTGAACCTGGGTGATGTTCTTGACATTGTTTACAAGTTTACTGATGCTGCCGGTAACGTAGCATTCTGCAACTTCACAATCACTGCTGTGGGTGAGTATGAACTTGCTGCATCCATTGTAAAAATCTTTGACTTTGATTTTTCCAATAATCTTTTCTTTTTTATAATTGCATGTTTTAGCTTCTTCACCAGCAAAACTGTGTTATTTTCAATTTAAATAACCCTAGCAGTCTTGAATCCTCCAATTTTGATACGATTTTGCACACCCCTAGGGTGTTAGGGTCGTGAATTCAGGGCTGCAGTATTACATGAAAGTGAGCATCTGGTATCACTTCATTTGCTTGGGCTGCCAGAATAACTGGTGATGAGCCAATACATTCAAGCTGTCAATGTCTTACAGCAGTTTGTGCAATAAGGTATCCATCCCCAGAGATTAAGATTTATGCATGATTCAATTTCCTCTGAATTCAAAAAACCTGTTTTGTCTTTTTGGTCAGAGCTAGCCATATGGCAGTAATTCTTTCAAGAGTTCTGCCTTAATCCCTCTTTTTTAACATTGAGGGGATACGTGTGTACAGATGCCAATGTTTGATGGCAAGGCTTTTTGTCTTTCTCTCTTTGTGTCATTCATCTATCATTTGTCTCTTTCTAACAGCTGATGTCGATACTGTACCACCGACGGTAACCTTCTGCCCAGAGAGCTTCAACGTCAGCCTCACATCCAGTGAGCCCATTGCAGCCACCTGGCCCCAACCCGAGGCAGAGGATGACTCTGGTCTAGCGCCCACTGTTGACCAGAACATAGCAATGGGAACTCTGATGAGCCTGGGTGATGTTCTTGACGTTGTTTACAAGTTTTCTGATGCTGCCGGTAATGCGGCGTTCTGCAACTTCACAGTCACGGTTGTTGGTAAGTAAAAAGTGGCATACACATACTAAAAAATGATCTGAATTTATTGACCCGGTTACTCATTGATTACTGTAATGTACTTATTTGTTAACAACAGGAAGGGTCGATACCATACCACCAACAGTAACCTTCTGCCCAGAGAGCTTCAACCTCAGCCTCACATCCAGTGAGCCCATTGCAGCCACCTGGACCCAACCTGAGGCAGAGGACGACTCTGGTCTAGCGCCCTCTGTTGACCAGAATGTACCGATGGGAACTCTGATGAACCTTGGTGATGTTCTTGATGTTGTTTACAAGTTTACTGATGCTGCCGGTAATGTTGCATTCTGCAACTTCACAATCACTGCTGTGGGTAAGTAAAAAATAGCATACACATACTAAAAAATGATCTGAATTTGTTTACTCTGTTACCCTCTGATTACTGTAATGTAATTATTTGTCAATAACAGGAAGGGTTGATACCGCACCACCGACGATAACCTTCTGCCCAGAGAGCTTCAACCTCAGCCTCACATCCAGCGAGCCCATTGCGGCCACCTGGCCCCAACCCGAGGCAGAAGATGACTCTGGTCTAGCGCCCTCTGTTGACCAGAACGTACCAATGGGAACTCTGATGAGCCTTGGTGATGTTCTCAACGTTGTTTACAATTTTACCGATGCTGCCGGTAATGTAGCATTCTGCAACTTCACAATCACTGCTGTGGGTGAGTAAAGACTGTTGTTACACCTCGCATATTTATGAGCCAAACAAGCTTCCGTCATTGGTCAATTTTCAATGCATGCTTGATGAACATACATTCACCCATCTGGGGCCAATTTCATGGAGGTGCTAAGCACAAAAATTTGCTTAGCACAAAAATGTCCTGCTCAGTAAAAACAGTTACTAGCCAAAAGTCCCTATGATTTTCACACAAAAGTGAACAACAGCTTAGTACCAGTCACAAGCAATATAAAACACATACACATTTGGTTGGTAACCCTGTTCTTATCCAGGAGGAATGTTCATGCTAAGCACATTTTTGTGCTTAGCAGCTCCATGAAATTGGCCCCTGGTCATTAACCCTAACCTCACCTAAAGCTACAAAATACTACTAAGTAGTAACCTGTAGTATGCATTTCTTTCCCTACAAGTGTGTACAATTTATAACACATGTAGTATTCTGTGGTTTTTGGTCCTTGACCCCCAAAGAGCCCTCAGGACGTTAGGGTTAAAACCTTCATGGCAGACAAATGGTTATATGCAATCTGTCTGAGGGATTTCCAACATAATTTTTTCCACTTATAATTTGAAATTGCATACGTATCAGCAGGTTTAATTCTGGGGAAAAAGTGCAAAATTACTGGGCCCTCAGTGTCAGCTTATTTTGACTTTCTGTGTTTAACGTTAAGCACAACCACAACAGAAAAAAACACTGCTCTTTTCGTTCTGCGTAAACGAAGTTAAAAATCGGCTTTTGTTCTTTCTTTTCCTTTTGCAGATGATATTCCTCCAACGATCCGGTTCTGCCCTTCAAACATTGAGAACCTGGCACCCAACCCCACCGCCATGATCTTTGTCACCTGGGCCATGCCACAGGTCTCCGACAACTTGGGCGGACCGCTCAGAGTCCTGGCCAGCTCCCTGCCGGGCATCTTTGTGATGGCTGGCAGTGCACAGACTGTGACCTACGTCTTCACTGACGAGTCTGGGAACGAGGCCAGGTGTATGTTTAATATCGTCATCACCGGTAAGAAATGGACCACGTGGCTTGTTGCTATTAAAGTAGTGTTGGGATTACCTCAATTTAAACGATACATTTTGATGTTGCGAAGATGACACTACAAGGTACAACATTTTCCTGTTAGCGTCGTGATTGATTGAAAAATGTTACGGGTCAATTGGCGTAAAGCTTGGGCAACTTCAAATTTTGTTTGGAATCGGTTCTGATTTTTGGCTAAGAATCTGCTCGGAAGACGCTACAATTCTCGGAGGGAAAAAAAATGTGAAAAACTCAATGTAATCTACTATTAACTGTGGTTGGGAATTGTTAATAAGAGTCAACAAGAGATGTAATCACGCTCTTAATCTTGATCATTTCCTTCCCAAATCACAGAAACAGATCAGGTAGTTGTTGGTTATGGCAAAGCTCCTTGATCTTGTGTTGGAGTTGGGTAATCTTCAGAATTGTTGGGCTTGCTGGGTATTGTCTAGTCTATTTAGACCATAATATTTGAACAGATTCGCTGATTAATTATGCAAGACAACCGCATCTTGACCTCTAGATTTTGACCAATCAGCAGGCGCTTTCTATATCGGGTCTTCGGTCATTCTCCCATTGTCACTTTATAGACATTGATAAAAAAACATAGACACAGCAACAAAGGCTGTGTCACGCGCTCTGTATTATGTTATGCGATACACGCCTGGCTGTTGTATTACAAAACACTGCATTCGAATTGACCAATCAAACATTTAGTCCTGATTTGGGAATGAAATGACGTCACATTTTGTAAAGTTGACTCCAATTGACTGAGGCACAGGATCGCATAAATATGCATGCTTTGATATATCAGATGTTAGACAGAAGACTGGGCTCTGTGGATGATACTCCGACTAGGTATTGTTTCTCAGTAAACTAAAATCTGTGACGGCAGATATTCATGATTTCAATTCAGAGTCTGAATTGATTCTGCTAAGACTTATTGACATAGCTGAATAGCACGATGTGTAACTGCAAAAATCTGAAAGTTCCTATGCCCTTTATAGATTTGAGGTTTAAGCATGTGAATGCTGTGAATAGTAACAACCACAGTATGTCTGTTCAGAGCCAATATGAATCATCAGGCCGGGGTCTATCTCCGGCTCTGTAGCATGAAATGACTGAGAAAATATCTATTCCCCACGAATGGGATGCCAGTCCATGGCAGGTTGCCGCTTAGGCCGTGTCTGAAATGGGCTTCCAGAGCTATGGCTACGTCCTTTGTCAGCGAGTCCCCGCATAATTTCAATGGGCGCAGACCTAGACCTAGCTCTAGACAGCTGATTTGGATACAGCCTTATGCTCCTTGTTTGAGAGATTCAAGTTGGGTAGCTTGCCCAAGGACACAACATATGGTCAGCAGCATGATTCCAAGACCTGACCCTCTAATCTCGAATTAGAAACCCTTCTATCACTTTGCTCTTGTGCCTCTAGTTTAATTAAAACACATTTTCTTATATCTTTGCATCAAACTGCCTTTGCTTTTCAGTTCTGGAATCGCCAAAATCTGTCAGCCTGATAGACGTCACAACCACCTCTGCCATGTTATCTGTGGTTCCTCCTAATGCCACCTTCGACAGCTACGTCGTGAAAGTACAGGACCAAGAACTGACCTTCCCTGCCACCGAAAGCATTCTGCCATTGTCCGATCTCATGCCGGGTACCAACTATCAGGTGTTAGTGAGTACTGCTATCTCCTATGGCACGAGTAATCAGGTTATCAGTGAACCGTTCAACTTGGAATTCACTACAGGTAGAACGTTTTTATTAATTTGATTATTGAGTTAATACAAATATATTGATGAAACTATTTTTGGGATTGTGGTAATAAGTTTTAATTTAAACTGTGTGAAGGGTACTTTGGGAAAACGAAAAATTACATGAAAATTGGAGGATTCAGGCGAAGCCACCTCCTCCTGCTTATCATTGATGATATATATTACTGCTGATAATTCATGAACATATTAAAAAAATTATTAAAATCTGCAAGCCTCTATAACTGTAATTATTATCATCAAATGATTTTGTTTGTTTGATAGTTGCCCTTGACATGACGCTCCCTGTGATATCTGGCTGTCCGTCCGACATCACACTGCCCGCCGGTCAGAATGTAGCCAACTGGACAGAGCCTACGGCCGTAGATAACTCTGGCTTAGTTCCAGCGGTCATCAAATCCCATGAACCAGGAGCTGTGTTTGCTGATGAATCAACTAATGTCAGCTACACATTCACTGATGCAGCGGGCAATACGGCCAAGTGTGTCTTCACTGTCACGCGGATACTTGGTAGGCTTCAGTATTTGCTGAGATTATTTTTTAGTTGAGTAGGAATTAATCTTCAATATTTTCTTGTTTTCTAGTAATCCGAAAGTAATGGAATACTTACTTTCTGAATCAATTGTGGGGAAAAATAATTCAGCTTTCGCAAGGAAGAATACCTTGACAAGTCTGTGAAGGTTGCACTGTATTGTCAATTTCTTCTGTTTCCCAATGTACTCTTCATTTGCTTTGAAATTCACTACTTCTTGCTTTTTTTATTTTCAGTTTTGGAGCCACCGATGTCCGTCAGCCTCATTAATGTCACAACCACCTATGCCTTACTTTCCTTGGCTCCACCAAACGTCAACTTTGACCTCTATATCGTCAATGTACAAAGCCCAACATTAGGCACTGATGTTAACATCCCTGCAACGGAAAGCACTGTAGAGATACCTGGCCTCATGCCGGGTACCAACTACACGGTGTCGGTGTCCACTGCTGTTGCTTATGGCACGGATAATGAGGTGATCAGTGAACCTATCAGTTTGGATTTCATCACAGGTATGTATACATATATGGGTCATTCTGTAAATTTGGTGTCTACTTTTTCCCTGTCGCTGTTACATCTGACATCTGTGATTTTATATTTCTGATCCACGCCTTAATGCAGTCATCCTCCAAGGGTGAATAGCAAACTACCTACACAACAAATAAAAATAATTTGAAGTAATTCTTAAAGATATAGTCCATCATTTGTAATTTGTGCATTTTGTTCGTTTGAAGCAACGAAAGTGCTCAAGATCTAAAGAAGGGTGCTGAACAACTAATCTGATGAAGTTTCAGCTCAGCTTTAGCTGTATATTTCGAGAAAAACAACATTCTAGGATCTCGATTTCAAATCAGACGTTGCTGAATCATGTTTTGAATTGGGCCTGAATTCAGCGTCTGAGACACGTTCTCACTGAGCCGATTGCTGCTACGCGATGTCACGCGCTGATCCGACGAATTATAGCAACCGCGTGCGCGTGTGCGTCATGCCAATGCTTGCGTGTGCTTCACGGAATAACAAAACAAACTCCTAATTTGAATTTCCTTCGGTGCTTCTTAAGAAGTACCATTTGAAAGGCCTTCTTTTGTTGATTTCTTCAAAATGACAGCTTGCCAGAAAGAATAATTTCACAGGGAGTTTAGTCCCCTTACTATTTTTCAACCAAGTATGTTTTTCAACAATAATTACGCCGGTTACTTTTTGGATAGCTGCAAATGATGACTCTGGCTTTAATGATGCTTGAATGGCAAATTACAAAGTGTCAAGGTAACAGGGACAGGAAAAATGGCACACTTTGGGCCCTAAATTTATAGAATGACATATGCTTAATAACATGTCAATGTCCTTCAAGGTGTTAAGCTTTTGCAGTTGAACTTCTTATTAATTCCGTTGTTGGCTATTTGAATTCTGTTTTGTTTCTAAAAACGGTCAGTTGATATGTTGGTACGGGTAATAAATACTTAAAATGTATATTTATGTATTTTATTTACATTTTTTTTGTGGGGGGGGGTGGTTTTTGTCTATTAAACAGAAAAGTAGCTGTTTAGAAATTTTTTTTTTTCCCATACCAACTATAGATGTACAATAGAAAAAGTGATGATTTTCATTTTTGTCGAATGAAATTTCTGTTTTGTTGTAGTCTTACCTGACACGACGGTCCCTGTGATATCTGGCTGTCCGTCCGACATCACACTGCCCGCCGGTCAGAATGTAGCCAACTGGACAGAGCCTACGGCCGTAGATAACTCTGGCTTAGTTCCAGCGGTCATCAAATCCCATGAACCTGGAGCTGTGTTTGCTGATGAATCAACTAATGTCAGCTACACATTCACTGATGCAGCGGGCAATATGGCTAAGTGTGTCTTCATTGTCAAGCGAATATTGGGTGAGTGTTTATATCTCATTGTAGTAGGCTGAGTAGGAAAAGTGGAACATCAGAGCACATTGGAAATAATTCCACATATTGCTTTCCAAAGGGAATACATCACCAAATCATTACCTTGAGGAAGTACCTTTCCAAAGGACCACATCTATTGTTCCGCAGTGTATCATTCCACAAACACAAACTTTACTTTCACTTTATTTTTACTCCTTTAAAATCAGATCCATCACAGACAAATATAAACATAAGTAGCAAAAAAGCACCCCAAAATTATAAAAAGTAAACTTAGTCCTTGCTTCCTCTTGCAAAATTTAGTAAACTTTGCAACATCTACAAACAAATGTTGACATTTTCCCCAAGATGTTATGGGAAACAATAGCCTGTCCTCGGTATCCTCTTGGTGATACACCGTATGGAGAATTTGTGCTATGGACTCCGTGGACAAGTTCCTCCCTCAGTCTTAGTAGGAAATTGAGTACAATGACGCGGTATGTCTTTCACTCATGAGAAGACGGTAGTGCTTCATGCACCTTAAAAATATAATTAATTCAGGGGCGAGATTTGTCAGGATTTTTGCTGATTTCAGGATTTTAACAAAATCCCTGTTGAAATGCTGATTTTGTTAGATTTTACCATTAAGGTCTCTTTACCTACATGTGAAGAGCTTATTTGCACAAGTGCTTACATCCATTTTTTCCCCCAAAATAAGCTTGAACCTGCAATGGTTAGTGTTGGACAAGGGCTATCAGGTAAAATACTCAATCGGTCCCAAAAGGGTTTTCAATCCACAGTTAAATCCTACTGAAAATGGCATTTGCTACGCAAAAGGATATAAATCCTAGATAGCTTTGTGCATTTTTCTCTGAATTCTTTAAATGGGTTGTAAGCCCTGTTGCAAAAACGTTCTTCATATATAAAGTTAAATGTAGGGCAAGAGAAATGGGTATTTTCACGGGTGCCATTTGGCAAATACATATACACCATAGACCTTGCGTTGCTCTGGGGCTCTTGGCAACCCTCAAACCCTCGTCCGATTATTTCTTGGATTTGTCCTTTCCTTCCATGATCTCTTTTTTTTTCTTGGTATTTTGATATTTAAAAATAAGTATTTCTTGCTTTTGTTCGTTTCAGTTTTGGAGCCACCGATGTCCGTCAGCCTCATCAATGTCACAACCACCTCTGCCTTACTTTCCTTGGCTCCACCTAACGTCAACTTTGACCTCTATATCGTCAATGCACAAAGTCCAACATCAGGCACTGATGTTAACATCCCTGCAACGGAAAACACTGTAGAGTTACTTGGCCTCATGCCGGGTACCAACTACACGGTGTCGGTGTCCACTGCAGTTGCTTATGGCACGGATAATGAGGTGATCAGTGAACCTGTCAGCTTGGATTTCACTACAGGTATGTGTTACATGTTTTTTGTTGTTGTCGTGTACATCGATTTATATGTTCGATATGGGATCCATGCGTGAACAAGAGAGGGGGCTTGTTTACCATATTGAAGAGCCCCCCCCCCCCCACGTGGTATGCATAACTAATTTGATTCTGAATGCACACAAAGCCATAGCGTCTTCGCATGAGCGTCAGGCGCCATCGACAATGCGTTCCAATGTCTCTCCCAGAGGTCTTCCCCAACTCTCCCTTCCTTGCCGTTGAGGGGGTAGTTGTGCACGGAGCCCATAGCAATTTTTCCTTAAAGCGATTTTCGGTGACCGACCCTCAAAGTTTCGAAGATATTCTCTGTTTTCATGTGTTTTCTCTTCTGATCAGTGAAAAAATAATGCCAGCATGCCTCTCATGAAAACCCAAAATGGGTTTTCATCTAATTTCATCCACTGAATTAAAGGCAAATTCCTTGCTCAAAGTGAAGATGGGAATGGTACTGTAGCGCGCCCGTTTAAGTTTAAGACTGCACCTTTAACGCATCTTGTACATAGGTGTTGGTTCAAAGGTCAGCCCCTGTGCATTCATTCTTTTCATGTCATTCATTGTCGTTCGTTCCAGAGTTTTCTGTTGCACACACAGTTTTTACAGTGCATTTTGTACACTTACGCTTAGAAGTTACAATCTAGAATCAACACTATTATTATGTTTAGTAAACATCGGCAAGGCGATTCCTGTGATCAATTCCAGTTATTTTCGTGGACTTTAATGTTTATTGACTGAACTCTTGTTGTACGTAATCGTTGTGAATCACCACGTGAGATCGAACCAACTCGCCCTGTATTCATGGCGCGATCGTTTTGCCCCATTCCTTTTTGGCAGTTTGTAAAACTCTGACACCTGGCGAGTCGTTTAACTTGACAATTAACTCGGAGTTAAGTAGAACGCATAATCTTAATCTACATTACAATGTAAAATTATCCTGCCTGAAATGGTATCATTTGGAAGGAAACAATAATTGAAGGGGATTTAAAGGGAAAATACAACATTTGCAAACATCAAAAAATAAAACTACCAAATCATTTTGAAATACCTTGCTGGACTGTTAGTGAATGACAGTGTAAAGCATCCTGTAAAATCGTGGCACCTGGTATACTGTCATTTTCAAGAAAAGTGGTATTTTTGTATCGATTTCCAACGCTGATCGGCCGATCAGCGTTGGAAAAAAAACTGGCCTTTTTTCAAATACTGGCCCCAGTTGACCATCGCACTTGTTTGCAATCGAATACACACCTATGAACGGGTACAAGCCAGCTAGACTGGTTCCCTGACCTTACAATTCCCCAATGTATGTAAACTGCTCTGTTTCTTCTTAAATGGATTCAGGGAACCAGACTACAGGAAAATGATTGTTTTTCTTGGTTTTTATAGCATTTTCGAACCCAAATCCTCAAAAAAGTCAGTGTAACTATATTTGCTATATATTTCCAACCCCCCAATTCCATCCATTTCTGAAAATTACAGCAAAAGCAAATGATGTATATTCCCTTTAAGAAAGTGTGCCAGAGGACACATTTTTTTATTTTAATATGCGTAGGGCTGTGGAACCTCAGAAATTGTGCATACATTTTCTCTGTTTTCTCAAAATGTGTAGTATCCACTGAACATAAACTTTTAACGGATTTATATTTTTAGATCATCTCAAATGATGTTTTAATGTCTTTTCAAATAGTGATGTTGCTGAAATTTATAATTCATAATCTTTGCTTTGTTGTAGTTGCACTTGACATGACACCCCCTGTAATATCTGGTTGCCCGTCCGACATCACACTGCCCGCCGGTCAGAATGTGGCCAACTGGACAGAGCCTACGGCCGTAGATAACTCTGGCTTAGTTCCAGCGGTCAACAAATCCCATGAACCAGGAGCTGTGTTTGCTGATGAATCAACTAATGTCAGCTACACATTCAGTGATGCAGCGGGCAATATGGCCAAGTGCGTCTTCACTGTCAAGCGAATATTGGGTGAGTATTGTCAAATTGTTATTCAATTCTAAAAAAACATTTTCTTACTAAAGACGCCATGTCCAATAGAATAATTTTGAAGAATGTTGGGTACCGATCCTAAAGTTTTGTCAACATTTTTGTTTGTCGTTTTTCGATTAAACACATTTGCTTTGTCTATAATTGCAGTTCTGGAACCACCGGCATCCATCAGCCTTGTCAACCTCACGTCCACGTTTGCAATGTTTTCCCTCGTACCTCCAAATGTCACCTTTGATACCTATGTTGCAACCGTCCGAGGCAAAGACCTGACTGTCGAGGTGACCTTCCCTGCGACCGAAGGCATTCTACCATTGCCCAATCTTATGCCGGGTACCAACTACACAATGTCGATTTCTACTGCAGTGGCTTTTGGCATGGATAATGAAGTTGTTAGTGAACCAGTCATCTTTGAATTTTCGACAGGTAAATATGCAGGCAACATGTTATATCTCAGGAAAAATAAAAAATCTGTATTAAAAATAGAGATTAAAAATAGAGATTTCTTAAAAGCCAGCATTAAAATCAGCCTTTGCTGTCGCAGGCAAGGTTTGCTAAAGTAATCCTGAACAACAAAATTCAAAATTATTTTGGGTTGTTTCAGATCCTGTCCCTGTGATCAAGAACTGCCCGTCAGACGTGACCCTGAACGTCACCCACCCTAGCGGTGTGGCCTATGGCTTCTGGATAGAACCCACCGCGGTGAGCGGCAGCGAGGCGGTACCCGTCCACCATCGCACACACCGGCCGGGGTCCAGCTTTGGTCAAGGAACGACCAACGTGACTTACGTATTCCAAGACAGCAAGGGATATGAGGCCCAGTGCTCATTCATGGTGACTGTCATGGTGGTTATGCAAGGTACTTCTTGGTGTCCCTGAATATCTTGCACATGGTGGCATTTTGCATAAATTTTGACATGGGGTTTTGCTCTTCACCGACGTGATTTCACAATCCACTTTTATACTTAGGTGACAGTAATGTCCAAGAACCCTCTAGATTGTTTTTTTTTGGACAAGTAAGATTTGAGGCTTTGCATGGTGGAGATACTAAATAATGAAAGGTTTGCGGAAACACCATGTGCGAATAATTTCTCAACTAAGAGAATGGTTCTGAAAAGAACCAGAGGTATAAATTTGATGTTCCGGTCAGTAATACGCCCTGACCGTCTTCACTCTCCTGAAGACGGTCAGAGCATACTGACCGGAACGTCAAGTTTATACCTCTGGTTCTTTTCAGAACCATTCTCTTAGTTGAGAAATTATTTGCACATGGTGTTTCCGCTTACCCTTCATTTTGTTTTGGCAACCTCTCAGACAGTACTTTGTATACAGTACTTAGAAACATTTCAGTAGTAAAAGGCATAACCCTATGTTAAAATTTGTCCCCTAAATGCTTACGTTTTAATTTCATTGTTTGCTATTTGCAACTTATTAAGTGTGTATTCAAGTTCACCCTTATATCAAGTTTGAACCAGTTTTATTTCTGCATAGTTAAGAGTATGGACTCCGTGGATAGCACTTTTTTTAACCACTTTCCAAAGTCCCCGTGGGGACACGCTGCAAGTGTGCGCTTTTTGGTTAGCACACGTAATGTGCAAAGTTTGCACCACTAATTGTATTTACTGAGTGAGCACAGACCTTTAGTACCATGAGCATCAACCGCTGACGGTAATGCTTTCCATGTCCATTCCAGTGTCCCCTACTCTCTCTTTATAACCATTGAGGGGTGCTTGTTCACCAAGTCCATACTTACTTTATTTTGACTTTAAGAGCTCAAACTTTACTTAGTAAATTTCTCATCATGATTCTCGTGAATCCTGTCAGGAAGTCAGTTTGTATGGATGCTGTTAACATGGTCTTGTGTTTCTTCTAATAGCCATGCCCGTACCGCCGGACTCCATCAACGTTGCCGACGTGACGCCAATATCTGCCCTGGTGACCTGGACGGGACCTAGTACGACCTTTGACTCGTTCCTAGTGACCGTCCTCGGCCCCTCGTCCACAGACACAGCAACCCTGGACCCTTCCGAAACCTCCCTGGCCCTGTTTGGGTTGACACCCGGCACCAACTACACGGTCAAAATATCCACGGTGATCGGCAGCAACGTAGACTCACAGGTGATCAGCGAAGCAATATTGACGTCTTTCAAAACAGGTAAGAAGTGTGGAAATTGACTTGTGATTTGAAACAGCGTAAGTTTCTGAGCAGGAGTAAAACCAATTGACAACACAAACGTGTTCTTATCATTTAACCAGTTGCCGTAGACATGACTCTGCCGGTGATATCTGGCTGTCCGTCCGACATCACACTGCCCGCCGGTCAGAATGTAGCCAACTGGACAGAGCCTACGGCCGTAGATAACTCTGGCTTAGTTCCAGCGGTCATCAAAACCCATGAACCTGGAGCTGTGTTTGCTGATGAATCGACTAATGTCAGCTACACATTCACTGATGTAGCAGGCAATATGGCCAAGTGTGTCTTCACTGTCAAGCGAATATTGGGTGAGTATTTCCCCAATTATTGTAAATTGCATCGTCTGAATATCAGACAATCGCTGGAGCTTTTGCTTTACAAATACCTGATATATGTGGATGCTTATTTAACGCAACCCTGCACACTAGCTATTGAGAGCCTTTGTAATCAGGATGATGTGGTCTTGTTGACAATGACACTTAACTGTTGATTGGTCCATAGCTGTCAGCTGACCACTATAGTTTTGTCAATACTGATGATAATATTTTCTTCAATTAAAAAAAAAAACAGCTTCAATTCTTTTTGAGCTGATTTGGGCATAGAAGACCGTATCAATTTTTGTTGTTAAGAAGGTGAAGAGTTTTAATTCTGCAAGGAAAAAATAAAAAAATAAACCTGGTTTTGAAATGCCTTACTCAAATACATGATCGGCCTACCTCAGACACCAGTAGTAGACACCTGTTGATTGGTCACAGTAATTGACGTCAACAGGTGCCGTCATGCATAACTACTCATCCGATCTCCATGCATGTTAGTAGACACTCCAATGGATTGCCAATCTAGACCAATCCAAGCACCCTATCGTACACTCATGAAGGCCCCCTTCAATGGCTAATGCATTGTGCTAGCTATTGTTCAGAAAATCCATTACGGGGGAGTTTCTTTTGTACAATAGCTAGCACAATGCTTCACCATTAATGGGGGCCACTGTGAAAGTACTTTTATATCGTGCTCAGAATAGTCTATAGACTAACAAATTTAAATGCATAAAGGAACATCAAAATGTCATGACAATCATCCCTAGTTGCTGTCAATCCTTTATCTCAGATTCTTTGTTTCTTGCCTATTTTTTTCAGTTTTGGAGCCACCGATGTCCGTCAGCCTCATCAATGTCACAACCACCTATGCCTTACTTTCCCTGGCTCCACCTAACGTCAACTTTGACCTCTACATTGTCCATGCACAAAGTCAAGCGTTAGCCATTGATGTTAACATCCCTGCAACGGAAAGCACTATCAAATTACTTGGCCTCATGCCGGGTACCAACTACACGGTGTCGGTGTCCACTGCTGTTGCTTATGGCACGGATAATGAGGTGATCAGTGAACCTGTCAGCTTGGACTTCACAACAGGTATTTTTATCAACAAATCGACATGTTTATAGTTGTTGATTTTTTCTGGTCCCAGAGGGCTGGCCTAGTTTCCTATTTCTACCAATCTCACTGACCAACTGACTTACCCACTGACGCTCTGACTTACCCACTTACTCGCTGGCTGTCACTTGTGAGTCGGGCAGTGCTGTCATATAGGACAACCCTGAAATCCAATGAATGGGCTAAATGGCCCCTCCTGTAGACATGCATAAAAATTACTTCAAGGGAGTAGCCGTGTTGAATCAATTGAATAGAATTTTCAAATACTTCTTGACTGGGACAGAATTAGGATCGTTGTGGTTGAAAGTTTTTTGTGTGGATTTCAGTAGAAAGAAAGGATTTCAATATTCAAAACTGTGTTTTTAAGAGCTCAGTCTTTCAATGAAATTTTAAGTTCGGTGAATCAACTTGTACAAATTTCAGTAGATTTTCCTCAATTGACAACAAAAGAGCAGTCCAAGGTATGACCAAACAACTTATTTAAAGGAATTCTTATGCAAAGGACGACAAAACAAACTTGACGGTCTTTTTCTGTTGCAATAAAAAGTATGACATTGCAGGAGCTATATTTTGTTTTTAATTTGACAAACATGTATGATGCTAAAATTCCAACACAAAACCAGTCCACGTAATGCCTTGGTTTTACACTTTTTTTTATAGTTTCCCTGGACATGACACCCCCTGTGATATCTGGCTGTCCGTCCGACATCACACTGCCTGCCGGTCAGAATGTAGCCAACTGGACAGAGCCTACGGCCGTAGATAACTCTGGCTTAGTTCCAGCGGTCATCAAATCCCATGAACCTGGAGCTGTGTTTGCTGATGAATCAACTAATGTCAGCTACACATTCACTGATGCAGCGGGCAATGTGGCCAAGTGTGTCTTCACTGTCACGCGGATATTAGGTGAGTGTTTGTGTTTAAGTTGTTTATTGTATTTTGATTCAATGTTGCTGAGGAAACCATACCAAATCCATTTTTCAGTTGATAACTGCCAGTCAGCCCTTTTTGCAGCAGAAAATATTTTGAACTTAAGTAAGATTTGAGGCTTTGCATGGTGGAGATACTAATGAATGCAAGGTTTGCGAAAACACCATGTGCGAATAATTTCTCAACTAAGAGTATGGTTCTGAAAAGAACCAGAGGTATAAACTCGACGTTCCGGTCAGTATGCTCTGACCGTCTTCAGGAGAGTGCCTAAACTCTAAGAAAGTGAACACTTAAATAGCACAAGCAAAATTGATGAAGTGTGAAGTTGCATCCTGTGTGGATGCCAAGTAATTTTGTACTTGGCAAAGTCTTTTCTTTTGGATGATTTTGACATGAGTAGGATATTTTCTTACAGCTCTCTTTAAACTCATCCATTTTTGCACTGACAAAAGCACAGAAGACCCACAGATTACGACGTTGAAACAGTGAATACAGTTGAAACGTTGAATGCAGTGAAAATGTTTGAAAAACAGTGTAAAATTTGGTCAATAATTATCAAAATTAGCAAACACCAGCCCTACTCAAGATAACCGATGTTTTCCTCCATCATGTCATCTGCCTACCAAATGCGCTGATTAAAGATGCATGCTTATGGGCTCTGTGCACAAGTACCCCCTCAACGGTAAGAAAAGGGAGAGTTGGGGGAGACCACTCGGAGAGACATTCGAATGCGCATTGCCGACGACACCTGACGCTCATGTGAAGGCACTATGGCTTTGTGCACATTCAGAATAAATAAATGCTTGTCCCCGTCTATGTGCACACAAACCATTATAATCACGCAGTGTGTCCGTCCACTGGGCTCTCGAAAGTGGTTAAAAAAGCGCCCTCTCTTGTTGGCACAGGGAGCCCATTGGTCACAATCTTGAGGTCAAGAGCTGTTTTCGTTGCATAATTAATCCTCAGATCTGCATACAAAGTTATAGACATTCAAAAGGATTGTGACTGCCTTTTCTATAAACTGAAGCTATTGGAATAACAAAACTTCACAATATAATCACTTGTAATAATATTTTGTCACAAAATGTAACTTGCTTTCTCTGAATTTGTTCTGAAAATATCTGGGTTTTTTTGTGTGTTTCAGTTTTGGAGCCACCGATGTCCGTCAGCCTCATCAATGTCACGACCACCTCTGCCTTACTTTCCTTGGCTCCACCTAACGTCAACTTTGACCTCTACATTGTCCATGCACAAAGTCCAACATTAGGCATTGATGTTAACATCCCTGCAACAGAAAGCACTGTCGAGTTACCTGGCCTCATGCCGGATACCAACTACACGGTGTCGGTGTCCACTGCTGTTGCTTATGGCACGGATAATGAGGTGATCAGTGACCCCGTCAGCTTGGATTTCACCACAGGTAAAATTATCCTGCAATATTTAAATATTTCTTTTTTTTATTTTTGATTGCCTGGAGTGCGAACAGTTCTTCAAAATGTTGGTTACAAGCTACGTGTTGTCAGCGTGTTAGATTTGTACAGAGTGCACTCAATCTAACGTAAGCTTTCTGCATAGACTCACCGCAATCTTATTTTTATAAGGCAAACGATACTTTAAAAGCCAAGTGTACAGTCTGGTGTGTGAGTCTCATATCATTGCGCATGTGCTGCTCCATAACGATCACCATGCTAGCGCATTACACGAATGTATGTATTGTCCGTTCATTGTCAACATACGTAACGTGTGTAGTATTGCGACATAAGTATGTATGCTGTATTGCGATCGTGTCAAATCTTTACTGGCTGTGGAGCAAAATTTCCACTAGCGTCCCTGCATGTAAAAGACTTAACATTTTCAGACAGTAACCAAGATATTGACTGTCCATCACAATTTCTTGTCATGTTTTTGCTCTCAGTTTCCCTTGACATGACACGCCCGGTGATATCTGGCTGTCCGTCGGACATCACACTGCCTGCCGGTCAGAATGTAGCCAACTGGACAGAGCCTACGGCCATAGATAACTCTGGCTTAGTTCCAGCGGTCAACAAATCCCATGAACCTGGAGCTGTGTTTGCTAATGAATCAACTAATGTCAGCTACACATTCACTGATGCAGCAGGCAATATGGCTAAATGTGTCTTCACTGTCACGCGGATACTTGGTAGGCCTTAGCAATTGCTAACGTTTTTTGAAAGAGGAATCTTGAAAATGTAGGAACAAAATGTATACTGAAAATGTCCATTATTTATAATCAATGCCATGGACACCAAGGAATGGAAACGTCCCAGTAACGGCGAACACAAAAAGTCACAGCAGAAAGTGAATTAATGTGTAAGAAAATTGGTTTAAGTTGCTAAGATATAATCGTTGTTCAACGTTACATTTCATTTCAGTTCTGGATCCACCCAGCTCCATCAGTATCACTGACGTTACCTCCTCTATGGCATTCGTCACCTGGACTCCCCCAAACTCCACTTTTGACGTGTACTTGGTGGTCGTGCAGGGCTCCAACGAAACTACACGGTTCATCTTCCCCAAAGTGCAGGACTTCATACTCTTGCCCAACTTGACATCTAACACCAACTACACGGTGTCGGTGTCTACTGCAGTGGCCCTGGGCACTGTCAATGAGATCCTCAGCGAGCCAGTCGTTGTAACAGTCACAACCATGGGTTAGTTGAATTGTTGCATGTATTTTTTTTTCAAATGGAGGACAAGTTTGCTGGAATGTGGTCAAGGGTAGACTTTGTGAATTGGTTGCAAGTTGTTCTTTGAAGTACTGGTCATAGAAGGAGCGTTTGAAACCATGACCCTCCTACACAGTTTGAGAGTCACAGTTTGAGAGTTAGTTCCTGAGCAGTCTCCTGACGATGACTAGAGCAGGCTAGTCGAAACATTGAGACCAAAGACAAGTTCTTTTAGAACTTAAAGCAGGACTGTTCTTATCAGAACAAAAACTACTTAGGGAAGGTTGATAATAAGCAGGACAAGTGCTTTTCAGAACTAAATATCTTCAAAGCAGTAGTTATTACCACATGGTGTTACCGCAAACCGAAACGATAAACGTTAGTTCCCTTAAACACTAATCGAGGAATTGTCATCATAAAACAGCCAGAAAAAAAATTAGGAATAACATGTGACCTGCTCCCATGCAACACAGACAATGTTGACAAATTTTGATTTTTGAGTTTTGGCATTTCCAAATTCCAATTTTTGGGTTTCAACTTTAAAACAATATGTGATCTTCATAGGTACTGTGACCCTGTCACCCCAGGGAAAAGGATTGAGTGATAAAACCCTATTTCTATACACTTTTTTCACGAAATCAACCAAAAAACCACTTCTACTGATTATACTGATATTTTGTGGGGTTGTAAATTTATAGTTACTGATTGAAAAAATTCCACCCCAAAATGACTTCACAGGCACTTTGTGCAAAAACAATTTCTGCAACTTCCCAGAGTAGGTGTCATATACACCTTTCTCATTGACTCATTTTTAGGTCGATTTATCCTGTTTTTCTTTTCTTTTTTGTTGCTTTGTTCAGAGTATAAAATGGTTTGATGTATGTAACTTTAAAAAAAAAATGTGTAATCATTGTTTTGGAAGTTGAATTCTAGATTTGATTGTGGTTAAGTTGACTGTCAGTATGAGCAATATCTGAAGGAGATATGTATAAAGTCTGATTTGGCAAGTAATCATTGTAAGGAATCTATCATGAAATGTTCGGGCAAGTCTTCAGTATTAAGCCACAAAAGTCCATTTTAGCTAAATATCACAAAACTGCAGATTCAGTACCTGGTATAAAATGAAATGCTGACTGTGAAGTAAAGGTTTTCCTACGACACTAATGATTCGTTTAATTTGATGACTTGCAGACGCACCAGATACCATGCCCCCAGTGGTCACCGGCTGTCCGTCCGACATCACACTGCCCGCCGGTCAAAATGTAGCCAACTGGACAGAGCCTACAGCCGTAGATAACTCTGGCTTAGTTCCAGCAGTCAACAAATCTCATGAACCTGGAGCTGTGTTTGCTGATGAATCAACTAATGTCAGCTACACATTCAGTGATGCAGCGGGCAATATGGCCAAGTGTGTCTTCACTGTCACGCGGATACTTGGTAGGCCTAAGCAATTACTAACGTTTTTTGAAAGAGGAATCTTGAAAATGTTGGAAAAAATGTAAGCTGAAAGTGTCCATTATTTATAATCCATGCCATGGACACTAAGGAATGAAAACGTCCCAGTAACGGCGAACAGAAGAAAGTCACGAAAGGGTTGAAGTTGCTAAGAAATAACCTTCGTTCAATGTTACATTTCATTTCAGTTCTGGATCCACCCGGCTCCATCAGTATCACTGATGTTACCTCCTCGTTGGCCTTCCTCACCTGGACTCCCCCCAACTCCACTTTTGACGTGTACTTGGTGGTCGTGCAGGGCTCCAACGAAACTAGACAATTCACCACCCCCAAAGTGCAGAACTCGATAGTCTTGCCCAACCTGACACCTAACACCAACTACACGGTGTCAGTGTCTACTGCAGTGGCCTATGGCACTGCCAATGAGATCGTCAGTCAGCCAGTCAGTGTTACACTCACAGTTTTGGGTAAATTTTTTTCCTGTTACACTTGTCTCTCTTTTTTGTTTAAATGCACAGTTAGCTTTTTATGATCAAATGTTGCCTCTTTTTAGATTTAGATTTTTTTTTTTCTGTGAGATTTTGGTAATGAAAGCAAAGTTTGAAACCGTCACACTCCTACACAGTTTGAGAGTCACGTTAGTTCCCTAAACACCAACCTAGGGATTGTCCTAAAAAGAAGCCACATTAAAATACAGGATAATGCATGTTTCTCATCGACTCATTGTTAGGGTGATTTGCCTTGTCCATTTTTTTGTTGTTTTTTGGGGGGTCAGACTATAAAATGGTTTGATGTATTAAAGTGTCTTTAAATTTTTTTCTGAATTTTTTTGTTTTTGGAAGTCAAATTCTAAATTTGATTGTGCTGACTCTCAGTATCAGTAAAATCTGAAGGTTTTGGAGGTACGTTTTGGCAACTAATCCTTAGTTTATAAGGGATTAAACATAAAAGAATTAGTTTGGACAAGTCCTGTTTATTAAGCTGCAACAATCACATTTAACTACAAATCCCAAAATGTCAGATTCAGTACGTGATATAAATTGAAATGCTCAACATGAATGTTTTCCCAGGGCACTAATAATTTGTTGAATTTATGTTCCTTTGAATTTGATGACTTGCAGACGCACCAGATACTATGCCCCCAATGGTCACCGGCTGTCCGTCCGACATCACACTGCCCGCCGGTCAAAATGTAGCCAACTGGACAGAGCCTACGGCCGTAGATAACTCTGGCTTAGTTCCAGCGGTCATCAAATCCCATGAACCAGGAGCTGTGTTTGCTGATGAATCAACTAATGTCAGCTACACATTCACTGATGCAGCGGGCAATATGGCCAAGTGTGTCTTCACTGTCACACGTCTGTTTGGTATGACCTTTTCTTTTTGGATTATATCTTTTGCAGTGTATTTTAAACAATAAATTAAGATAATATAAAGTTTTTCCCCAGAAGTTTGCAACGAACACTGGTCCTTATTCTAGTTCGGTTCCTAGTTTAATATCTTTAAGCTATCAGCATTCTGACTCGGAGTGATTCACACCTTGTCGTATGGCTGTGTCTCTATTTGACCTTGTCATTTTTCCTTTATTTTTTGAAGATTTAACCCCACCTGTTGTTAGCGGTTGTCCTGACAACATCACCTTGCCCCTGGGTGCGACGGTAGCCAATTGGACGGAACCGACGGCTACCGATGACTCAGGCTCTCCCCCTTCAGTCCTGAAATCCCACGTGCCGGGCGCCAGTTTCCTAGAGGGAAATACCAATGTGACATACACGTTCACTGATGGTGTGGGGAACCAGGCTGTATGCGCTTTTCTCGTCACCGTCACATTTGGTAAATCCACAGTTTCTTGATTTGATCACTCTATATTAAAAGTCTTCTTGTCTTCTCCTAGTCATCTCCTGCTTCTTAAATAAATTTTGTCTCTATTGCTTTTTCCCTCAGTTGATATTTCCTTGCTTTCTTTCATTTTTGATCTCATCTGATGTTAATGGCTAGTTTCAAATCAAAACTAATTTGTGGTGGATTTGAACATTATCACCAAAATATCTTGCTGGTCCCAGAGATCAGTTCATAGTCCTTTTTGTCAGAGATGCAATTTTTTTTCTGATTTTAATCGGAAAAAAGACTTTTTCAAATCTATTTCCAAAATTTCGATTTTTAAATTTTGTTTAAATATTTTTTTGGTTATATGATCTTTTCTCCGCAAAATCCAATTTGTAAAATTAAATTTCAACAAATTTGATAAAAAACGGCACGGTGACATCTAAATTGCGAGTGCAATTTTAATCTATTCTACCAGACGCCAGTGCACATATTGTGTGGTAAACGCACATAAGTAAGCCCGGATTGGAATAGTTTACGGCTGGAAATAAGATTAGGCATTAACATATGACATGAGTAGCTCCGTACAGACCTTCAAGGCTGTTGCACATGGAGTTTTACTGCAGTAAAATCCACATGTTGCGTGATTCGGAGTTTTTCAGATTTAGTTGTAAAAATGCAATGCTCTAAAAATCACAATGATGATCTTGAGGATGGCGAAGAGAGCATAAGTGATACGTTTCACTGGCAGTTGTTAGAAAAAGACGATAATACCTGATGTTTTTTCCCACGTACATTAGTAGTGGAGTTGTGTAGTTGAATCATGGACATGATTGAATGGCGTCATGAATGGTGTACTTGTCTTTCAGACTTTTTCCTTGACTTTGTCAAATAAGAAGTGAACTTCTTTGTTGATGAGTCTGTTACTCTAACCATAATTCAGGCTTTTTAATTTTACGAAAACACTGAAGATTGTTCTCATCGTAAAAATTTGTTAGGATAAAGAAAATAACGGGAGGCGATATCTGGAAATTGGGCATGAAGTGTATTGTACCTACAAACATGTACATGCACATGTGTAACTGCAGCGTGGCCCAGATTTCGGACACGGGTGTTTGTTCGGCCCATTTTCCTATTTTTTTCCCATAGGACAGTTCCATCTCTGACAATAACTTATGATAATATGAAGTTTCTTCTTCCCAGAAGTTTGCAACAAATACTTGGTCCTTATTCTAGTTAGCTTAATGGCATTTTGATTCAGAGTAATTCACTGAGTGATCTTAAAATCGTTCAGAGTCTGTAGTCAACCTTGTAATTTTTTCTGTAATTTTTGAAGATGTAACCCGACCGGTTGTTAGTGGTTGCCCAGACGACATCACCTTGCCACTGGGTGCGACGATAGCCAATTGGACGGAACCGACGGCTACCGATGACTCAGGCTCTCCCCCTTCAGTCCTGAAATCCCACGCGCCGGGCGCCAGTTTCCTAGAGGGAAATACCAATGTGACATACACATTCACTGATGGTGTGGGGAACCAGGCTGTATGCGCTTTTCTCGTCACCGTCACATTTGGTAAATCCACAGTTTCCTAATTCGATCACTCTATATGAAAAGTCTTCTCTTCTTCTCCTAGTCATCTTCTGCTTCCTACATTTTTCTGAATTGTTTTTTTCCCTCCGTTGGTCAGGCATGCAGCTTTTCCTCGGATCAGCTGATTTCCTCTTTTTGTACTTCCCATGTGTGCCATTAAAAATAGAAAAACACTGTACAAAGTCTTGGAAAGATTTGAATTTCCTCTTTTTTGTGTGACTTTCCAGTTGCATGCCTGGTTGGTTTTCCTTTGCTTTCTTTCATTTTTGATCTCATCTGATGTTGATGGCTAGTTTCAAATCAAAACTAATTTGTGGTAGACTTGAACATTATCACCAAAATATCTTGCTGGTCCCAGAGATCAGTCCATAGTCCCTTTCGTCAGAGATGAAATTTTTCCGATTTTAATCGGAAAAAAGACTTTTTCAAATCTATTTCCAAAATTTCGATTTTTAATTTTTTTTTTAAATTTTTTTTTGGGGGGGGGGTTATATGATCTTTTCCCCGCAAAATCCAATTTGTAAAATTAAATTTCAACAAATTTGATGAAAACGGCACTGTGACATCTAAATTGCGAGTGCAATTTTAATCTGTTCTACCAGTCGTCAGTGCACATATTGTGTGATAGATGCACATAAGTAAGCCCGGATTGGAGTAGTTTACAGCTGGAAATCAGATTAGGCATTAACATATGACATGACTAGCTACTTACAGAGCTTTAAGGCTGTTGCACATGGAGTTTGACTGCAGTAAAATCCACATGTTGCGCGATGATTTTCAGAGGTTTCAGATTTAGTTGTACTAAAATGCAATGCTCTAAAAATCACGATGATGATCTTGAGGATGGCAAAGAGAGCATAAGTGATACGTTTCACTGGCAGTTGTTAGAAATAGACGATAATACCTGATTTTTTTTCCTACGTACGTTAGTAGTGGAGTTGTGTAGTTGAATCATGGACATGATTGAATGGTGTCATGAATGGTGCACTTGTCTTGCAGACTTTTTCCTCGACTTCCTCAAGTAAGAAGTGAACTTCTTTGTTGTGATGAGTCCGTTACTCTAGCCGTAATTCAGGCTTTTTAATTTTATGAAAACACTGAAGATTGTTCTCATCATAAAAATTTGTTAGGATAACAAAAATAACGGGAGGCGATATCCGGAAATTGGGCATGAAGTGTATTGTACCTACAAACATGTACATGCACATGTGTAACTGCAGCGTGGCCCAGATTTCGGACACGGGTATTTGTTCGGCTTATTTTCCTATTTTTTTTCCATAGGACAGTTCCATCTCTGACAATAACTTACGATAATATGAAAGTTTTTTTTCCCAGAAGTTTGCAACAAATACTGGTTCCTTATTCTAATTGGCTTAACAGCATTCTGATTCAGAGTAATTCACTGAGTGATCTTAAAATCCTTCAGTGTCTCTAGTCAACCTTGTAATTTTTTTCTGTAATTTTTGAAGATGTAACCCGACCGGTTGTTAGTGGTTGCCCAGATGACATCACCTTGCCACTGGGTGCGACGATAGCCAATTGGACGGAACCGACAGCTACCGATGACTCCGGCTCTCCCCCTTCAGTCCTGAAATCCCACGTGCCGGGCGCCAGTTTCCTAGAGGGAAATACCAATGTGACATACACATTCACTGATGGTGTGGAGAACCAGGCTGTATGCGCTTTTCTCGTCACCGTCACATTTGGTAAATCCACAGTTTCCTAATTTGATCACTCTATATTAAAAGTCTTCTTGTCTTCTCCTAGTCATCTCCTGCTTCTTAAATAAATTTTGTCTTTATTGCTTTTTCCCTCAGTTGATTTTCCCTTGCTTTCTTTCATTTTTGATCTCATCTGATGTTGATGGCTAGTTTCAAATCAAAACTAATTTGTGGTGGACTTGAGCATTATCATCAAAATATCTTGCTGGTCCCAGAGATCAGTCCATAGTCCCTTTCGTCAGAGATGAAATTTTTCTGATTTTAATTCGGAAAAGCGACTTTTTAAAATCTATTCCCAAAATTTCAAATTTTTTATGCCCCGCGGCGAAGCCGAAGGGGCATACTGTTTTCGCCTTGTCCTTCCGTGGGTGGGTGGGTGTGTATGGGTGTTCCTGCATGGCATTACGCCTGAGGACAGACAACAAAAGGAGCACAAAGGGGCCATTGATCCTCGAAGGAAGGTGCCTATTGTCCTCGAACGCAGGTTTGTGTGCTTAGTCTATGGGAGAGTGTTATATTACAGGGACAAAGGAAAACACAAAGCCAATCCTCGGAAGCATAGCAAAAAACGACTGTGTGTGGGTGTGTGTGTCCGGACAAATCTTGTCAGCGCGATAACTTGAGAAATACTTTATATGCGAACTTCAAATTTGGTTTGTGTATTGTCCTTGGCAATCCTAAGAAGCCTTTTGCATTTGGGGCCAAAAGGTCAAGGGTCAAGGTCACAGTGGCTAAAACAAAAGAAATTTTGTCAGCGTGATAACTTGAGATATACTTTACATATGAACTTCAAATTTGGTTTGTGGATTGTCCTTGGCAATCCTAAGAAGCCTATTGCATTTGGGGCCGAAAGGTCAAGGGTCAAGGTCACAGTGACTAAAACAAAAGAAATTTTGTCAGCGCGATAACTTGAGAAATACTTTACATATGAACTTCAAATTTGATTTGTGGATTGTCCTTGGCAATCCTAAGAAGCCTTTTGCATTTGGGCCCAAAAGGTCAAGGGTCAAGGTCACAGTGGCTAAAACAAAAGAAATTTTGTCAGCGTGATAACTTGAGATATACTTCAAATATGAACTTCAAATTTGGTTTGTGAATTGTCCTTGGCAATCCTAAGAAGCCTATTGCATTTGGGGCCAAAAGGTCAAGGGTCAAGGTCACAGTGGCTAAAACAAAAGAAAATTTTGTCAGCGCGATAACTTGAGAAATACTTTACATGTGAACTTCAAAATTTGGTTTGTGGATCGTTCTTGGTAATCCAAATAGGCTATCGCATTGGGGGTCGAAAGGTCAAGGGTCAAGGTCACAGTGGCTAAAACAATAGAAATCTGGTATTTATTCTGAGATCATAGGGATTAGGGATTAATTCATATAAAACCTACAGAAGACACTAATGCTGTCAATGAACGTTCCATGTGACCAAGGTACATGTACATGTAAGTTTATGTTAAAAGAGTGGTGTTATGTCATGGGAACAGTCACGGTTGCGGGGCATTTGTGTTTGTTAACACACCTGACTTGTTTGGTTTTTTTTCATATGTTTTTTTCCCCGCAATTCCCAATTTTTAAAATTAAATGTAAACAAATTTGATGAAAACGGCACGGTGACATCTGTATTGCGAGTGCAATTTTAATCTGTTCTACCAGTCGTCAGTGCACATATTGTGTGGTAAACGCACATAAGTAAGCCCGGATTGGAATAGTTTACGGCTAGAAATGAGATTAGTCATTAATATATGACATGACTAGCTACGTACAGAGTTTCAAGGCCGTTGCACGTGGAGTTTGACTGCAGTAAAATCCACATGTTGCACGATTTTCTGAGGTTTCAGATTTAGTTGTAGAAATGCAATGCTCTAAAAATCACAATGATGATCTTGAGGATGGCGAAGAGAGCATAAGTGATACATTTCACTGGCAGTTGTTAAAAAAAGACGATAATACCTTATTTTTTTTCCCACGTACGTTAGTAGTGGAGTTGTGTAGTTGAATCAGGGACATGATTGAATGGTGTCATGAATGGTGTACTTGTCTTTCAGACTTTTTCCTCGACTTTCTCAAATAAGAAGTAAACTTCTTTGTTGATGAGTCTGTTACTCTAACCGTAATTCAGGCTTTTTAATTTTATGAAAACACTGAAGATTTTTCTCATCGTAAAAATTTGTTAGGATAAAAAAATTAACGGGAGGCGATACTATCCGGAAATTGGGCATGAAGTGTATTGTACCTACAAACATGCAGTTACATGTGTAACTGCAGCGTGGCCCAGATTTCGGACACAGGTGTTTGTTCGGCCCATTTTCCTATTTCTTTCCCATAGGACAGTTCCATCTCAGACAATACAACTTACGATAATATAAAGTTTCTTTTTCCCAGAACTTTGCAACAAATACTGGTTCCTTATTCTAGTTAGCTTAACAGCATTCTGATTCAAACTGATTTACTAACTGATCATATAATCGTTCAGAGTCTGTAGTCAACCTTGTAATTTTTCCTTAATTTTTTGAAGATTTAACCCCACCTGTTGTTAGCGGTTGTCCTGACAACATCACCTTGCCCCTGGGTGCGACGGTAGCCAATTGGACGGAACCGACGGCTACCGATGACTCAGGCTCTCCCCCTTCAGTCCTGAAATCCCACGCGCCGGGCACCAGTTTCCTAGAGGGAAATACCAATGTGACATACACGTTCACTGATGGTGTGGGGAACCAGGCTGTATGCGCTTTTCTCGTCACCGTCACATTTGGTAAATCCACAGTTTCCTAATTTGATCATTGTTTATGAAAAGTCTTCTCAACAAGTCTTCTCAACTAGCCTTGTTGGCTTGCTAAGTAAGCTGGGCAGTTCTATTGTATAGGGTTACCCCGACTAAACTTAGCCCATTGTGTTGACCAGATGCATGAAAAGACTTCTAGTGCATAGCCATTATGAATCAATTGAACAGAATTGTGTGTGTGCCCTGGGACCAGTTTGACTACAGGGTGAGTAAAATTAAACGAAAACCAAATGTCAGGACTATTGTTTTAGTGAAGTTCTCCATGTAGTACTTTCAAAATCTAGGATATAGAAGCCCAATTCATAAGCTTTCTTTTAGTACAAGAATCATTCAAATCACTCAAGTCCTTTTCAAGTTGCGGAGTTTTAAACGCAACCACCGTTTTAAAGTTCTGTCCACGTATCACACAAAAGGTGTGTGTTCCTGCATGGCATTACGCCTGAGGACAGACAACAAAAGGAGCACAAAGGGGCCATTGATCCTCGAAGGAAGGTGCCTATTGTCCTCGAACGCAGGTTTGTGTGCTTAGTCTATGGGAGAGTGTTATATTACAGGGACAAAGGAAAACACAAAGCCAAACCTTGGAATCATAGCAAAAAACGACTGTGTTCTTTCAGCAAAACGAAAACAATTCACACACATCCTTTTGTGATTTGTTTTCGTGTTGCTGAAAGAACACTGAACTTTTTTGTGATCCGTGGACAGAACCCTAAAACGGCATCTGTGTTTAAAACTCCGTAACTTGAAAAGTACATGAGTGATTTGAATGATTCTTGTACTAAACGAAAGCTTATGAATTGGGCTTTCATATCCTAGATTTTGAAAGTGCTACATGCAGAACTTCACTACAAAAATGGTCCCGACATTAGGGTTTCGTTGTTTTTTTTACTCACCCTGTAGTTTGACTTTTCCTATTTTTATCACCAAAGATAAGACAGCGCCGGTCATCAGTAACTGCCCAGGTAACATCTTGCTGCCGTTCGCCTCCACCTTGGCTAGCTGGACAGAGCCCACGGCTACTGATAACTCAGGAGAGCCTCCAAGTGTGACCAAAACTCATGAGCCTGGCACCGAATTCAGTGACGGAAACACCACAGTGGCGTACACGTTTACCGATGCGGCAGGGAACCAGGCAAACTGCTCGTTTGTGGTTAATGTAGTTGCTGGTGAGTGCATGGTTAATGATAATAACAAATAATAATAGTTAATAACAATAAGTAATATGGCTATTGACATAGACTCAAGAAATGTCTTCAAAGCGAACATTTGATCAGCAATTGTGACAACTTTAACCTTCCTACTGATCACAAACCAACAAATTTATCCACTTCCTCTCCCATAGCTTTTGTTCAGGCTGGCCACCAACTACCAGAACCCCTTGGAATTAAACCATATAACTGTTAAAGCCTGTTGAAGTGGTTTGATAGATAGGGTTACCATATTATACTGATACAGCTTGTGTAGCAGCCATTTTAAAGGGTGATGCCTTTGTTTGGCTGGAATGCAAGAGTGAAGCTTTTGTGCCTTCATTGTTACTGAGCTAAATCCATCATTGACAGGCACTCACCAGCGCTGACCCACCACATCTATCAATGCCAGTCAAGGCATGGTACCCTCAGTTAACATACCTACCCCAGCCTGTCAATTGTACCAATATGAGGCCGGTTTGACAGGCACTCACCAGCGCTGACCCACCACATCTATCAATGTCAGTCAAGGCATGGTACCCTCAGTTAACATACCTACCCCAGCCTGTCAATTGTACCAATATGAGGCCAGTTTACAGACCTGTTAAAGCCTGTCCCCTGATATATTTTGACATACATGTAAAGGGTATATCTCTCCAGATTGTCACTGAGAGAGAGGGAGGGTTAAAAGCTGGGTGAAATTTCCTCAAAAGTTAAAAAATAAATAATAATTTACATAATGTAGACATCATACATGGTAATTTTTTTCACAGCAAAATCACGCACTGATTTGTAAGAATAAGACTGTTCACAATCAGTGGTTCACGTAAAACCAAACAAAATCTACCTTATGGTAAATTTTCAATATTGTCTTTTGCCCTTCACCAGCATAATTTTACAAGCACTGTGCTGTAGCGTTCACACCAAAAACTCACAACCTTACTTGGATGGGACTTGAACCCACGACCTCCTGCTTACAAGTGCAGATGTTTCACCACCAGACAACCGAGCTTGTTGGGACTACTTGTACGATTGAATCTGACATAGCAGCAGACATATTGATCATGCCATCATAAGTCAACTTCCTGTACATTTTGTTTTTGGTTTACCCATAGATGACGTGGCGCCGTTTATACTGAACTGCCCCTCCAACATCAGCCTCCCCTTCGGCACCGACACAGCCAGCTGGACGGAGCCCACGGCCACCGATAACTCCGGTCAGGTTCCCAGCGTGGACCGATCACACGAACCGGGCGCAGTCTTTACTGAGGACTCCACCATGGTGACATACACGTTCACTGATGCCATGGGGAACCAGGCCAACTGTGTGTTCCTTGTGATTCGTTTACGAGGTTTGTCATCTTTTAAGAAATCACTGAAAGGAGTGAATTAAAATGGACCTTTCCTGCCTGTTGCTCCAACAGTGTGAATTGACCAATAAGATCATGACTTTTGATCAGATATGAGGCATTTTGGCAAAATGAGACGGAACTGGGCATAGGCCATAGTGGAGAAAAATGCAAACAAGCAAATGGGGGTAATGTTTGTCCAATTTCCCAATTTATTGATATTTGTAATCTTTGATTTGTCTACTACACATAGATTAACCCTAACCTCCCCAACTCCATCAAAATCCATCCCCCCATTTTGGTGGATTTTGGGGGACTTGGTCCTGCAGGCCTGGTTGGACTTAATATTGATGGAGTATGATGGACTTGGGCCTGGAGGCCTAAAGCAAAGCATGCATTGGAAGCAGTGTGATTGATGGATTTTGGCGGACTTGGTCAAGCACTTAGTAAAAGACAGTAGGGAGTTAGGGTTAAAGAAATATTGTTTAAAAAGTGGAATAAAGGGTTTTAAGAAACCAAAAAACAATTGGCACCTTTCATCTTCACAGATACAAAACTGGACACTTTAAAAGCCTTCTTCTCAGTATTTTACTTTTTTGACATGTCGATAAATACAAATTTTCAACAACCATATTTTGACAATGGAATATCTGATTGAAGTGCAACAAACAGTTTTGTAAAGAGAATTCTATTCTCCTTTCTAATTCCTGCAAACCTTCATTTACCCCTTTGCCCAGTTCTGTCTCATTGGGCCAGAACGCCTCAAAGATGACAACAATAGCTTGTTACAAATACTCTTCGAGATGGTGGAACATGTGGCCAAATCAAAAATTGTCCATCGTGTAGTAAACTCATGTGTTTTCATGTGTTTGTGTAGTAATATTCTTTTCGGTTACCGTTGAGGGGGACGTTTGTACTGAGTGCATAGGCCTAACACCAAAGGGACACACAGTCTTTGAGATTATGGAAGCACACAGCAGTTGTACGATACAGTTGTAAGGACCAAAATGTCATGGAGACAATCGAAAGTCCCCACAGCTCAGTCCAAATTTTCCTTAAAATAGCAAACTTCCCGATAAGGTGGTCCCTTTTAGCACACAAAACTTTCCAAAAAGACACTTTCAGAGTAACGCTATGACTCTACATTTATCACTTCCTCCATCAGACGACATCCGACCAGAAATCACCACCTGTCCTTCCATCATCAACCTAACCCCCGGCACCAACGTGGCCACCTGGGATGAGCCCACGGCCACCGATAACTCCGGTGAGATTCCCACTTTCACCAGGACCCACGAGCCGGGCAGCGTCTTCACCGAGAACGTGACCATGGTGGTCTATACCTTCACCGATGCGGCCGGCAACGAGGCTCTCTGTGTGTTCTTTGTCAAGCTCGCCCCAGGTTGGTTACTCAGTCACATGTTGTGTATCTCGCATTACTCCTTCAAATTGGATTTGCCATGACAAAATATCAAATTGAATACATAAGAGCAAGAAGGGCCTTGCCCCACCATGTTGATCAGTATAATAAGTTACACCCGACATTTTATTGTTGACACACTGTATTCCTTGTGTGTAACAGAAGGGCCCCAAGCTCTTCAACAAACTCAATTTTTTTTTTCTATTAATAAATTTTCAACTTGTATGTTTTATTCTTAACCTCCAAAACCTCCTTTTTTCCCCCTTTTTTCGAAGTCTGCAACCCTCTTGAAAAAGAAAAAAAATTGGGGGGGGGGGCACAAACTGAGCCACCTTGCAAGCAGACTGGCTCCCGGTCTGTATATTATCGATACTGTTTGTAGGGCAGGAACCAGCCTACCTAATGAGAATGGAATTATTGTCTGGCAGCCAATAATTCAAAATTGCAAAGTAATAATTCAATAACTAAACATGGGCAAATTTTTTTCCTTCAGTCGAGGTCTCGTTCAAAAGTGAGATTTATTTTTGTATTGCTAGAAAAATTGCAATTTCGAAAAGGAATATATTTTTTGGGACGAAACTCAAAAATAACACAGGGAATGCAACTATAATGACAGATTCCATAGTCTGTCTTCAGCAATCTGGCCAGGGTTCATGAAGAGATCCAACACTGACCACAGGGGGCGCTGTTTAGACAGTCTGTAAACTAGGTTGGATAGCATCATTCATTCATCAAAATGGCGTATTTAAAGCTTTTGTACATTTTCCCTCCGTTTTTCTGTGCAATTGTTTACATTTTGGTTGTTGGGAAGTTAAAAAAATACCTAAAAATCATCTTTTTTTGCTTCTCACCATGAAAAAGGGGGGGGGGGATGATCTAATAGCCCCCCTCTCCCCCCCCCCCCCCCCCCCCCCGGTCAAAAGGTGGAGGGGATATATACCCCTAATTTGATATAGAATATAATGTGTATTCTGATATAAAAAGTAGAATGTAGTGAACGTGGAAAATTCATGTTTAATTAAATACATACGGATGTCATTTCTATCGACGTGTATCTGGTAGAGGTGTAGTGAAGTCCATCACAACCATAATCACATGTCAAATCCATGTCACGAGAAACAGGGGATGCACCACGAGAAAAGATTGCCTCGGTCACAGTGTATTTAAATAACTCTTGACTTGAAATTGGATGGTTTGTTGTGATTGACACATGTGATTGACATGTGAGTGACATGCGAGTGACATGTGATTGACATGTTACTGACATGTTACTGACATGTGACTGACATGTGACTTGCGTGTGAGGACTTGACTTCAACTATAATATCTAGCAAACCAATAGCAAATCAAAGAGATTGTGTTGCATGGTATTATGTCCAGTTTTATACATAATTGCTTTTTTTCCCATCTTGGTGACGCGGGTCCAGTGGACATGCCACCAATGATCTTTAACTGTCCTTCGGACTTCACCATGACGTTACTGCTGTCTGAGATTGACCTGGGCATCTTCTTCACCTGGAGGGAGCCCTTTGCCATCGACGACTCCGGCCTAGAGCCCACTGTGAACAAGACCCATAGCCCGGGGATCATGTTCCCGGCGGGTTCCACTAGGGTCGTCTATACGTTCACCGACAATGCGGGGAACCAGGCTGAATGTGCCTTTGTTGTCAACGTGTTGCTAGGTAGTTGTCATGACCATAGCCCGCCAGACTCCATGACCTTCGGGCTTCTAATCTATCTTCTCTCAGCTCTTGTACTGCAGTCCTATTTCAGCAAACATACAGTTTAATCTTATTCACTTATTTAACCTGAAATTGTGAATAACGGTGTCTTCTGAAAATTTTCATTTAACAGGTTTTCCCCCGCTAACAAATTACGGAAGAAACCTTTCAAAGAAAAAAAAGCGATAACTAACTCTAAACTTTATTTGGTCTCCCAGAAATATTGTTTTCATTATCTTGTACATGCCAAAGTTGATATGCATTACATGTGTTGATTTTTAATAACAACTAGAAGGGGGATTCTGCTCATTCAAATGTTGAACTTATTAAATCTGTTTCCTAAATGCCATTAATTATTTGATTTTAGGTAATTGATGATCACCATCTGATCTGTCTGTCTTACTGAGTTGACCCCAATCCCTGTGTGGGTTTTCATGCCACCTTGAGCAACTGATCTCTTTAGCATAAACCCAAATATGATATTGATATAATAATTACCTCCAAATCATTCTTTATTAACAAGGGAAAAGGGCAAAACCTAATTTGATTTACATCACCCCGACGCAAAAATTCCATCTTATGAATAGTTAATGCGGTACCCGCTGCTATGTACATTAGATTTGAACCAGCCAACCGATCCCATTAGCTCGGTGGTCGAGTGGTAAGACATCTGCACTAGAAAGCAGGAGGTCGTGGATTCGAGTCCCACCCGAGTGATTTTTTCCAACTTTCACTCGGGGAGGTAACACACTGAGTATACAGTGTTTATACGTCAATGAAGGGCAAAACCTAATTTGATTTACATCACCCCGACGCAAAAGTTCCATCTTATGAAGGGAATTTTTGTTATCCTTGGGGGAATTGATTTAATCCTTTTATCTGTCCTTATTAACTTGGATACATCTCTTTGCTGCATCGTTAACCATCAGTCTTTCTTCACACAGGATCAATTTCATGTACTTGTATCATCAGCTTTTACGAGGCTGGTTTCTCTGTTATATAATACAATAATGTATGAGGTTTCTGTGTATTTTGACATTGCATATGTTTATACTGTGTGTTTCATTATTGCATTCTTCTTGGTGTAGTACTCTTATAACAAGTTCATACTTTGACATTTGTTTGATGCTTACATTAACTTGCCACGGTTTGACACTTGTTCAGGGGATTGTGGGAAAGGACAGTTAACATTCCCCCACGGGAAAGAGAAATTAACCGTCTCCCACTCTCACTAGCTTCATTATATTCGAGGGATTTATGAAATTATGGAACACTGAACATGAGTGAAAGACTCACACAGGAAGACAACCACGTCATCTGTTCAAGCGTTATTTCTGTTCAAACAACAAAGTTTGCTGATTGTACATGTAACTACATTGTAATCAATGATGAACTCTCTGGACACTTCTTCTTTAACCATAACCTCCCCAAACCCATCAAACCCCAACGGCATGGTTTGTTGGAATCTGTCAGGATGGGTACAGTACACCTAAACTGACGGTCTTTTACATTGGGTTGGGCACACCTCCAGAATCAAAGTCAAACATATGTGTGTGCGCAGTTTCCCATATGGTGTTGGAATTTGCCAGGATGGGTATGGTTCCTAGTAAATTATGCTAGGGAGTTATGTAACATGCCTTGCATCCATGCATGAATCAACAATTTGCATACAGCACTCATTGGGAAGTTGGTAACAGTGTAGCAGACCAGAACATATCAACTATCATGAGAGCATACTGGGGGGAATGATAACATCAGTGTATTAAAATTGAGTTAAAATTCTTTAAAAGCTCTTATTGACGAGCGTATCATGTGATTGTTAAACTTTTACATGACTTTTGATTTTTTGAATGATTTAAAGAAAAGAATTTTCAAGTGATTTAAATCAAACAACCAGTGTATTAAAATTGAGTTAAAAGGGTTTTTCTACTTCGTTCTAATTCTGTTTACCTAAATAGAACTCGGGATACTTCCACCAAACTTTTAAACTGTCACTCTTGTTAATCCATTTGGGTTGTTGTATTTAACCATGCGTAACATAAACAGTTATATCTTTGTGGGAACTAATTTAACAAGAAAATGTAGATTATGAAAGCTTTAAATAAACAAAAACCAGACCACAGATTAATGGTCACAAGTCAATCATAAGTCAAGTGGCAAGTCAGACCACAAGTAGCCGGATGAACGCTGACAAAGGAATGTATTCGTCTCAGTTCCTTTAGGTTGCTTGTCATTTGACTTGAGGTGGTATGACTTTGGAATGACTGGTCTTGACTTGTCATGGCTTTCGATGAGGTGTGATGACTTGCAGTTACCTTCCGATGGAATAACCTGCCAATGACTTGTGATTGTCTTGCGATTGTCTTGCGATTGTCTTGTGATTGACTCTGTGATCAACTTGTGATGACTTGTGACTGTCCTGATCTCGACTGTGATTTGTTAAAACCCCACAGTGGATGACATACGACCCGTCATCACCGGTTGCCCATCGGATATGGACGTCACCCTCCCACTGACACAGCAAAGTGACATCATGGTCACGTGGCAGGAGCCCTCGGCTACCGACAACTCCGGCGCGGCACCGTCCCTGGACCGCAGTCACCAGCCGGGGGAAACCTTCCCAGAGGGCAGGACCACAGTGACATACACCTTCAGTGACCAGACTGGTAACGAGGCTGTCTGCTCCTTTGAGATCAACGTACAGCGAGAAGGTGAGTATGTCCAGGGTACTGAAGATGTATATGCCTCACCAACATTCTTCGTTGGATTTTTTTCATGGGGCTGCTGAACAGTTATATTTAGCAGAAAAGATGTGCTAAGCTTAAATAAGCACTTTTTTACGGCGTGGATGTGCTAACAGTTGTGGGCGCATGGAGATTTCTGTTGTCCTGATACTAATTAAGCAGTTTTTGTCCTCATTAGCATACCTTTTTCTTCACTTTCTGCTTACAGTCTCTGTGAAATATAGGTTGAGGCTCTGTTAGTAGAGAATCGTATGCTTAGAATATGTGTTCTGATTTGACTTGATTGAGTATACCTGGATTGTTTGATCTTAAAACAAGAAATGCTTGGACAAAATGAACAGCATGCAGCACAATTCATTTTTCACTGATTCAGAATGTTCTTGAAGTACAAAGTTTGACTAACCACCACCAAAATTAATACGGTAAATGGTCGGACAGTGTTTGACAACTGGATTTTATTATCAGCCTCTTATCTTGGCTTAATCCTGTGATTTCGGCTGAGAAGAATTGATTTTTAAAGTGCTGATTTCACCTTGATGTCACCTTGGTTGATTGTGATTTTACCTTTGATTTGATCTGATTACATTTGATTTGATTTGATCTGATTGTGTCTGATTTGACTAGTTTTGTTTGTCTTGATTAATTTGATCTGATTTGGCTTGATTTAATTCATCCTGATTTGGCTGGATTTGATCTGATTTTTCAATACTGGTTTTTGCCCTTCACCGACATAGTTTTTATTAACACTGTATACTCAGTGTTGTCCGGAATGATTGTGAGACTCGAACCCACGACCTACTACTTGCTAGTGCAGATGTCTTACCACTCGACCACTGAGCTTGCCGTGTTCTTTTTTTTACCCCAGCAAGCTCAGTGGTTTAAGTGGTAAGATGTTTGCACTAGTAAGCAGGAGGTCGTGGGTTCGAGTCCAACCCAAGTAATTTTTTTTCTCACAATCACTCGGGACAACACTGAGTGTTAATAAAAATATGTTGGTGAAAGGCAAAACCCAATATTGAATGTTCATCACCCCGACGCAAAAACATTGAATAATTTGATCTGATTTAGCTTGATGTGATTTGATCTGATGCAGCTGATTTGATTTGATTTGATTACAGAGGACGTCACCCCACCGCAGATCCTCAACTGCCCGTTGGATCAGGCATACGTCATTCCCGCAGGCAACCAGTTTATGATCATCATGTGGAATCCACCCACCGCCATCGATAATTCCGGGGTGCCCCCCGCGGTAGTCAGCAATCGTATCCCTGGGGACGTGTTCGGTATTGGCGAGACGGTCGTCATGTACAATTTCACCGATCCATCAGATAACATGGCCACCTGCGAGTTCACCATCAAACTGTCAAGTAAGCGACCAGTCAGGTTTTTCTTCAAGTCCTCAAATAAACTGCTTAAAGTTGTAAAAATCTAGCCATGAATTTTGTTTGTTTCGTGGAATTACAGCCAAAAGAGCTTGCAGCATTAGTGGTTACATTTGCACAGACTTTTGAATGGTGGAAAAGACTATCAGAGTTTAAAGAGTTTTGTTGATGAAAATCACGTCTTCAGAAAGATTTTCTGGTACATATATGTAAATAGAAGTTTTCAGGATGGCAGGGATGGGCCTATTTTTAGCTATGTTTGCCCGTCGTGAAGAATCTGTGCTAACCATAGCAGAACAAGTTTTGTGTTAATGATGAGCGTATATTGTAGGTCAAAGGAATTATTGCTTAGGTCTTCTGAGTGTGGCCTAGTGGTTAGGGTTCGTGACTCATGATCAGAGGGTCAGGGGTTCGAATCCAGCTGCTGTCCATATGTTGTGTCCTTGGGCAAGCCACTTCACCCCCACTTGCCTCTCTCCACCCAGGGGTATAAATGGCTATCGGCATTAGCTGGGGAGTTAAACCTGCGATGGACTAGCATCCCATCCAGGGGGAGTAGAAATATTCTCAGTCGTTTCATGCTACTGAAACCGGAGATAAACGCCGGCCTGATGGGCCACATTGGCTCGTAGCAGACTTTACTTTTACTTTACTTCAGAAAGACAAGAGTTGTAGAACTTTGTCACAAAGTATATTTTCCTCAATGACTTTGTGCCCCAACCAAATAACTTATCAACCTTGATACTTTTACCTCACTGAAGGGGTTTGCGGTCTCACAAGCCACACAAAAGGAAGTGCAATACCCATTGATGCAAAGTGCAAACACTGCACCTACTATCAGTAACCAATGAAAGAGGCTCGTTCTCCTGGTTGCGCCTGAAAGAGCAGTTTGAAATTGCGGGAGGCTTTTAACAGAATGCCATTGACTTCAGCATAGTGTGTTCACAGGATACAAAGGCTGAGCCTTGAGCCAGAGTGTTTAATAATAAACTGTTTAGTAACCAGTGTTACAAAATCTTGTTATGAAACAGGCAAATACTTGTGTTGAATAACACAGAAATACCAATACATTAGACATTGATATTTGTGTTAAATAACATTGAAATCTAGAACAGGGATATGTGTGGTACTTATGTAATTTAATGTGGAAGCAACAACTCTCGGACACAAACAGGTTAAAAATTATACAACTGCATACACAAGCAGTGCTTATGCAAGCTTTTCTTATGTATCATATGTGTCGTTAGAGGAAATCTAAATGTTAATAAAAAAAAATCCACTTTTTCACAATAAACATTCATGTCATTTTCCTCTAAAAATAAAAAAAGCAATACAAATCTGATTTATTAAAGTAAAAAGATAACCTGTTGAAATGTTAGCTAAAGGGCCTGTCACATTATATGCGCTCTCATAGGAGACCTTACGGCGACCAATTTTTTTCCATAAATTTAACAATCGCAGCAAGGACGCAATAAAATGAAAACTTTCTGTCTCAAAGAAGCTCAAGCTTCGCTCATACTGTGCTCTTCCCGCGCTTACGATGCGCTCAACTCACTCTGTATGCGCCCCTGTCAAGCCCAATTAATTGATCTAATCGCTGCCACTGCGCTGTCACTGCGCCCACACTACGCTCTGCTCGCTGTTGATACGTCCTAGTAGCTCGCGTCGCGCTCTCTATTTGACCAAAATAGGCTCATGTGACGTCACTTGCACTGTATAAATACCACGACAAAATGGTCAATACAAAGTCCAGTTAAAAAAAATTATTCTACAAGTTCATCGCAGTCAAGTTACTTTCTCATGAAGACTACGTCGACTACCTTGCGCCTAAGCTGCCTCAATGCCATTTCAATGTCGCACGATTCACGCTCGCACAGCACCCGAAATGCGTCATTACGCTCATCGGAGACCATTAAGACTCTCTGGCGCCCATCTGGCAACCTATGTTGTTGCGCCCCAGCTATTTTTCAAGGATGCAGTGAGAGCGCATATAAGATCACAGACAGTGTGACAGGGCCTTAAGCGGATTTGGATCTTTTCAAGAAACCAGTAAAAAACATGTGTGCGAAATTTGAATAGCAACATGTAGTAATAAAATGGGGACTTGGAGTACGCCCCATCAACCTTCATGTGTTCTGTATGTACTACACACAAAGATTGAAATGTGTAATAAATCAACTTGAAACTTCTCTGCACATTACTTATGATGGGCATATATTTATCATTGGGTTTTGCAGTGCAAGGCTCATATCTTAGTTTACTCAAACAGTTTATGTTCATTTCATTAAATGTGCATTGTTTTGGTTGTCTTTACAGCTCCTGTTTTGAACCCATGCCAGAGTAGTCCCTGTCGTCCAAATGAAAACTGCTTCTACAGTGCCACAACCTTCATCTGCGTAGCAGGTAAGAAATCCTCCAATTCTTTGTTTTTTTGCTTTCGAGATTTGTTGTTTTTACCATCCTATTCAATAGGCTTGAAAAATAATGACGCCGTGCTTTAACATGTGTGCTATTTTTGGGAACTAGATTGGATATTGAATTAAATATTATACATAATTCCTGTAAATATACCGTATACTCTAATTACCTTCCTCAATGTGGTTTTGGAGGATTTTGGAGGATTGAGGCTTAATGCAACATACATTTTTGGAGGATTGTGGAGGATTTAGGGCGCATGGACATTCAGTCTCGGTTGATGTTGGAGGATTGAGGCTGAATGGTGTTAGAAGAAGAGGAAGATTTTGGAGGATTAAGGATGAGTGCATTTTGAGAGGCAGGGCTGTAAAAATGGAGGATTTTGAAGGATTGAGGCAGTGGGTATCCTTCATTTGAACATGAGCGTAAAATGTTGGAGGATTGAGGATGGTTGCCAGCAAAAAGGGGTTAAAGAGACATTTTTTGTCATAAGTTATACCTTACGGAGACAAGTTAAATTAAGGAGATATTTCAATGTGTCCCTAATTAACTCCTATTTAGAAGAAAAATTTTAATTTCACAAATAGGCTAGATCGATTGCTGGTGGTCCAAAACATAAATATATGAAAATTTGTTGGGGAGGTAGAAGGGGGTTAGGGGTCATGAAAGTTTGAACAGTTTTGAGCACAACCCTATGGGAATGCCTCCTGAGATACCATTCTTGGTAATAATAATCATCATCATCATCAAAATCACCATCATCATCATCATCATCATCAGCCTGCTGAGCAGGCGACAACTGAAACAAATTATTCTCAAGATTTGAATTAACTTCGATATTTTAAACAATAACGAGGAACTACACATGCATGCATTAGATTGACTGTTGCAGTTCAGAAAGACGCCTGGGTCTAGTCACTGGAAAATTGATTAAGTATGCTTGTCTGGAACCAGACTATTTTGGTCGAATTGAGGTTCTCTCAATAACATTTGGTTTTGTGCAACTCTACGCGTCAACAAAAAAAGTTTGTACTTTTTCAGCTAGCTTCAACCTTCCATTCATACTTTTCTCTTCTTTGTATACTTGTACCTGTGAACCATGGCATTCTCGTTCATAAACCAAAGTGGTTGAGTCAACTTTGGATGGCATCCAGGAAAGGATTCACTCATTGTGTACCAAACATTATGTTCTCACAAAGCCTGGACTGACGTGAAAGCCTTGTGTTGGACTAGTGAATAACTTCACAGTAAAAGTTTGTACATTTCCGCATTCTATCGTCTGATGGTGCTCAGTCATGCACGTCACTTGCGTGATTCATTCTTGTAACATTTCTCCCTTTTTGTCCATGTCTCTGAATAGATAGAGTTCTGTTGTGCCAATAGTATCAGGGATAATGATGTGTGACCATGAGACACAAATCATGCGATAGATCTAAGAATATTATCATCAAAAGCTAGGTTTTGGGACACAAACTATTCTTCAATGTACTCACACATTGGCAGCTGATCCGAAAAGGACGGTCTTGCACATCACTTTCCAAGATGGCAAAACACACGTAGATTAATGTGCCACACAACCCCTCTCTTGTTACTATTAGTTCAATAAAAGTGTCTCTAACAGTTACAGGATACATTCTCACACATTGATGGAATTATATAAATAAGTGAATTAGGGATTGATGCATCCAAACGGTTTTAAATTATTACTTTTCCTCGAAGGAACTATTTGTACTACATGTGGATGAACAGCAGTGACATGTCGCTATATGCTATAAAGAGAAATGATAAAATCACGGTTTCACATGACGACTACAGAGTCTCTCAAAAGACACGGACCCCTACAATAACATAAATGACTCCTAAAAGTGACATCTGTCCTCATTTCCCCTCACTGAAACTGGAACACGTGGGATGTCAGTTCTCATTCACCATCAACTTACAAATGATAGACAGGAAATTAGTGAAATGAATATGTATCAAGAGATATGATTCCGATAATATGTATGGCTGAAAACCTTGCATGCATGTTAGAGACTGTTTGAAGACTTTGGTGGCTAAGGTAAAAAAAATCCTTTCTATGAAGTAGTTTCCAGATGATTAAACAGGCTTTTACAGCTCAATTTGCAAAGGAATTATCCATCGATCAAACATCATTTACTTAACCTTGGCCTCATAGCCAAGGAATTCTTTATTCCTGTTCCAGTTTTATATTTTATTTTTTTTTTATCACCGATTACTTTTTTGCCAGGGACCGAGAAAGTTTCTCAGAATTTTTCTCAAAAGAAGTCTCACCTACGTTAGTCTAATGAAGGCTGAATGATATTTTGATTTCAACGTCCCTAATCGACGTTTCTAGCCAAGTTATGCTAAATCACTGTTCATTCTTTTCATTCCATTTTTTTTTATATATCCCACTGTTATTTTTTCAACTTTTGTCTGAAAATAACTTTTTTGGAATTTTCTCAATGGGTGTTGCACCTACCCTGGCCTGTTAACGGATCAATAATAATTGAAGTTCTCCTTCTACAAATAGTGTCTCTCTTTTAACCCCACCCCCCCCCCCTCCACCCCCGTTTACCTGCAGTTTTACACCAAAATGTAAAATCGGCTAAATGCGAACTGATGATACTGATAGTTGGTCGAAGTATAAATGGGTCGAACATCTATGTGTACTTGTCTCCGATTTAAAGTTTATTTAAATGTTATTTCATCTCATTTATGAGCCAGGGAAGATGTACTTTTTGGCAAAATGAAAGATTTTGATGAATGAAGGTGGAGTTCGGAACACGAACTGTATCACTTAACTGCTGTCTTTTTTTTGGGGGGGAGGGGGTTTCTTGCTCTCATTTTCGTCACAACTAAAAAAATAAGGGGGGGGGATTACATTAGGAGTTATAAGTCTTGTGTTTGATACAGTGTTTATCCCACCTTTTTGAGTCCTTTTCCCCCCCAAATCTCTTCGTTTTCATTCAGTCCTGCACCATTCCTGGGCTCCAAATAGAACCCCTGGACTGAGTCCCGCAGTCTAGTGCTTTCTCTGTCAGAACTAGACTTGTGGTCTAGTGCTTTTTCACTCGACTGATTATTTATCAAAAATGGCAAATGCTGCATTTGAACTTGTGAAATGCTCATCTGTATAAACTGATGTTCATCTTTATGCCGATTTAGTTTCCCATTCACCACAAGTAACAATTAACAAGGAGGTTTTTTTTTTTATATAAATTGGCTTTAAAATTGTTCATTTCAACAACTTTTACAATGCAACTAGTTACTGTGTGCTCTTTCATACTACGATGGCACCACTCTTGTTAGAGTATTTTGTGTTCTAACGTCTGAGCTACTTGCCCAGTAGTCAGCACCCTCTTGCATTGGATGGAACCACACCTCCTGCATACCACCAACAAATTCATCAGTGTATTTGAGCAAAGGATGACCTGGGAAACGCAAAGAAAGTACTACTGATCTTTTTGAGGTGCCTAGTATGGTCTCGCTTAACGCACCAGAGTTCAGCCTACCGTGCCTTGCTTTGTTGAAAATATTCACGAAAATATGCAGTCCGTCATGTCCATTTTGCATTGGAGCATCCAGGGTGTTTTCATAACCTTTTTTTACCCCTGTTAACAAAGAAATTGAGCTAAAGTAGGGATTTGGATGCAAGTCACAGGTTGGTGACCTTGTGCTCCACCGACTGAGCTATTCATTGGAGTGCTAGCATTCTGAATGTAACCATCGGCTAGTCAAATCATTGCGTGTGCAATATATTAATTTTTCAAAACATATTGCGTTGAAAAAAATTACAATCAGAAAAAAACCTGATGCTGTTCCATGCATGTTATGGCTGCCCAGGGCTCCAGGTACCCATTGGGCTGCTGGACTGGTCATGTATGGTCCAGTGCTTTCTGTTACCAAACTAGACTTTAAAAATTGTTACAAACAACAAAAATGTTTTATTTGGATGCCTTTGCAACCAAATCAAACGTTCATTTTCCGCATAGAAATGTGCATCTTATTGCAATTGTAATTTTCCAATGTACCATTTTCACCATGTAAACAGTGAATGAGTATGTACATTATGTGATATTATTATCTTCAAATAAACAATAAGAGTTTACATCACTTCTACTATATTTGGGGGTTTTTTTGGTCCTATATTTTTGCACTTACTGAAAAAACTTGTCAGGTAATTTTGTTTGCTTCTGGCCTTGTCACTTAGTACATCAAAGTTAAAAGGTAAAATTTGAGTGCTGCTGTTAATGAGACTTATATCCCTTGGAATTAATTAATTAATTATTTAAATTACACAAAAAAGTCAGCGTTATAAACTTCTATTGGTTTGGCAATATGCTTTTTATCGGTAACTCACATAACACAGGTTTATGGAAACAATTTAAATACCTTGCATTTGAAAGTTGTCCTCATACTTGTGCACTGATGGAAAATTCTTTTTAATTGCCAAAATAAAGGGTTTATTACTAAATAAATACACCTGTAACCATATTGCATCTCACTGTAACGTCACTCAAATGAAAGGTGATGTTGCCCTTTTTAATTTGATACCACATTTGACGAACTGTAATGTTTATAAAGCTTGAAGATTTTCATGAATTTTCCAATTTTTTTTTAGCCATGTGCACATTCTCATGGAATTGCCCACATACACCCGAACAATTGATGAAATTGTATTGAAAATATCTGATGCAGCTTTTTGTCCTCCAGAGTGGAAACACTGACCATGTGACTTTTTACAAAAAACTAAATCGCCGCAAATAAGTCCAAGCTTTATACTAAATACAATGTTGTTTTTGTATTTATACTTTTTATTGCAATTTTATTTCTTTGGTAGTATTTACAGGAGGAAAAGCATGAGATGGCAGGTGAAATTTGTTGGGGGGGGGGGGGGTGGGCAGGGGCCACCTCACAATGGAATGGACAGGGGAGACACTGGTGTTCATACGCCTTACACAATTGACCAAGGTGCACAAATCAAC